GTATTGATCATAACTTATAGTGTAATTAAATTTTGTATTGAATGATTGTCATAAACATTTATTTATTATTTTTTCTTTGCCATTTGATTATAACTTATAGTGTAATTAAATTTTGTATTGAATGATTGTCATAAACATTTATTTATTATAAAAAAAAATTAAAGCCTTAAATATTTTTCCACCAATAAGGAGAGAGTGAAACCTTACTTTTATATATATGATTTGTCAATGAGAAAAATGGCAATATAGTTAGTTATATCATTTTCATAAATCTATTTAGATATTATTTATTATTATCATTATTAAGTTATTAAATATATATTTTTCATCATGTTTAAAAGATTTTAAAGTATGATTTTATTCTATTTCAAGACTTTTTATATTTTTCTTGAAATTTGGCTTAAAACTTTTTTAAAAAGGTATGAGAAAAACAACTATATTCTCACTGCTTACAGATCTTTGTTTTTCTTTGGTCAACAACTACACTAGTTTAAATCCAATGAAACACATCAAAAACACTAAACACAATCTTGTCAATGTCATTTGTATTTATTTTTTAGAAAAATGTAGTTTCTTTTTCATAAAAGGAATTTATGTTTAGAAAAATGCAAATTTTTATTGTAAATCATGATTGTAATTAATTTATTAAAAATAAAGATTCTTTCCTAAGTATATAATAATATTTTCTTTTTGATGGTTGAAGCTGTATTTTACCCAATTAAAAAAAGCAATCAAGGTAGGAGGAAGTAACAAAGAGTCAAAAGACCTCAACCAATATCTCTATTTAACACAAAAATCAGATAAAAGTGAAACCTTTTTCAACAAACAGTGTGAATCAGTGATCTTTCTCTCTCAGTCTCAGCCATGGCGCTACACCTATGGCAAACTCTCAAAGAAGCAATCCATGCTTACACAGGTCTCTCTCCTGTAGTCTTCTTCACCGCCCTTGCTCTCGCCTTTGCCATTTACCAAGTCGTATCAGGCTGGTTCGCCTCACCGTTCGATGATGTTCGTAGACATCAGAGAGCTAGATCGTTGGCTCAAGAAGAGGAGCCACCGATTCCTCAGCCTGTTCAAGTGGGTGAGATCACAGAGGAGGAACTTAAACAGTATGATGGCTCTGATCCCCAAAAGCCCCTTCTTATGGCTATCAAACATCAGATCTATGATGTAACACAGAGCAGGTGAAGTTTTTTGAATCTGAGTTAGAAAATTAGGTTATGGGTTTGTTTTATGGTTTCCTCTAGTTCTAAGCATATATGAAGCTGTGAGAAATCGTAAAGTTGCTCACTTTGAGAATCACTTTCACAAAAGCTATGCTTTTTTGGGTGATTGAAGTTTTTTTGTTTTGCATTCTTTTGGGTATCTGTGAAGCTGGATATCGTAAAGTTGTTCACTTTGAGAATCAATCTCACAAAAGTTGTGCCTTTCTGGGTAATCGAACTTTTGGGTGGCATATTTTAAAAATGTATCATTTTGCTACTCCATACTAGAGAGAGATTCAAAGGAAGCTGTAGTATGTTCTTGTTGCTGATGTCTTCTAATTTTGTGACAGTTCTTAGCTCATCTTTGAGTATAGTGAATGATCAGTTTTCTTATGATCACGCTAGACTAAGTGTTGTGTTTGTAATGAAAGGTTTCGATATTTATTGGCTTCCTCTGTTCCTCAGATATTTATAATAACTTAGACATTTGCATACTCTCTTCTACGAGATAATCGTAAAGTTGTTCACTTTGTAGATAAATTGTACAAACTTGTCTAGTTTGTGTTAACTGATTCTTCTAAGCTGTGCTTTACTGGGTGATCGAGCTCTTTTGGCTTGCATATCGTGAAAATCTACCCTTTTGCTATTTTCATACAGGAGAAATAGTCAAAGGAAGTTGTATTATGTTCTTGGTGTTAATCTCTGCTAGTGGTTGGGATCTTTGTTGAAAACTCTTAGATCATATTTGAGTATATCTAATTGGTCATCTTCTTATGATTACTCTAGACTGGTTTTTGTATATTTAAGTGTTGTGTTTGTAGTGAAAGGTTGGATATTTATTTTTTTGCCTTGTTGATTTTGTAGGATGTTCTACGGACCAGGAGGACCATATGCTTTGTTTGCAGGGAAAGATGCTAGTCGAGCTCTTGCAAAGATGTCGTTTGAGGAGAAAGACTTGACTTGGGATATCTCTGGTCTTGGTCCTTTTGAGCTAGAAGCTCTTCAAGACTGGGAGTACAAGTTCATGAGCAAGTATGCCAAGGTTGGTACTGTCAAAGTGACCAGTTCAGAACCTGAAACCGCATCTGTGTCTGAACCTGTAGAAACCAGTGATCGAGATGCTCATGTAACCACAACGCCTGAGAAGACCGTTGTGGAGAAGACTGATGAAGCTCCTGCTGAGAGTGATTTGAAGAAAGGATAGAGTCCATTTCGGATATATGCTCTGATTTGTCATAGAGACCAGTTTTATAAAAGGATTGTAGAATCTCTTATGTTGATGTATCAATGAATAATCTTGCTGATTAATGATAACTCTTGAGTTTATCCTTGTGTTTATGAGTCTGCTTATGTATATCCGCAAGGACATGATCTGTAATCCGCAAGCATTATAATCCGCAAGGACATCAAGGTTTCAACTTTTTGTATCCATAAATTTCAGGGCCGATCCTAGATATGAGAAGCTATATGCCAAAAAGTTGAAGATTGAAGCTGTTCTCAGCGATTCATATGGGTTAGACCTACTCAATGGTACTTAAGAGACCTTTTTCCAAGCTGTCGTGATATGATTGGTGAACTTATTTATTCAAACAGGATCAGCTTTCAAGTCGTGAGAGATATATATAATTGAAATCTTCAAAATAAAAAAGGCCAAACATGCACCAAGATATTAATGCACATGTAGTTGTTATATAGCAAAATAGCATTCTCAAAACGTAATGGGCCGTCGATCGACGTGTACTTTTTGCGTTCACTTTTATTTTTGTCTTGAACAATAATTGAAAAAATAAAAGAGGCTCAATATAAACCACGTAGACGTTATGAGTTTTTGAGATCTACGACGACGACGACCAAACTAATCGTTAGGAAAGATTTCACAATTTTGAGGTTGTAAAGCTTATCTCGTGTTTCCATATGTTCCTCCTTCAATGCTATTTCTATCTGCACCCTCATATGCAAGATATTGCAAGTTGATAGTACCCTAATCCCATTATTGTACCCTTGCTCTTAACTTAAGATATTATCAAAGTTAATACATAATAATACGTGTTTAGCTCTAAAGCATAGACTAATATGATCATGGTTAGAGACTTTAGTGGTTTGTTTAGCCATGTGTTACAGATTAAGATTTTGGATTATTTGAAATACAAGAAAAGTTCTATCACGGATTTACCAAATTCCACTTATAAATGTTTTGGCTTATACTTTAAAATCCCATATATAGTTTTTTCTTCATCTAGTAAAAAAAAGATATATAGCTTATATATACACATCACATCACAAACACACATACATATATGAATGTAATGTGGAAATATAGTTTCGTGTGGACCTAACTAAAACTAGTCGTCGTAAACTCATTCATGGAGGCTTTGTTCTGCTCTGAGATACTCAACAACAACAACAACAACATCAGATCCTCCCTTAACGATCTCTCTTCTTCATATACATGGCCAATGATCATGACCTCCTCCTCTTCTTCTTCTCCATCTCCCAAGATCATGAACATTCCTAGATGCGACTGGGATCTTTCTCTCTCCGCGGTTGTTTCCTCCGCATCCACCGGATCAGACTCTATCGGAGCTATCGAGTTCGACCCGACCGGAGATATCATAGCTACGGGAGGTATCGCAAGAAAGATCAGATCGTATCGTTTGAGTTCTTTGTTAAGGTCTTCGTCACGTGACGATCACGCGAGGGCTTCTGAGAGCTGTATATGCACGCCGGCTAAGCTTAGCAGTCTCAAATGGCGACCCGATTTGTCCGGTCGGGTTATCGGGTCGGGAGACTACGACGGGGTTGTGACTGAGTACGACGTGGAGAAACAAGTTCCTATCTTCGAGAGAGACGAGCATGGAGGTAGAAGGATTTGGAGCGTGGACTACACGTTACACAATGGCTCTCTCGTAGCCGCGTCGGGCTCCGACGACGGAACGGTTCAAATGTGGGATCCTCGTAACGGTGGGTCGTTGGAAGAAACGGTTAGGCCCGGAGGTGGCGCGGCGGTTTGTTCGGTAGAGTTTGATCCGTTAGGTGGATCTTCTTTAGCCGTCGGATGCGCTGACCGGAATGCTTACGTGTACGATATCAGAAGACTCGTTGACCCTTTACTTGTATTAGACGGGCATACCAAAACGGTGACGTATGCTCGGTTCATGGATCCTCGAACGATCGTCACCGGTTCGACCGACGGGAGCTTGAAGCAGTGGGATATAGACAACGGACGGCGCGTGGTTCGCACGTACCGAGGGCATGTTAACAGCAGGAACTTTGTCGGGTTGTCGGTTTGGAGACATGGTGGTTTGGTCGTGTCCGGGTCGGAGAATAACCAAGTGTTTGTGTATGATAAGAGGTGGGAGGAACCGGTTTGGACGTGTGGATTGGGTCAACCGGACCGGTTTGGATCTGACCGACGGTTCGTGAGCAGTGTGTGTTTGAGACAAGTGGATGAAGATTGGTGCACACTTGTGGCCGGAGGATCCGATGGGGTTTTAGAGATTTTCTCGGGCCAACGGAGCTAATCAGTATTTTATAATTTATATATATATATTCTGCTCTTGATTTATACAAATTGTTTATCAGTTGAACTATGAAATGTCTATATATTAGTTATTTCTTTTAATATGATTCAATGTTATCATTTTTTTTTTGTAACTGATCAAACCATTTCCAATCATTGGGATTCGAATACACATTCTATAGAGAATTTAAATTTAATTCAGTATGGTTAACATTTTATTTTCTCATAAAAGAGTATTCACTTTTAACTTCCATATATATATATATATATATATATATATGTATAAATTAAGCTCATACAAATGTCATAATATGTTTGTTTTTATTGCAAAGTTAGAAATTGCTTTCGGATTTTTAAGATTCAAATCCGGACTAAAGATAATTTATTAAGAATCAAAATTTTAAAATCAATTTAGCTAAAACTACGAAGAAGGTTAGTACCATTACTTCTAAATTATAAAGTTTTTTTCTAAAGAACTATGCACCACGTACAAGTCTACATATAATATCATCAACAATGGATACACTACAATACTTTTTTAAATCAACCATAATTCATGGGATAAATGATGGGTTATAATAGAAGATGATATGAGTAGTTTAGTGTATTATGTATATTTGATAGATAATATCGATAAATGAATATGCACATGAAGTGTACAAAAGAGAGTGAGTATATTGAATTTGGAAAATATTTTATGAATCTAGAATATATGCTTTGTTTTGATAAAAACATTTGCAAGCTTATGATGAGTTTTAACATGGTGAATCTTAACAATATAATCAGACTTAGAGCATTGAGAATGCACTTCCTCACAATTTATATTTCTCATTTGAACTCTTAGTCTTCATATATTCGATCTTAACAATTATTTATTTTGATATCTACCTATAACTTCCCTCGATACTTGACTAAACTAAAGTCAGATATAGGAAATATCATTTATTCGTCGAACAATTTATATAGGAAGTATATTCTTTAGTGAATAATCATAACTATCTAGTATTTTTTTTCTCGATTAGTTATTTGTTGATTCCAGCCTACTCTATAATAATTGCACAATGATAACTAGACAAAACAGATTAATTCAATTGATAACAAAAAAAACATAGTAAGAAAATCTAGAATTCACGTTAGTTCTATTTATTTAGATAACGGTTGTTTGCATTAGATGAATATATTTTTATTTAAGTTGCAGAGAGCTCTTGTTGACCTCAAGTTCTCAGAATAACGAAAGGCAGATGGTTTTGAAAAATCTCTGGAATACACACCCTACGTTATAATTTATTTATTTTTTGTCTGAGTTTATTTTGGGTTTAGAGATTAGTATTAATAAAGATTTATGATTTTAGTTTTAAAAGTTTATTTTTGTGATATTTTTGGAAAAAATATCTTGTAATGGTATTTTTGAAAAATTGTCCTTAATCAAATACAATACGTAAGAATCCGAACATACTGTATATTAGATGCATTTCAGTATATGGAAAAAAAGCCAGCAAGCCCATTTGGGTGGCTACATATGGAAATGCAAAATATCCCCTTCTCTCAAATGTAAACCCTATTTGTAAATTGAAGTGTATTATATACAATACACTTCTATTATCAATAAAATCCAAACAAGTTTTAAAACGTAAACAATGTGTAGCAAATAGGAGGAAAGTGTTGACTCACCTACCAATATTAATTACATAAATATCCTAACAAACAAAATTTTAATATTGATAGTAGATTATTTTTATTATATGGTTTTAAAAAATTAAATACATACATTGCCAAGTTTGGTTAATTGGAAAATCCAATGTCCGATCGCTTCTGATTAGCTTAGCGAAGATACACCATTACAAAGATTGGATGATTCTTTACATTTTTTTTTTCTAATTTCATAATCATTGATTCGGACCAGACAAAGATTGTTTTGTCAACGTTAAGCTTTGCCCTCTCTAGATGACTTTAACTCACATCATATATATGATTTGGTCAAATTACATCATTAACACTTCTACATAACCAAAGTCTCTTAATCTTTTTTTACTTTAATCCGAAACCAAAGTACTTAAGTCAATTTTTGACACAAACTTGTTTGACATTGATAGTGAAATGTCTTCAGTTTACTTTGTAGACAAGTGATCATCATATCCACTTGAGTTAAATCATAGATAAACACTAACATCGTAACAAAAGTTTCCTTGTGATTCAAAGTTTCTACTATGATTCTATTATTTTATTAGTCATCGTTATAGACTTTTTTCATATAGAGCTAAGAAGAAGAGAACAAAAGATATCTGAAAGCAAAAGATTCCTTCATCTTCTCTATTTGTCTTAAATTAATTATATAGTTTTATAAGTTTAAACCAAGTGACTAATTGGGTTTATTACAACTAATCTTTGCTTACATATTCCACCAGACTTTTAATTAATCCTGCCTCCTTCCTAGCTACCTTCTAATATATACTACTTAAATTACACATATGCAAAAATTACAAAATACACGTGTATACATGTAATTTCATTTTGAGTCCGCATACGTATAAACTTGTATGTGTCATATGTCATTTTTATATATAACTAAGCAGCCCCATTTGTGGCTATTTCCTAAAAGTCTCTAAAACTATGGCTTTTATGTGTTTGTGTTTACGTTTAAAGTAATGGTCTCTCTATATATATCTATGTATTAGTTATCTATATATACTGATCTCTGTCTGTCTTTGTCCCTCTCTCTCTTATTCATCATCATTTACACATAAATTGTCTCTTAATTAAGAAGACTTGAGAGAGAAAGAAAGATACGTGGAAGATGACCAAATCTGGAGAGAGACCAAAGCAGAGACAGAGGAAAGGGTTATGGTCACCTGAAGAAGACCAGAAGCTCAAGAACTTCATCATCTCTCATGGCCATGCTTGCTGGACCACTGTTCCCCTCCTTGCTGGTTCTTTCTTTTTTCTTTTTAGTCTCTCAAATCCTTTGTTAGACTCTTAGTTCTCATCCTTATAGACTAACTTTAGTCATTATGTTACCAGGATTGCAAAGGAATGGGAAAAGCTGCCGTTTAAGGTGGATTAATTACCTAAGACCAGGACTAAAGAGAGGGACGTTTAGTGAAGAAGAAGAAGATATCATATTGACTTTACATTCTTCCTTGGGTAACAAGTAAGTAATACCTTACTGGAAACCTAGTTATAATGTAACCAAAAGGTGTGAAGCTAAACTACAAGTTTCCATTAATCTGATATTATGGTTCTTGGATTTGGATTAGGTGGTCACGGATTGCTAAATACTTACCGGGAAGAACAGACAATGAGATAAAGAACTATTGGCACTCTTATCTGAAGAAGAGATGGCTCAAATCTCAACCACAGCTCAAAACTCAGATATCAGACATCACAGAGTCTACTTCTTCACTACTTTCTTGCGGCAAAAGAAACCTGGAAGCTGAAACCCTAAATCACGTGATCTCCTTCGAAAAGTTAGCAGAGTTACCATCTTCATCTTCATCACCACTACCGCAACAAGAAAACAACACAAACATGATGATGAACAACGATAAATACTTGCCTAAGCTGTTCTTCTCCGAGTGGATCAGTTCTTCAAATCCGCACATAGATTACTCCACTGGTGTTGTTACAGACTCTAAGCACGTTAGTCAAACTCAAGATCAAATCGATGAAGAAGAAGTGATGATGATCAACAACAGCTACTCTTCACTTGAGGATGTCATGCTCCGTACAGATCAGTTCTTGCAGCCTGACCATGACTATGCAAATTATTATTCCTCTGGGGACTTCTTCATCAACAACGACCAAAGTTACGTCTAAAAATGAGACGTAATCAAGAAATGTGAATAAGAGAAACATAAACAACTTACTTGCGTTACAAGATACATATAAAAAATATTCTGTTTTTCTTTAGATCAAACATGAACTAAGCAAACTTTTTCTGTGGAAAGCTTGGATTTTTAGTTTATTTCAAATTGGTTTTAGTTATCTATTTTTTTCATGGAAATCTGTATATACAGATAAAATAAATTATAATTTGTATGTGAAGTGTTGTTTATCATTGGTTCATGTCTCTATCTTTGTCTGTCTTCTTGTTCCTCCCATATAGTTTACTATTGTCGTAGACTAACTTAAACAACATTTCAAAGTCAAATTAAAAAATTAACAAGTAACTATAAATTATTAGCTACTAGGACGTTTCATATATACACTCTTCTTCCTTTGATTTTCAAAAATATTTATATCATGGTTGAAATTAAATAATCATCTGTCATAATCAATCTTGCTTTGAAAAGAACAAGAATAACGAGAATAATGGTCGTCACTGGTGTCCATTTTAACGCAATATCCTGCAAAATTTGTAATAACATAAAGTAAAACATTATTACCTATCCATTATCCAAAGCCAAAAGCTTCAATACATTGAATTGAAAATTTTGAAACTTTAGTCTTGATGAACCATATATATGTCTAGGTATTTCAAATATATACCTGACGAAACTGTGAACTCCAAATGGTTGAAACAGACGTTCTTGGATCCAAATACGCTATTTCTGATGTTTCTTGCAAAACAAAAAGATTATATTCATAACAAAAACTACGTAAGTTCCAAGTCAAGAACAAGTACCTAGAAGCTGTCGCCTTTGTATTATATCATTTATATGCTCGGTGACTACATGGAGTTCTTGTTTCCGTAAAGCATTCAGCTTGGATAGGTTAGCCTGTGTTCTCGTGTCCATATATTGTTTCCTTATTCTCCCTATGATCTTACCAAACCCAACGAAGCTATAGGGTTTTGAGATTGTCTTGATCAATACTGTCTCGTCGAACTTATCAAGTTCCTTTTGCAGATCCTGCAGGTAATGAAACAATAGCTTTCTTGGATACGAAGAGTCAGATAGCGTGATGTAACATATCTTCTTCTCCACCAAGAAGCTTCACGGTTTGAAAACTTGAGAGATTAATAATGAGTATATCGAAAAAAGTAAAGAAATAGAGAATGTAAAATATGAAAGGATACTGGAAAGAATGATGATCGAGCAAGATGGTCATCTTAGGATGTAACAATGAGCCTTTGGAGATTTGTGTAAGAAGGAACTCGGCTTGTTGCTTATACAACAAGAAGCTAGCGTTGTCTTGTCGGTTTACATAGGTTTGATCTTGTGTAAGAGGGAATCCATCTTCAACCCTACCAATGATAGTTACCTTCACCATTATCGATTCTTGATTTTATTCAGAAAACATATCAAACTTATATACAAACCTTAGAGGGGAAAGAAAGATTGAAGATGATGAAGATATTCCATTTGTGTATGCAAAGAAACATAGCGTGGTGGTGGGAAAGTTAATGAAATGAAGACTTTGGAGGCCAAAAAAAAATTTGGAAATAAAGAAGTAAAGATTTGGGATATCTTGTTCATAAAGGCAACTTTAGTGAAGGGGAAAGCATATTGAGTTTCGTCCTTCAAAGTGCCAACGTTTAATGCAATAAATTTTTCGTTCAATTTTATGAAACTTACAAACTTGCAACACCATTATTATAAGCAAACCTTTCACGTATGAAACCACAACATTATGTTTTTAAATAAACATTATGGAAGATAGGTTATTAAAGCTGAGTAGCTATAGTTATCTTCAACATCATCTGAGGAAGGAGCAGGCGTGGCAGAGACAATGAGTATCACAAAAGTACCAAAGAGAATTGTGATAATAGCCATGAAGTTGATGAGAAACGCTTCTGATCCGAATTTGTCAAGCCCTGATGTTTCCATGAAAGTGAGCTTCTCAAGAAACCCTAAAGCCGTGTTTCCAACCGCAAGAACATAAACAAAGAGGCCGAGAAACACGTGCCATGGAAGCAAGTTGCTTCTGAGAGGTGTTGATCCTCTAGGGTAGAAGAAGACTATAAAGCTATACAACCACTGCAAAGTATAAAAGACAAGAAGAAAAATAAGCTTTTCATGAACAACTTCGATTTTAAAGGTTCTTTCTTGTTTAAAAGATTGTTTACCTGAAGGACATAAATAACAATGACTCCAATACCAATCCAAGAATGGAGGCTATAGAGATTTGGGATGTTTGACTCGTTATGGTTCTTGAAAGCAGCACATATCCCCCAGATTCCAAGTATCAGAGCAATAGCGTGGAGAACAAGATGAATCTTTTTCTTCACTGGTTTCTCAAGCTGAAGCCATTTGTGACTTATAATTGCTGTTTACATTTGCCAAAAAAGAAAACATAAAACGAATTACTAAAAATATCAACCTTTATATATATGTATCAGTATTTTTCTTATGGGTCTTGTTGTTACCTTCGCCTCCCAGAATTACTAAGCCGATGAGCATCAAAGGAGGATGAAGCTAGATAATTAAAGATGAATTAAACATAAATTTCAGGAAAAAAGAAACTTGCAAAAGAAGAAACTGAATTAGGGCTACTAATTAAGCATGACTATAAACAGAGAGATCGAGAAGAGTAACATTGAAGATGAGTCTCTTGTTGGTAGACTCCCATGCAAATCCACCTCTATAACTGATTGACCAATAAAGAACCATCACCGATAAGACTAAGGCGAGCGTGTGTGGCACAAACGCCACCATCCTTGCGTTTATTCCGAGAGCCATGGTTTTGTCTTTTTTGGAATGTTCGATAGTAAACTTTGGAACCAAAAGCAAGAGAGAAAAAGAACCTTAAATCCTCGTGAGAGTCTAATGAAAGTCAACTACTAATTAACCCTTGTAGTACTGCTGTAAGGACGACGTGCCAACTAGTCAACCAATGAAGAATTCAATCTCTATGAGCTCACAATCCCACCTCAGGCTAAAAGTCACAGATTTAAGACACACGACTTTGTACAAACTCAAAAAGACACAAACCTAGTACAACGATCATTTAAGATATATTTTTTAATATTATTAAAAGCTTTATATTTAATATTTCGATTTTTTATATATAAGTATTTTATGTAAGCCAGCCCTTGTTGGAGCTCAAATTGATTTTTTTTTCTTAAAAAACACTGATTTTGAAGTCTTTCTGTTTGGATTTATATAGTATATCTCACAAAAAAAAAAAAACTATATATAAATTACATCAATGAATCCAATTACAAGGAAAAAGAATAATTTATGGGATAAAAGAAGAGGTCATATAGCTAAGTAGAGATCTAGGAAGATTGAAGAGGTCATATAGCTAAGTAGCTATCAATATCTTGAATGGATCCTAAGGATAAGGAGGAGGAGACTTGACTGAAACAACTATTGAATGTGTCTGTCTTGTGTAGTTGTGTTGTGTCTAGGTTCATTTGGTATATTGTATACACTAGTATGATATAAACCATTTAGTATATTTGGTTAAGGATTTCGGTTTAGGCATGCCTGAGTCTGTGTATATAAACCTTACCATGTACATTTTTCACTAATTACATATATGAGAATGAGGTTTATTTAGATCGTTTGGTAAAAAGTACCAAAGAGAATTGTGACCATGCATAGGTTTAAAGCATCACACACATATGTTTTCAAATGATATAGTTGATGATAAATTACTAGCAAATACCAAAACAACACAAACAAATATTGTTAACATAGAGAAGAAGAGTTACGTACATTAAAGATGAGGCTCTTGTTCATAGACTCCCATGCAAATCCACCTCAGTAAACTGATTGACCAGTAAAGCACCTTTAGCGATCGTTCCTGACTATAGCGAGTGTGTGTGGCACAAATGCCACTTCCTCGTGTTTATTTCCATAGCCATGTTTTTGGTGGGATCTTCTTCCATGTCAAGAGAGATATGGAACCTAGAAGTTACAAGAATCTGAAATCTTCTTGTGACTGATCTAATGCAAAATCAGAAAATCTAATACTAGTGAAGACTTTCGTTTTATCCATTTTTGTGCCCAAGCCCAAGCCCAAGCCCACCAAATCCTAAGTCTAAGAGTCACTCAAACAACACAAAACAAACGATTGTGTTGAACTTTGATTTTTTTTTTCTTCTGTCTAAGCAAGAATTGACTTGCTGTTATAACTCTGTCATAAATATTTCTTTAGACCACACTGATAGCGATGTGAATTTATAGCATACACACATTTATGATTGTTTTGGAAAATGAAGACAAAATTGTATTAAAAAAGACTATATACTGTTCTGGGGTAATTTGTGCAATTTCTCGAAAGGAAAAAACAGAATATGATATCAAATGTTGCAATTTATAAAGTTAATTTGACATTTGTCACAAAAGCTTAACAACTAATAATAAGTGGCCCATTCAAAGATATGTCTTCTAGTGAAACCAGATTTTCTCCATAGACAACAAAGTCCATGACTCTTTTAATTTCCCCCTAACTCATTTTTTCTTGACATCATTAACCAAATGGTACTGATCATTGAATAATGCTCAGCACCTAATCTAAGGAAAATTATTGAATATGTCAATACGAAAAAACTTGTTTAACGACAAAATATGAAGAGATGAGATGTCTAAACTAAACGTTGAGGAGACAAAGAAAATGAAAGCATTTAAGAGAGGGACAGTGTTTTGTTGCACATGTTTTCATGTGCTTCCAATACTTACTCCCATTTTATATTATACGTTTTGTTGATCCAGCTTCTAATCATTTTTTTAATCAACTCTAAATCCTTTTATATTAGAAAAATCAAAATCATAAATTATGATGAGTTGGTTCGATTATGAAACATCTCAGGTCTCCTTAATCAAACTTATAGAATCATTACGAGATAAAAAAAGAGTTTAGTATAAATATGCATATTAGACTATTAGTAGTACACAAAATAAAGTGTTGTAATAATCATCTACTGATACAAGAAATTACTACAATATTGAATGTATGAAAGTATATTCATACTTGAAAAATATTCTGAAATAAATGTTATTGTATCATCAAATAAAACAACACACACTCACGCAACATACATATATTCTATAGTGTTTGTAGTACAGCTGTGTATGTACACACACACATAAACATAATGCATGATGAATGGATCATGACCAGTACTTGTGACATTTGCAAAGATCAAAGGCATTTCATATATCTCTTTGGGGCCACCAATAATGGTGTTGTAATGTGCAAAATTTGCTTTTCATATCATAATAATTTTTATACATCTTCACAACTAGAATCCACTAAACCTCTTTTTTTTTTTTACCTTCACTCATGTAACTTTCTACACAAATTCTTAAAAAGACTTTTGATGTAATAAAGTCGCACACAAGCAATTAAAAACAGAGGGGAGGTTGGGGTGTCTATTAAATTTATATGCCTTACTGCATTAAAAAGAAAAGCACTTTTCAATTCAATTAATTAAACTATTAATAAAGTTAATAATTTCATACTCAATCTTCAAAAACCCATTTAAAGCAGTAAGAAAAAAAATTAGGCTTTTATTAGATGGATTCTTACTTATAAACTCACTAATTAAGTTTTTATATATTAATCCAAAAGAGAAGTGGTACGAATCAACCTTTATATTCTACAAGTAAAGTGATCTCACCACACACACACAGACTGTAAATCAGGTTTTGTGTTTTGTTTTTGTTTCCTTCCCTACATTCTTCGGAAACTGATACAATTTCAGAGAATCCATAAAAAAATTTCTTTTGGGTTTTGTTAAAAAGTTTTTGGTGTTTCTTTCGAGAAAAACAAACAATGTTTAAGTCATGGAGGAACGACAAGAACAAGATCAAGGCTGTGTTCAAGCTTCAATTTCATGCAACTCAGGTTTGTGTGTTTTGTCTCTTCTTTAAATCTCGAAAACCCTTTTCTTTGTGAAATTCAGACAATGTGTTTCGTTATAGTTTCTAGATCTGTGACTCTCAAAGTTTTTCAAGATTTGTTTGAATGTAAAAAAAATGTAATTTTTATGAGGAAAAAAAATAAAAAAAAATGTTACCTTTATTTGAATGAAGGTGCCGAAGCTGAAGAAGACTGCTTTGATGATCTCATTGGTTCCTGATGATGTTGGGAAGCCAACGTTTAAGCTGGAGAAAGCTGAGGTTAAAGAAGGGATCTGTTCATGGGAGAATCCTATTTATGTGTCTGTGAAGCTAATCAAAGAACCTAAATCTGGGATTGTTCGTGAGAAGATTTACCATTTCGTTGTTGCAACTGTGAGTTGAACCAAGATTTTATGTCTTCTCTGAGTTCTGAGTTTATCCTGGGAAAGAAAAAGACTCAATTTTTTCCAAAATTCTGTTTCAGGGTTCTTCAAAATCGGGATTTCTAGGAGAAGCTTCTATTGATTTTGCAGATTTTCTGACAGAAACAGAGCCAGTTACTGTTTCTTTACCTCTCAAATTTGCCAACTCTGGTGCTGTCTTAAATGTATTTCCTTTCTTCTCCTTTTGAAACCTGAATTTAGAAAATTGCATCAAACATGTGAAAAAATGGTATGAGAAGTTATGATGAAACTGTTTTGGTTGTTGGTGCAGGTGACAATACATAAGATACAAGGAGCCAGTGATTTAAAGTAAATAGTTTCTTCTTTCTTCTAATATGTTGTTATTGGTGTTTACTGTTTTCTTTTTAAGAGATGATTGACTTCAAATTTTTGCAGATTTATTGAGGAAAATAAAGATCAAACACTTACCAAAGAAGACAGCTTCAAAAGTCTACAAAGCAATGATGAGTTAGAAGGATATAACCAAGACGTAAGGGTTCTTGGTTTAGAGAGTTAAGTACTGTCTTGTCTCATTGAGAAAGTTGTGATAGTTATTAATCTTTTTTCTTTCTGAATCTGTTTTGCAGGAAAGGAGCTTAGATGCAAACACGGCTAAGAATTCTGGTCTTGGAGGTTCTTTTGATTCCATTGGTGAATCAGGATGGATAGATGAGGGGAATGCACGCTTACCTCAACGACATAACTCGGTTCCTGCGACAAAGAACGGGCATCGAAGATCAAACACAGACTGGTCAGCTAGTTCAACATCAGATGAGAGTTACATTGAGTCAAGAACCAGTCCTGAGAACAATTTCCAAAGAGGATTCTCGGGTGTTACTGAATCGAGTGACCCTATTGAAAGGCTCAAGATGGAATTGGAAGCTTTGAAGAGGCAATCTGAGTTATCCGAGCTGGAAAAGCAGTCTTTAAGGAAACAGGCGACAAAAGAGAGCAAACGGATACAGGAACTGGCGAGGGAAGTTAGTTGTATCAAGGGTGAAAGAGATGGAGCTCTGGAAGAGTGTGAAAAGCTCCGGTTGCAAATTAGTAGAGATGAAGCTGATGCTGAAAGCAGATTGAGATGCGTAAGCGAAGATTCAAGTAATATGATTGAGGAGATTAGAGATGAGCTGAGTTGTGAGAAGGATTTGACGAGTAACCTTAAGTTGCAGTTGCAGAGGACACAAGAGTCAAACTCTAATTTGATTCTTGCTGTGAGGGATCTCAATGAGATGTTGGAGCAGAAGAACAATGAGATATCTTCTCTGAATAGCTTATTAGATGAGGCTAAGACGCTTGAAGATGATAAGGGAATGGGTTCTGGAAACAACGAGATAGATACACTAAAGCAACAGATCGAAGATTTAGATTGGGAGTTAGACTCTTACAGGAAAAAGAACGAAGAACAAGATATTCTATTAGATGAGCTTACTCGGGAATATGAGTCCTTAAAGGAGGAAAGTTACAAAAACGCATCCCTTAAATTAGAGCGGCAAGAATGCTCAAATGCGGTAGATGAATTCTCGGATTCCAAGGACATTATAGACGAATTGAATTCTCAGGTAGCAATATTGGAAGGCAAATTGAAGCAGCAATCGTTGGAGTATTCGGAATGCTTGATTACTGTTAACGAACTTGAGAGTCAGGTGAAAGAGTTAAAGAAAGAACTGGAGGATCAAGCACGGGCTTTTGATGAAGATATTGACACAATGATGCGAGAAAAAACTGAACAAGAGCAGAGAGCCATCACAGCAGAGGAGAATTTGAGGAAAACAAGATGGAAAAACGCTATAACAGCAGAGCGACTTCAAGAAAAATGCAAGCGGCTTTCTCTAGAAATGGAATCGAAGCTGAGCGAGCATGAGAATCTGACAACAAAAACATTGGCTGAAGCAAACGACCTTCGTCTGCAGAACAAAAATCTTGAGGAAATGCAAGAGAAAGCTCATACTGAGATTACACAACAGAAAGAAATAAAGAAGCATGTGGAAGAAAAGAACGAAGCTTTGTCAATGAAAGTCCAGATGCTTGAAGGTGAGGTACTGAAGCTGACAAAGCTGAGAGATGAATCAAATGCAGCAGCTACTGAAACCGAGAAGATAATACAAGAGTGGAAGAAGGAAAGAGATGAATTCGAGAGAAAATTTACATTGGCTAAAGACGAAGCCATGACAGTGCAGAAAGAGTTATCTCTCACTAAGTCGTCAAATGATGAAAAAGAGACCAGGCTCAGAAATTTGAAGACAGAAGTAGAAGGTCTAAGCCTACAGTACAGTGAATTACAAAACAGCTTTGTTCAAGAAAAAATGGAGAATGATGAATTGAGAAAACAGGTATCAAACTTAAAAGTCGATATTCGGAGAAAAGAAGAAGAAATGACTAAAATCCTAGATGCAAGGTATGTGGACAATAAACGAACTAAATTGACATATTATCTCTCAGTTGTGAATATTTGACTTATAACGATCTAACACAACAATAACAGGATGGAAGCAAGGTCACAAGAAAACGGACACAAAGAGGAGACTCTAACAAAGCTATCAGATGAATTGGCATATTGTAAGAACAAAAACAGTTCAATGGAGAGAGAGTTGAAAGAAATGGAAGAGAGATATTCAGAGATAAGCCTGAGATTTGCAGAGGTAGAAGGAGAAAGACAACAACTTGTGATGGCTGTCAGAAACCTCAAGAACGGTAAGAAGTTTTAAGTATTTGTGTGTTGCTGCGAGTACAACTGCTGTAACATCATAGTAGAAATTACGATATAAATTGTGCTGTTAATAGAATTCTTTTCTCTTATAAAACATTATTTATAAAATTTTCAAGAAATCAATATTTTCCTCTGAAATAAGTAAAGCTTACATAAGATTTGAGATACTCACCTCCAAATCTGATCTACCACAATGAATTTCCACTAACTGGTTTTTGGTTTGTTTCCAATTGCTATGCTGTGTTTGTTTCTTTACTTCCATACCAGTTTTGTTTGACCTCCAGTTCCATTCCCTGAGAAAGATAGAGACTGGAAAGAAAATACGGTGTTAAAGCAATCATCAGTGTGAACAAATCTAACTTATATAGGGATCATATATAATTAATACCTGTTTCGCTCGCTTATCAATTGGTGTACATGACTTGAGAGGAGAGTAAAATCTGTCGGTTTTTGGCGAGGCTGAAGAATTCTTTGACCTCTTCTGCTTTTTCTCTGCTTGAAGTTTGTTACCTCCTTTATACTTGAAAAACTCTAGTATGGAAGGACTCTTTCTCTTGGTACTTGCTTTCTTTATGTTCCCTGGAGTCTCCAAGCTAGAGGGAGGGACATAAGAAGGAAGAGATTGTTGTTCTTTCCTTGATCTGCTTCTTTCTCGAACTCTGTTAAGAAACTCAATCGTCCAAGGAGAACCTTGTACTGGATTTGAAGAATGGATTGCGTTCGATAGTGGAGATCCACCAAAATGTGATATCTCTTCTCTAAAAGGAAGGTCTGACGTTGGAACTGCTGATCTTCGTGTTAAGACCTCCTCCAAAAGGGTCCTCTGGCGTTTTGCTGGATAGTTATCAACAAAGCCACGCAAAGAAGCATTGTTATCATATTTTAGATCTTTCTCGGGGGCGAATCTTTCAGAACTCGAGTCAATGTCAGCCGCTTTTGGGAAGTTAGGCTGGAGAGATCCAAAGAAAGATAACTTCCTAGTAGATTTTGATTTTCTTGGAAGTTCGTCTTCATCAACGTCAGAAACTATTGGAGCAAACCTATTATAACCAGGAGAAGGCGGGAATTCTTCCTCGAGAAACTTATCAGCTCCATCAATTACTTCACCTTTGTAGTCTGCAACGAAACTTTCTGAGTTCCTATTGTCATGTAAGTTAAAATTTCCCATCACCGGAAGTTTAAAACCTCTGTTCTGGCTCCTGAATTCGTCTTTGCTTGGGAAACTCCAATCTTCTAGTTCAGGAATTCCAGGAAGACTGTCCTCCACTGAAAAGTCAGGTAGATCTTTTTCCCAAAATGGGTCCTTTGATGATGAACCAGGTCCTGACTTCTTGTCGAATCTCGCAGGATCTTTAACTGGCCAAGAGTCACTGTGATGAATGATCCCAGAAGGTTTAAAAGGTGCATCGTCGAATTCAGTGACAGGATCAAAATCAAATATCTCATGATCCCTAGATGACCAAGAATCATCAAGTTGGAAATCCCCTGAAGGCTTGAGCTGTGTATCAGCACATTCTGTCGACGGGGAAAAATGAATCAAGTCGTCCATATCTATCCTATTTTTCCCAGCCCTATGGTGATTCTTTTTCGAACCAGAATGAACACTGACATGGTGTGTGTCTGAGTCAGGTCCAGAAGATACTGAAGAAGAGCTGTCTGTCATTACAGATTTGGAATCTTCCCTCGCACCGTATCTGCATAGTGAACTAAATAGATCAACACTCTCTACAGGTACATGATACTTTTGCATCCTTTCAACCTTGCTACTATGTGGGAGCTTCATGAATTCGAGAAGTGATCCAGAAGATGACAGAATTACTTGAGCTGTAAGTGGATTCACGGAAGGACATTTGGTGAGAAATGATTCCGCAAGAGATTCTGACTCGGACATCTTGACATGGAGTTTGGACAACTTAACAGAAAATTTGATACACCTCAATATAACTTCATCAGTTAAATCAGCTGACGATGAGAAAAACAGTTGTAAGCTGATTCCCAGGCTACCAGCTGCTGCATACAGTTCATCAGAGGAATCCATTATTGTAGCTAGGAAGGTGGGTTCCCCCTCAAAAAGCTGTAGGAAAAATAAAATCATTCTTTAAGTTCTCTGTCTAATCCTCCAGTTTGAAAGAAAATGTTACAGAGAATTGGTAAGTTTGTAATAATCTATTCAGCGAATTAGAAGATGTTCACAAACTGAAAGATAAATTTCATATTTATAGTGCAATGTGCCCACAAAAGAATTGCTAGAAGCAAAGTTCAGTGGAAGTTAGATTACCATAATGCAGCTGCTGAAACTGAAACTCAATGACGTCAAAACATCGGTAGCGATATCTCCAATCCATGAAAGTGAGCTTGAAGAAGTACCAATAGTTGCAGTTGACTTCTTACTAACATATTCACAATCATACCAGAGTAGGCAAACTGCAGGACTTAGCATCAGATCCACAGGTAGATCTGAATCGCGCTCCACAACTTGCACTCCTTCTTTTTCCATTGCTAACACCTTCTGGTATGTACTTCTTCGGGATATGATCATCTCTTTATCAACAGTTTTTGTGTTCACAACAATCACAGATTTTTGGTCAGTTAGAAATTCCGGTTCAATTTTCCCACTTTTTCTTTCAGATTCTTGAGGCATGGAGATAAATTCAGATTCGTTTGTGGTTTCTGAAGATCCTGCATAACACACATTTTCAAGTGGAACAAAGTTCAACAATTCTTCCAACCACCCAGTTTTCGTCTCAACTTCATCTCCCTACAAAAGAGACATTAAAGTTCAGTTATAAGTTCTTGTATAGATACATATTCTGGAACATATTCAAACAAAGCGTTCAATCTAGGCAGTTATGGAAGAAACGTGGATACCAGTGATGTGACAACACAATTTTTGGTTCAAGTACATACTAGTGTTAAACTTGTATGATTTTCAGAGTTGCAAAACCAATCAAGATCATGTGCTTATGAAAACATTATTTTTGATATAGATTGTGTTGGTCCTCTGCTTTGAATTTGGACCCTTCCTCTTCACACAGACTCTTTCATCATACTATCTACAATCTAAAGATATAAGTTGTAAGAAAAGGTTAAAAGTTGAATGCTTCTCACCTTTGTCATTTTGAGAGTATAAGGTACTGTAACACCTGCGCAGAGTTGCCCGCATGCACTGGACATATCCAGCTCAAGTTTTATGAAATGGAAGCAAGGAAAGGAATCCAACTTCGAAGGAAAAGAAAATCTGGGCGAGGCATTTGGACCTCCATATTCTACAATGACGCTAAAATTCTCCACAGGAAAAGATGGAGATATTTGCCTTGGATGAAAAAGAAATGACTAGTTAGCTTAACTACTTCCCAAAAGTCAATTTAACTATACAAACAAGAACAAAGAATAGATAAAGGTATTATTTGAAGCATGCAAATTCTTGAGGACAGAATAATGCAGCAATTTCACGAGCAGATTTCAGAAGTAAAAAACATTTTGTGGTGTCTATTACAATCACCATGCTAAAAGACTGTAAATTTTTCCATGCCGTTATATATTAATGTTTTGGTACCCTTTCCAGTTTCCCATAAAATTTAACTGTGAAAAGCTATGATCATTGATGATGAGCATACGACTATAGGAAGAAATAATACTCACTCGTAAGAGATAATTAGACAGTCTGAAAACGGCAGGGAACCAAGTTCGATGGTTTTAAACCCCGGGGCTTCATGAACATTTGGTCGATTGTCACTTGGTGAGGGACTATTGAGCTCACTGTAAGATAACCCCATGGACATTAGTAGTCTCTTCACCGAGGACCAAAAAACTTTCTCAGCCAAAAGTAATGCTTTGGAGTTCCCCCGGGAAAATTCCGACTGTAAGATCCCCTGCATAACAGCTAGTGATGGATGTGATCTTGTGACGTTCGTCTCATCTGATTTATGTTCTGTTTCAACTGCTGAGTAGAGGGTGTGCAATCCTAGCTTCATGGGAACTGAGCTTCGACATAACTTGTTAAGATAGAGATATGCCACATGGATACCGAAGAAACACATATACCATGTCATCTGTTTAATTGCTACTAGTAATGCAAACATGAAGGACTTATCATCCGCCACCTGTGTTTTACGGACATTTGCCTTTCTTATGCTGTCAATAAGCTTTCCTTTAGATATGCTGAGTAACTTAAGTTTATCTTCTGATAAATTCGCTGATTCATCCTTCACAAGAGTTAAATAGCTCCTCACAAAGTCCCCTACTAGGGCCAGAATATTTTCTGAAGGACACACACTGTGAAGTATCATTTCCTCTGTCTGCGGGTTTGGGTGCATGCCACCAGATAAACATGGAGCCTTCGAGTCAGTAGACATAAATTTATGGTTGGCACTCTTATCAGCTTGGACTCTAGAGTCGAGATTATCTTCAATCATAGCCTTCTGAGGATCCATGAAAAATGTTAAGTCATCAAAAGCAGACATTGATTTGAACAACAGTGTAGCCTTCTTAGCATTATCATCCCCTCCACAATTCCTGGCTCCAGTATTTCGGAAAGGACTTTTAACTGACCCATGGGAAGTATCAAGAGGGGCATGCTCATTAAGGGTAGATATACCAAAGAAAGGCTCAGTGCATTTCTCTACAAGTGGCTCACAGAAAGCATCTTCAGAGAAAATGAAATCATAAACCCATTTGTCTCCTTCTGAAGATTCCCAGTTAAAATCAATGTTGCATGTAACTATTTCTTCAAATGGATAATCACAATGGTTGTGGTTTCTTTCCTCGAGAAGGTTCCAGGGCAAGTATATGTCATTTGAGGCAGACAAGGATTGAGGCTTGATCTTTGACAACACGTCCTCATAAATGAGATCCAGAGATCTTATCATCTCATAATCATGTAATATAGGAGTAGGCAGAGACTTGAAGGCATCATCTGTGAAAGCAAGTTCAGAACTGACAACTAATTCATCAAAATTCTTGAAGTTCATCTCTTTACTGAACATCCCGTAACATATTTCTGGTTCAATGGCTTTTTGAAGACCAAGGAAGATATCAAAAACCTCATATATTTCCACATCCAGGATCTGAAATTCCTCAAAAGTTACTGGGACAGCCACCTTTCCCTGTTGTTCAAACTGAAAGTTTTCCTCAGCATTTGATATCTCCAGGATAGTCACTACATCCATTATAGAAAATTCATCCTCTGGAACCACATCAGATTGGCCACTCTTGTTCAAATAGCAATCTGTAGAGAGGATATCCAATATAGCGTAATCCTTAGAGCCAATAAGCTCCTTAGAATTGATAATGAGAGAACTCCCTGCATTAGTGTCTTGGGTTTCAATTGTTTCAAGAACAGTAAATACTTTATCAAGCGCAGATAAGCTTGATAGTTCGCTCAAATTTACTTCATCCACTTCTAGAAGGGGAAATCTGAAATCTTTGAACCATGGCTGATTCTTGCGGAAGCATTCATTTTCTGCTACCGAAGTGTCGTTCTCTGTAAAGTAATCAGACGGAATGTAATCAACAGAATAAATCTGTTCCTGAATTTCCTTTGAGTTCTGCAGGATAATATCTGACCCGTCATATTTAACCTGCAATAAGAAGACTAGCTAAAATCAGATGATGACAATATAGGTCCTTCCATACTGCTAATATACTTTTTCATGAAACTTGTCTAGTGAAGACCTTTGTCAATTGGAAAGGAGAATCAGAACCATAGAAGAACAGGATAACCAGCTCTACCACTCTACAGTAAAAGCAAAACTACTGCCGTGTGTGCCAACTAAAATCAACTCAGGGATTTACCGGCTCATTTTCAAGCTCTAGAACTTCAGAGAAACATTGGAGATGGTCTTCACTCGTGGATAAGAGCTTGTTCTCCTGTATTTCAAAAGGTCATTTATCTCGCAATGAAAAATCCAATCGGTATATGTTTACATTGCTTGAGTAATACCGTTTCAAAATCCAACTCCGGAGTCTCCAACTGGATAAAGTTAAGTGTAGCTTTCTCCTCAATGGCATCTCCGTCATTCTTCTGCAATAGATAAAGGAACTTAGGTTAATCAAAATCCAGCCAGATTCCCATAAGCTACCAAAATTTCCATATCAGGTATGAATGTGAGAACAAAGAAACAATCACCAGTAAGCGACGACACTAATCTAGAAACTAAGCAAACACACCACAAATTTCAAAAACCCCAATCTCGATATACACTGCGAGACTCAAGAAATTCAAAATCTCCACATCCAAGGAACCTTACCTTGTCTGATAAATAATCTCCGAGCGAAGAGTCGTCGATTTCAAAGACTTCATAGTCCACACTGACGCGATCGGGAACAACGTCGGAAAGGAACTTCGACAAAGCAGCTTCAATAGGCAAATTCCCGATCGGGATACAGACATTTTCGATTGAGCTAAATCGAAGACGTTCTTCAACCCCGTCGCAGACGAGAGGTGCCGGGAAATTATCAGGCGCCGGAAGATTGAGGAAGCCTAGGGTTTCAAATACCTGAGAAGGTGGAGTAGAGAAGTAATCGATATTAAGAAATCGAGTTCGCATCGTAACTTTTCCAGATCCTTCTTTGGGATGTGAGACTGAAACAGTGATGATGATGATGATGGGGTGAAGAAGAAGAGAACGAATTTTGAAATTGGCGGTTTAATTCTTCGCCGATTGATTTTTAAAGAAATTAAAAAAAATATCTTCGTCGATTTCAAACGAGAGAGAAAGAGAAAGACCGAAGCAACGCTCGCCACATGTCGTCGTCTTTCGATTTTAAATAAAAACAATCTGTCGTTTTATTTCACCAAAACAGCACCCAGTCGGTATTTAAACTGATTTTGTTCTTCACGCCGTCTTTAAATTGAGAATGTGAACGTTGTACCGTTTAGTTATATTAAAACGACACACAGTGCAGATGTCAAATAACTACATGATGGGCCAATAAACGTGAACCGACTAATAATAATGGAGTTACATCGAGTCATCGACAGGCTATTCAAAAGATTGGTTTCGGATAAAAATATCATGCCACATAGCCACGTAGAGAGCAAAATGGCTGAGACGTGGCAGGACTAAAGAAACGCACCATACGTGTCAGAATCTTACAGAAGTAAAGCGGTACAAGCTAGAGAGAGGTGGTTCGGCCATATGTCACCTTTCTCTCTATAAACTTTATGGAGCATTGCTCTGTTTTTCTCAGAGACACGAAAAGAAAGAAAACAATACTAACACTAGAACAAATAGAATTTGAAAGATTCCACTTTGAAAAAGGAGAAACACAGTTTTGGAAAATGGAGTCGCAGATCACACGTCCTTATGGTCATGATCAAGCTGAGGATCCAATTAGAATTCACCATCCAGGTAATATATATGAGATTTAATAAAAGTTTATTGTAATTGCAGAAACTTCATTTTAATGCCTTATCTTGTGCTTCTGATACAGAGGAAGAAGAGCATCATGAGAAGGGAGCATCTAAAGTGTTGAAGAAAGTAAAGGAGAAAGCTAAGAAGATCAAGAACAGTCTTACTAAACATGGCAATGGTCATGATCAAGATGTAGAAGAAGAATATGATGAGTATGAGGAGCAAGATCCAGAAGTTCACGGTGCACCAGGTTAGTTTCTTTGTATCCTCTTCAATAGGCAGTTATGTTTTTTGTATATTAAGTATCAACGGTTTATTGATTGGTTTTTAATGTGTATGCACAGTTTATGAATCCTCTGCTGTGAGAGGTGGTGTAACGGGTAAACCTGAGTTTTTAAGTCATACCGGAGAAACTAATGTTCCGGCACCAGATGAGATCGTTCCTCCGGGGACAAAGGTTTTTCCTGTCGTGTCTTCCGAGCACACCAAACCCATTGAACCTGTATCCTTACAAGATACCTCTTACGGACATGAGGCGCCCTCTTATGGACATGAGGCGTTGTCTGATCCTGTAAGAACGACGGATACGCCTTACAGAGACGAGAGAAGAGAGGCACCAACTCATCATCCTAATCATCCTCTCGGAGTGCCCGAATCATTGGACAGAGATCAGAGCAGAGAAGCTCATTACGAGTCATTGAACACTCCTGTGTCTCTGCTTTCTGCAACAGAGGATGTGACGAGGACGTTTGCTCCTGGTGAAGATGAATATCTCGGTGGTCAACGTAAAGTAAACGTTGAGACTCCGAAAGGACTGGAGGTAGATCCGGCTGGACCAGGTGGCGGATCAGATTATCTTAGTGGTGCTTCTAATTATCAGTCCAAAGTCACTGATCCCACGAAAGAAGGTAAGAACTTTGAGTGAGTTTTAAGGTTGTGCTGTTAGGGTTTATGAATCTTTTATTCTTGTTTGTGTGTGTTTAATGTAGGAGGTGAAGCTGGAGTACCAAAGATTGTTGAGTCTCTTGGTAGAATGAAAGTGACAGACGAGTCTCCTAGTCAGAAAACAGAGCAAGGATTCGAAAGAGACTCGCCGACGAAAAGCCAAGAATTTGGTCTGAAGAACGAACCTGGAATCACCAAAGATTCGCCGGCGAGATTTGGAGGAGAATCAGGAGGTGGACTTGAGGAAAGTTTTCCGGCGAGAAATGATGATGTGAAAGTAGAGATAGGGTTGGGAAGAGACTTGCCGACGGGAACTCATGATCAGTTCTCACCGGAACTTTCACGTCCTAAAGAGAGAAGTGACTTTGAGGAGACTAGAGATGAGACGACACCGGAGACAAAACCAAGTACTTATACAGAGCAGTTGGCTTCAGCTACTACGGCCGTAACAAACAAAGCTATAGCGGCGAAGAACGCCATGGCCTCGAAGCTAGGTTACACAGGAGGAAGCGGGAGTGAGCAATACGAGAGCCCCGTAAAAGATGAAACTCCGAGATCAGCTACGGGTTACGGGCAAAAAGTGGCGGGAACTGTTGCTGAGAAGTTGACTCCGGTCTACGAAAAGGTCAAAGAAACAGGATCAACCGTGATGACGAAACTGCCCCTCTCCGGAGGTGGGAGTGGAGTGAAGGAGACGCAACAAGGGGAAGAGAAAGGTGTGTCGTCGGCTAGAGATTATCTGTCGGAGAAGCTGAAACCTGGTGAAGAAGACAAAGCTTTATCAGAAGTGATAGCTGAGAAACTTCATTTTGGTGGAGGAGGAGAAGAGAAGAAGAAGACAACGGCTACAAAGGAAGTGGAAGTGACGGTGGAGAAGATCCCTACCGAGAAGATATTGGAAGATAAAGAACACGGTGAGGCATTTGCAAAGGAAGGCAATGGAGGAGGAGGAGGTATGGTGGGAAAAGTTAAAGGAGCGGTCACTTCTTGGCTCGGTGGTTCGAAGGAGGAGGTGAAGCCGAAGTCGCCTCATTCAGTTAAAGAGTCTCCACAATCACTTGGCACCACTGTTGGTAAAAACTCTCACACGTCCTTGTTGTTTAGTTAAGATCTTGATGTTGTTGTGTGGGTTACTCAAATGTTTTCTTGCAATTGTAGGGACTATGGGCTTTTCAGATTCCAGTGGAAGTGCTGGTGGAGCTAGGGGAGTTCAAGATGCTGGGAACTAAAGATTTAGGCTTTTGCTTTTGAATGTTTTGTTTATTGTGTGTGTTTTTGTTTGATGCCCTCTTTGTCTTTTGACTTTGATGTATTTTGATCTTTATGTGAAAAAGAGATTGTGTTAATAAACTCTACTTTGCAAGTTAGCGTCAGATTTTAATTAATCAGAGCCTCAGAGGTGATACTGAGCCAAAAGACAAATCATTCGCTGCAAACCTACGCATAGTTTAATAAACCAAAACAATAAAATAATACTAAACCGACAATTCATGTTTCTATATCCAACGATGCGTTCTTTTTAGTCTTTCTTTATCGGACTGTTCATTTTCATTCGGATTAAGAAAAACTTATAATAGTAAATGTGGATTATCGGTTTAGTATGGTTTAAAATAGTTAATAGAAAATGTGCTTCAGTTATACAGATTACAGAAGATGAGATGGTCCTCTGTTTCTATGCTTCATGACTTTTTTTTTTTCTCATGACAGTTTAACTTTTAGTGTTTTTTTCTTGCGGATACTCAATTTTTTATTTGTTAGTTAATTATTTGAGTAGCAACATACATATTACAACACTCTTCTATTACTTTGATACTTTCATGGTTGTTGTTGTAATATAATAACTAGATTCTAATCCGTAATTTTTTTAATATCTAAACTTTTTCTACTATACCTGAATTTGTTTAAAAATTAATAAAACTGTATAATATCAAATTTAGTTAGGTTAAGTTTCCTGTTCATTCATTATTAGAAACATATAGTTCAATATATAGATTTTTAACTATGGTAAAAAATAATCTATCTGATATGTGACATTGCATATATACAAAAAAAATTTGTACAGATGTCAAACTTCCCGTCTCTCATTAAGCTAAAGTTTTCAAAAATAATTTTCAATTTTAATAAAGTAATTTAATGCATATTAACTGTTAGAGCATTAAAGTTTGCTAAGAACTTTTGCAAAAAATATTATATTAGAAAAGTAACAAAAATACTCGTCTAACTCTTGAGAACGATCTGTCATTTTCCTGATATGAAAACAGCATGCAGTTGCTATCTCAAATAGTTTTCTTACTTTGCAATTAGTCCAATTACGAATGCGGACGACGTGGCATTTGTTAACCGCCCCAAACTTGTAAAACGTAAAATAACCACATGATGGGCCAGCCAATACACTTGGACCAACTACTATTAATAGAAACTTACGTACATTTTAAAGCCTTTCTCTTTACGATATTATAATAAAAAGATCATTACCGACATCAGTTCGAGAAAAAAGATCATACCGACATGAGTTCGAAAAAGAAAAAAAGATCAAGCCGACATAGACACGTGTTAGAGAGCCAAAGACTTTGACGTGGCACCATGAATCAGACGCTTCGTACGTGTCCACTGCTCTCTCTCAGTGCGTCTATAAACTTTACTGGAACCATTTCTGTTTCACTCAAAAGATATGCAAACTAGAAGACAATCTACAGGAGGAGGAATAAAGAGTTTGATTACTTCACTTGGAAAGAAAAAAATCTTTGGAAAATGGATCAAACAGAGGAACCACTCAAAACACAACAGCAGCACCCAGGTTTATATTTATTTTATTATTCCAGAAACTTAGGTTTGTTAATCTATATGTGACATTCTTTTTAATTTTGCTTGTGATTTGTGTAATACAGAAGAAGTTGAACATCATGAGAATGGTGCGTCTAAGATGTTTAGGAAAGTGAAGGCAAAAGCTAAGAAGTTCAAGAACAGTCTTACTAATCATGGAAGCCATGAGCATGATCAAGATGTGGTTGAAGAAGACGATGATGATGATGAGCTTGAAACAGGAGTGAACAGTTCAACAGGTTTGTTTACTTTCTTTTGTATATACGTTGAATCTAAAACTAGTGCTTATGTTTTTTTTTTTTTTTTTGGGTAACATTAACGATTTTGTATTTGTTTATGCAGCTGTAACAGGTAAACCTGAGACTCTGAATCATTATCCTAGAGAAACTAATGTTCCGGCACCGGAGGAGATTGTTCCACCAGGAACAAAAGTTTTCCCAGTCGTGTCTTCTGATTACTCCAAACCCGTTGAGCCTGTACCAATACATGATTCCTCTTACGGACACGAGGCATTGTTTCATCATCCAAGAACGACGGATACGTCGGACAAGGAAGAGACCAGAGATGTACCGACTCGCAATCCTCTGTCTGAACTATCTGATAGAGATGAGAGCAGAGAGGCTCATCATGAGTCATTGAACACGCCTGTGTCTCTGCTTTCTGAAACAGAGGATGTTCCGAGGACGTTTGCTCCAACTGGTGAAGATGATCATCTCGATGGTCAACGGAAAGTCAACTTTGAGACTCCTATTAAGCTTGAGGATGATCCTGCTGTTCCAGTAGGAGGGTCAGATTATCTTAGTGGTGTATCCAACTACCAATCCAAAGTTACTGATCCCACCAAAGAAGGTTAGAACTTTTGAGTATGAGATTTAGGATTGTGTGTTCTTTAGGGTTTATGAATGTGTAATAACTCTGTTCTCTTTGTGTTTGATCTAGGAAGTGGAGAAGCTGGAGTACCAGAGATTGCCGAGTCTCTTGGTCTGATGAAAGTGACTGATGAGTCTCTTGACCAGAAACCAGGACATGGATTTGAAAGAGACTTGTCGACGAGAAGCAAAGAGTTCAAAGAGTTTGATCAGGACTTCGACTCTGTTCTCGGTAAGGATTCGCCATCGAAATTCGCAGGTGAATCAGAAGCTGAGCTTGCAAAAGATTCCTCGACGAGAAGCCATGATTTTGATATGAAGACTGAATCTGGTTTGGACGAGAGTTCTCCGTCAAGAAGCCATGAATTTGATCTCAAGACTGAGTCTGGAGTCAATAAGACTTCTCTAATGGGTTTTGGAAGTGGATCAGGAGCTGAGCTGGGGAGAGAATTTGATCAGAAGATCGATTCTGGAAGAAACGAGTATTCTCCGGACTCTGACACCGGATTAGGAGCTCCGTTGGGTGGAAATTTTCCGGTGAAAAGCCATGAATTAGACGTGAAGGAAGAGTTTGGGACTGACAAGGATACACCGACGGGATTTGACGGGGAGCCAGATTTTCTGGCTCAGGGAAGACCTGGTTACGGGGAGTCAGAAGAGAGAGACTTTCCGGTGAGAAGTGATGATGTGAAAGTAGAGACTGAGTTGGGAAGAGACTTGTCGACGGAGACTCATGATGGATTCTCACAGGAACTTTCTCATCCAATAGAGAGAGATGAGTTTGAAGAGTCAAGATATGGTTTTGAGGAGACGAGAGATGAGAAGACAGAGGAGACAAAGCCTAAGACTTACACAGAGCAGTTTGCTTCAATGCTAGGTTACTCCGGAGGAAGCCCCGTGGGAGATAAAACTCAAGTGGCGGGAACTGTTGATGATGAGAAGTTGACTCAGGTCAACGAGAAGGATCAAGAAAGAGAGTCTGCCGTGGCGAGTAAGTTACCTCTATCTGGAGGTGAAAGTGGCGTGGTGGAGACGGAACAAGGAGAAGAGAAAGGTCTTGTGTCCGGTAGGGATTATCTCGCGGAGAAACTGACACCTGGAGAAGAAGACAAGGCTTTGTCTGAGGTTATCGCTGAGAAACTTAAGATTGAAGGAGGAGGAGAAGAGAAGAAGGAAACTACGACCAAGGAGGTTGACGTGACGGTGGAGAAGATCCCTACAGAGAAGGTATCCGAGGAAGGAGAACACGATGAGGCGGTTGGAGAGGAAGTGAAAGGAGGAGGAATGGTTGGGATGATTAAAGGATGGTTCGGTGGTGGTGCGACTGAGGAGGTGAAGCCAAAATCGCCACATTCCACTGAAGAGTCTCCACAATCACTTGGCACCACCGTTGGTACGTAAAATTCATCACTCGTCCTAATTATGAGTTTAATCTAAGATTTTGGTGTTGTTTCTTGTATTGTGATTTACTCAGAATGTCTTGTTGCAATGATAGGGACTAAGGGATTTCCAGATTCCAGTGAAAGTGAACTAGGAGAGACTGGCGTTGGTGGCGGAGTTGTGCCGGTGCAGAAGGGACTTTAAGAATATGAGAACTGAGATTTGGGTTTATTTACTTTTGAATGTTTCTGTGTTTTATTTGATGTCTTTTGTTTCGACTTTGATGTATTATTATGATATAATCCTTGTATGTGTGGAAAGGAAATTTGGTTAATAAATTTGGTTAACTCTTAAGATGATTCAAGGTGGTTAAGGTGATTTAAGATAGTAAAGATACAAATTTGACATAACCAATTTGCATCACTACACTATTTGTCAGTGCTTCATTAACTCTGATAAATTTTTATTATGATGTAATAGAAAGTTAACTTGTATTGTAAGATAGAGTTTTTGTCTCGTTGAATTAAATGCCAAAATAGGACAACATATAGTCATATATGATGCATGTATTAAGCAAATTGCAAAAGAAAATATATCTCCATTCATTAAATTTTTTTTTTTATTACTATAGATGTTACAACTGGTCAGCTGACAAGAGTATATAATGTTGCTATAGATGTTTTGATCTTTCTCTCTCTCTCCAATGGAGAACGACGAACTTCCACTTCCAATTCAACTGCGTAAGTTCTTTAGAACTTTTATTTCTTCGTTTCGTATGGATCCTGGTTCATTTTCATAGAGTTTCTGGTTTGTTTTCATTCGTCGTTTCCTTCAGTTTGTGCCGGAGACAATCCTTTACTTCCTCGAGACTTGGTTCGCATTCGTTCTGCTAAGGTTGAGTCCATCAACCAGTTGGCTGGCTACAATAGAGAGGTATATTTTCTTTTTCTTTATACCTAGTTCTTCACTTTCTATATGCTTGCTCGTTTAATATGACGATCTAGTAGTGCTCTTTTCATTGAACCAGACTCTCGCTACGGTGTTAGGACTTCGTGAGGGTAGTGGTTTGTTCAAGAAAATCCGCAGATTAGTTATGACATGGCCCATGGGTTAGTTAAAAATTTTCAATCTTATGCTGACTTTGCTCTTGTTAGATCTTTGTGTCTATTACATCAATTTGGTTATTGTGCAGATGACGACAAAGCAACATGCTGACAACTTCATCTTGACTTGTGAGAAAATACTTGAAGTTATGGTGGCTCTACCAAATTGTTCTGAATCTTTGCTTTCTAAGTATAGAGACTTTAAGGCATGTTTCAAGAAATACTACACGCTCCCTCCCTGAGCTAATGGAGTTTATGAGTGATCGTCATGACACTCCAACTCTGACTACCCAACGTCAGTATTTCGAATTTCGTAGTTGTATCCCGGAATCTGAATGTGACGCATACGATGTAATTGCCACGGAGTTTTCTCGACGGCGTACTGAAGAGAGAGTTGAGAGAGAGCAGCAAGAAGTTAGTAATGCTCAAGTTGGAAACCTCGATGCCGTGGATGAGGGAGGGATAGAAGAGGTACCTCAGGAAGAGCCAATGCTAGCTAGTGCAACAAGATAATAATCCTGTTGTGGAAAATGAGATACGTCAAAATGAAATGGTTTTTAAATGCTTAGGCGCATCCATATTATGATTTCGAAAATGTGATTGATTCTGATGATGAAATGGATAAGTCGGCTTTGGACACCAATGAAGAACGACCAATCTTGGAAATAGCTAAAAAGAAGAATCTTGAAATGAAGTTTTTTTACACTTGTTGTGATTGTACATTATTTGCAAAAAGGACAATATGTTCCGATGAATGTATGTCTTCTTGAGATAAACTAGACAGTATGAAGTGGTGGTTGATGGCAGTTTGAAGTATTTATTGCAATTGTTTTCGAGTGCTATAAACTGATAAAGGTCTTTTCTTTCTCAAATGGTTGAAGAAGCAGCTTCATCATTCTCAAATGGCACAAAAATAAAAACATAACACAATAAAACTACCCCTAGGTAACAGCATTTTCTGAATGCATGATTCGTTCCAAGGTCTGTCACAGGGCATTTCAAGTAATAAAGCGTAAATTTTTTATCTATCCTGTCAACCAAATAGTTTCATCATTCATTCATGATCATCTAGATATGTTAACATGATCTTCCCATATTTCATCACCGATATGGTTAAAACATTTTAACATATGCATGATCATCCCTCTCTACAAAGATTGATTTTCTAGAACTTTTTCTTCTATCACAAAGATTGATCATCATTCATGATTTTTTTTTTTACCATATTTAATGCTTTTTAATTTATTGAAAAGACAAGTTTGAGAAAAAGAACCAATAAAAATGTACATGAAAGAAATATAAAGCAAAAGTAATGATACATCATTTTATTGTTTCTTAATCTTGGTGAAAAACTTAGAAAATCTATCTTTGTGATACATAGGGAGTATGTATCTTAGAAAATCTATCTCTTGTTAATTGTAACTTTAAGTCCATGCTTCATTCTAAGAATTATATTAGCATATGGTTGGATCTTCTGCCCTTTAGCAACCTTAATGTCGTAGTTTTGTAATATCTCCACCACCACAATCTTCATTAGAATCATAGCTATTTGTTTACCTAGACAATTTCTCGGGCCGGCATTGAATGCTAAGAACTTGAATGCAGGTACATGTCTCAACGCTCCAGTCTCTGAAATCCATCTCTCTGGCTTGAACTCTAATGCATCTTCTCCCCATATGGTTCTCATCTTACCCACCGCATAAATGAAGATCAAAATCTTCGAGTTTGCTTCCACTTTATGGCCACTTGGAAGCACATCTGTTTTTACAGGAGACACACGCTCGATAGGAACTGGAGGGTAAAGCCTCATTGTTTCAAACAATGCGCTATGCAAATACACTAACTTGTTCAAGCACTCCATTGGATCATTAGACGAACTTTCTTGGCCACTACTACCTCTTGGTAGAATTGTGTCAATCTCTTGGCGAATCTTGGTCACCACTCTAGGGTTTTCGGACAAAAGCCAGAAGAACCAAGTAAGAGCAGATGCAGTGGTATCTCTCCCAGCTAATAAGAAACCTACGATAGTGTCTCTTAGGAATTTATCATTGATAGGATTCAAGAGTTGGTACTTGGTTGTATCAAGCTTTATGTGAGATGCCAAAATATCTTCATTTTCTCCATCAACATGATCTTGGTTATTTTCTTGTGATTTCTTTATCTCTTCTCTCTTGGCTGATATGTACTCCGCACACACTCGATCAAAAATGGCACCACCTTCTGTCATTTTCTTCTCTATCCCAAATCCGATCCATTTTTGTAGCTTCCACAAGAATATAGGTTTAGCATGCCTATATATAAGTCCTTCTCCTATATTGTTGAGAGCTGTAGCGGACTCATTCTCTGGCATTTCAATGGAGAGAGATCTTGGATCATCACATCCAGTTGTGGTAACTATAGTTGTATCGTATGCAAGCCTCCAGAACACATCTTGCAAGTCAACAGTCGTGCCTTCCTCTGCGACATGATCAAGAACCGGAACAAGGCCGTCCTTGATTTTACTTCTCGTGGTACTTATTGACAATGTTTGATACCCGTGATGGTGGATTATGCTCTGAGTAGCTTTCCTCAGTTTCTTCCATGCCTCCGAGTCCTTTGCGAGTAACGAATCTTCAAAGGCGTCAAAGGTTTCTCTAAAGTCTGAACCTCTAGTGAAATTTGAGAAGTTTGAGTTTAGTAGGTGGTGAATGTTAGCTGGATCAACAGTGAGCAGCATATCCATTCCCGCGAACCACGGTCCCTTGAATGGGAATGTTAGCCCATTGATTTCAAGAAGCTCCACAGCGAAGTCATAGAGACGATGGAGCACGAACAAAAGACCTGGTATCATCCCCAACACTGGCCAGCTAATAGTAATTAACCTGTGAAGAGGTTTCTTGAAGAGGAAGCGAAGGAGGATGAGAAAGTAAATGATGGCCGCTATGGAAACTCCAATCACGCTAGTTGAAGACATAATAGAAAGAGGTTGATTCGAAAAGATAAGCAATGTTGTGATGGGTTATTTGAGTGGTCATACGTAAGAGGTTTATATAAAAACTACAAAGCAAAGATGCATAGTTCAGTAAACAGTTAATATACGTACACAATACCATTTATTGTATCATATGTACAGTTCGGTAAGAGATATATATGAAACATAGTGTTAAATAGTACAAAGTTGAGATATTTTTATCTGACAGCAAACATATTCGTTTATATATATATATAGAATCCAACTGGTGTAGGCCTCAAAACATATTCGTTTATATAAAATCCAACAGGTGCAGGCCATAAAATAGATGAGACGAAAAAATTGGATGAAGCAAATTTCTTAGGGATCCACCATTCTATTAAATGGGAACCACAAAATCGACAAGACCAAATTCTTAGGGATCCACCATTTCATTATGTTAGACAATAATTCAAGAAAAAAGAGACTGTTTGCAAAATTTTTGAGATATTTTTAAATTGAAATAAATAAAGTATGTCATCAATGGTTTTGAATGTTAGTTAGTTCCACTGCAAATTTTTTTTTGCAAAAGTAGAGATTTAAATAATTTGAATTCACAATCTAATCGTCTCACTAAGCATGCAGCTCATAAGGTTAAGGATGTGTAAGGATATGTGAACATGTTTTGAAAAAATATTATGTCTATATTGGAAAATAGTTAAAATTATACGGGTTTGATTTGGGAATATTGTTATTTTGGAATCCAACTGGTAAAGACATGTACGTACACCATCATAATATGTTGGTGTCGGCACCAACTACTTTGTACTAATTAACGACACAAATGAATATTTGTGAACGAATTATAATTTGCAAAATTGCAAAAATTAGAGATTAAAATAATTTGCATACACAATCTAATCTTCTCAGTGATGTGTAAAGATATGTGAACAAGTTTTTCTAAAATATGTTTATATTGGAAAATAGTTAAGATTTTATGGGTTTAATTTTGGAATATGGATATTTTGAAATACTAGGTCTGTTAACTATCATCAAATCCAACTGGTATAGGCGTACAGTACCATCACACTATGTTGGTGTCGGCACCAATAAGTACTAATTAGCCACACAAATGGATGAGAAGATGAATTTGTAACGATTTCTAAATGGTCCATCATTTTTCTTAGATCATTTTTAAGTAACATATCATTCGATAGTTATTGTCATTGATGTTGGATTCAGCTAATCCAGTCTAGTCTAACCTGAACAGCCATTACCATTAGCCAATACTATGGCATGTTAAATGGATCGGATCAGATTTTTGGCCGGCAAATACCCACCCCACATGGCCAGGGGGACTTCATTATAAAACCCGTATCTGGCCCGCATAATTTTTCGTGATATATAACACAAAGAGGTTGTATTAATAAGTGTAGCTAGCTAGTAAGTATGCATTAAACGTGTTATATACTTTTTTTTATTAGGTCATATGTGTATCATTAATTCATTATGTGTGTTTACGCTCGATAACATGAGTTCAAGTTGAAGCATATATAATTTCGGTCATTATTAAAAATTCCTAGGCTATGGTTTCGGAAAAGTAGATCTTAGAGCAAACTTAGTATTCATAATTTTAAAGTTGAACATTTTTTATTTATTAAAGATTTTTTTTTTCCTCATCTCTTACTAATTGAAACCTTAAGTCCATGCTTCATTCTAAGAATTACATTAGTATCTGGTTGAGTCTTCTGCTCTTTAGCAACCTTAATATCATAGTTTTGTAATATCTCTACCACCACAGTCTTCATTTGGATCATAGCTATTTGTTTACCTAGACAACTTCTCGGGCCGCCATTGAATGCTAGGAACTTGAAGGTAGGTACATGTCTCAACGTTCCGGTCTCTGAAATCCATCTCTCTGGCTTGAATTCTAATGCATCTTCTCCCCATATGGCTCTCATTCTACCCAACGCGTATAAAAAGATAAAAATCTTCGAGTTTTCTTCGACTTTATGGCCACTTGGAAGTAAATCTGATTTTAAAGGAGACACAAGCTCGATAGGGACCGGTGGATAAAGCCTCAATGTTTCACACAATGCGCCATGTAAATACAGTAACTTGTTCAAGAACTCCATTGAATCATAAGAAGGCCTTTCTTGGCCACTACTACCTCTTGGTAGAATTGTGTCAATCTCTTGGCGAATCTTGGTCACCACTCTAGGGTTTTCGGACAAAAGCCAGAAGAACCAAGTGAGAGCAGCGGCAGTTGTATCTCTCCCAGCAATCATGAAAAATACGACTGTGTCTCTAAGGAATTTATCATTAATAGGATTCAAGAGTTGGTGCTTTGTCATATCAAGCTTTATGAAAGATGTCAAAATATCTTCACTCTCTCCCTCAAAATGGTCTTGATTAATCCCTTGTGATCTTTTTATCTCTTCCCTCTTTGTTGATATGTATTTCGCACACACTCGATCGAAAATGACCCCAGCTTCTGTCATTTTCTTCTCGATTCCAACTCCTAACCAGTTTTGTAGCTTCCACAAGAATCTAGGTTTAGCATGCCTATATATAAGCCCTTCTCCTATATTGTCGAGAGCTTTGGCGAACTCAATCTCTGGCATTTCAATGGAGAGAGATCTTGGATCGTCACATCCAGTTGTGGTAACTATAGTTGTATCGTATGCAAGCCTCCAGAACACATCTTGCAAGTCAACAGTGGTGCCTTCCTCTGCGAAATGATCAAGAACAGGAACAAGGTCGTCCTTGATTTTACTTCTCGTGGTACTCATCGACAATCTTTGATATCCTTGATGGTGGAGAATGGCCTTAGTAGCTTTCCTCAGATTCTTCCATTCCTCCGAGTCTGCTGTGAGTATCGAATCTCCGAAGAGATCAAAGATTTCTTTAAAGTCGGAACCTCTAGTGAAGTTTGAGAAGTTTGAGTTCAATAGGTAGTGAACATTAGCCGGATCAACTGTGAACAGCATATCCATTCCAGCGAAGCACAGTCCTTGGAATGGAAATGTTAAGTCAGTGTTTTCAAGAAGCTCCACGACGAAGTCTTGGATACGGTGGATCACCAGGAATATGCCCGGCAGCATCCCCAAAACCGGCCAGTTTCTAAGGAACCGATCATGAGGTTTCTTGAAGAGGAGGCAATGGAGGATAAGAAAGCAAAGGATGGCTATGAATACTTCAATCACGCTAATTGAATACATAATAGAAGAAGGAGGTTGATTCGAAAAGATAAGAAATGTTTTCTATCAAAAATGTTATAAATGTTATGTTGTGATGGGTTCTTTGAGTGCAGGAAGAGCTAGGTTTATATAAACACTACCATTTATGAGCATCTGTGTCGGTAAGAGATTATGGCCCGACCTAGGCTAATTAATTTCTGCATGTTTTTTCCGTTTGCATGTGACGAACTTGTGACTGATTTCTAAATGGTCCATCATTTCATTAAGTCTTGGTCCATATTAAAGTTACGTTTAACCATTATCTTAGATCTCACAATGATTCGAAGTGTGTACATATCAAATTACCAAATATCACTAGTCGCAATCAGTTACTACAATGTAATGAAGGAGAAAACTAGAGGTTGTTCAATGACATGCTATATTTGGTAAAGAAGAATAAAATATGTACGTAAGACAAATATTTCTGAATATAATTGACATTGTCTAACTTTCTAATCGATATATCTTACCATGATACGTGTGTATATAAAGTCACATTTGTCACTTTATAATAGGAAGCGAACAAAAACAAAAACAAAAATATCAACAAGGGAACTGTATCATGGGCTTTAAATGGGTACTTAAGCCCAATAACAGAGCGAAGACGTTGATGACAGTTACCAGAATTTGCAAGTGTTTGTTGAAGAGGGAAGACTATAAAAGCATATGTGATCGAGAGCGCCATTTTTTTTTTTTTTCTTTCTCCTTTCTCAGTTTCTCTAATAGGAAGTGTTTTTTTTTACCGGCGGCGATTGGTAGGAGGAATAGGGTTCTGGAAGATGAAGATAGTTGTCGAAACTTTGAAGGGAACTTGCTTCGAGATCGACGTTGAACTGGATGATTCGGTATGTTATGTACAAATCTTCATCTATCTGTTTCTTACAAAACACTCGAATGTTATAATCTAAGCAAATAGTTTCGTTAGATTTCTTGTTCATTACGGTACGCGTGTGTTCACAGATTCTTTGATATGGCCGTGATTAGGGTCTTCTCTGTTTTTGGTCGATATCTAGCGACAATGTTCAGAAAAAGGGCTGTAGTCACTGTGTGTTATTTATTTCAATGGTATTACTGTTTTATGTAGACAAAATGTATAATGGTAGAATCTTAAAATTGATGATTTCGTTTCTTAATGCTTTGGAGTCATGAATCTCTTTTGTATTTGTCTCAGGTTACTAACGTGAAGAAGAAGATAGAGAATGTGGTAGGAGCTAGTACATATCCTGTTTCACAACAAATACTTACACATAAAGGGAAAGTGCTAAGAGATGAAACAACAATGGAGGCGAACAAAGTTTTCGAGAAAAGTGTTATTGCCATTATGATGACCGAGGTGCGTTTGGGTTTAGTAATGGATCATGTTGGAGGTTTAGGGTTTATAGAAGGCTAGACGTACGGTTTTACAACGTCTGAATAAAAAAGAGTAAGTAGTTTGGTAATAGTCTAATATTGTTTGGCATGGTGTTTCAATTAATACCAATCTTTGCAACTTTTGGTGCAGCCATCTTCTCTTGAAGACGACCAGGGTGAAGATCCATACAATGATCCATTCGATGGGTTCGGGCAGTTTATGGAAGAAGACTTCTCAAATTTCATGGCAGACCCTAATCCTAATTTGATGGACATGTCATTTCTCGAAAACTCGCTTCCTCCGGTCTTTTCTACATTACCTATAGTTGATGTTGACGAAACAAAGTTGGAGCACGAACATGAACTTTCAATCGCTGATTATGACACTGCCAACAACGACTTTTCTTTTGCGGAAGGTGGATATACCATATCTTGGGACATGTTCGAACCGTCAAATGGTGATCATCTTAACGATAACATCATAGGAGAGATTGGTAATAACAATGTTGGTGAAATTACAAGACCTGAAGAGAGCACACGAGTTTTCGATGATGCCAATGGTCCAGACTTTGAAAATGGTGGTACATCAACAATGCATGTCCTAGGACCGACAATTTCTGATGAAATGCTCGTATGCACTTGTTGCAAAATGCTTCGAGAATTAGTCCATTTCAAGGGTATAAATTTCATATCATTAATATTTTGGATTTATTGAAATGTATTTAATTTGGTTGCAATATTGATTGGTTACATTCTATGATTATTATATAGAGGGTGAAATGAACACACTGGAAATTTTTGGAGAGATTGGTTTCTTCTGCCATGCGATTTCCATGACTCAACGGTTTGATTCTGATTCTACGGAACGTCAATCTCAAACATTTCATCTGAAGGATTTAACGATGGAGGAAGTAAAGAGATTTATAGAAGATTATTGTTCTCAGAGAGTAGCAAATGGTTTATCACTTGTGCAAGACACTAATGCTGCTTTCTATCAAGCAATGAGTGCTAACTCCATCTTTAACCAGTTGCCACCTATGTTGACATTACCATCATACACTGATGTCCCAGTGTCAATGGTTTGGTCTGATGAAGCTCTAGATGTTACACCCGTGCCACTACATGCTGTACCGAGAGAAGAACCCACCACCAGTGGCGTGCGGAAAGAAAGGAAAAGGCGTAAAACACCTCTCGCAACACAGGTTTTGTCACTAACTTTCTCAATTTACAAGTCAATTACAACATATATATATATCTGTTAGTGCTAGAGTTAGCTTTAGATTTGAGTCATGTTACTTACAAGACAAGGAAAATTAAGTATTAACTACTAGCATTCCGAACAGAAAAATGATATAGAGTTTAGTATTAGGGTTAACATTTATATTATGGTTATTGTTATACAAGAATCTTTTTATTGGTTTTATCAGATAGAGAGGTGACTAATCTTCGGTTTTTTTTTTGTGGTTAATTTTCTATGTTACCGAGGACAAGAACAGAGAGAAAGGACTAAAAAACTGACATTGAAGGATATTACAATGCTTTTTCATCTCCCTATTGAAACAGCGGCGAAGCAGATGAATATTTGTCCGACAGTCTTAAAAAAGATTTGTCGGAAAGGAAGTCTAATGCGGTGGCCTCACCGTAAGGTAACTGAATCAACTCATTACTATAAACAACTTTTCACTTTTTAATTTTCTTTTGTTTGTAGCTATCTTTATATATAGTTTAACAAGATCTTTTGAATCGGGACTTGTAGATAAAAAGCCTCCAGACGAAAATAATGTCACTGAAGAAGTTACACACAGCAGCAAAAGATGATGAAGTGAATGTGGAGATTGAGCGACTTCAGAGACGAATCGATAAGATTTGTAGCGATGCACTCAAAAATATGAAATGAGATTTTTTTTCGTACAAAATTTGAGATGTGTTTCATTTAAGATATTTTAAAGACTTTTTGTTAGAACTTTTAGCTGCATTTGCATAGATAGAAGAGTCAATTACATGTAGACATACTTTTGGCAAAACAAATGTCATCGAGACCTACTTTTGGCTAGTGGTATACTTTTCTTCTATTTTTTCAAAGAAGGACATATTCTGTTAGACATTTTTGCCCTCATGTTAACTAGTTATATTTGAGCCAAACAATTACGATTGTTTTGAGGTACTGTTTTACCAAATGTCATCCAGACCTACTTTTGGCTAGTGATATCGTTTTATATCTTTTTTCTTTCTTCTCTCTATCTTTTTTCGTTTGTTTTCTCTTTCTATCTACAAAAAAAAATTTGTAAGATCTTGGTTCACCATCTCCAGATTAATTCATATGTTTGATCCTAATTTTTTATAAACAAGGATAAATAATACCATAGCAAGAACGACCTTATTGCTATTTATGTTTGATTTAACGAGCTATGTTCTGGTGTGGCGTGACTATCGTGGTGATGTCACCGCTGCTCAAGCTGAGCGTTTCTTCACCATTCATCAAAAAAGTATTTTACTCTTCCGATCTTTGATTTCTAGATGTGCGATTCAGTGTTTATTAGGTGAATTTCAGTTTAGGTTGAAGAAATGTTGAGAGATGGAAGAAGTATGGGTATTGCAAAAAGGAAGTGATATGGCGGTGCACGGCGGAGCTCATGGTTTCTCTTTTTGGACAATAAGGTTTTCGTTCTTGATTCATCCCACATGTTTCCTTGATCTCATGAAGATGACCACATAAATGACATTGCTTGGACAATTATTAATCAAAAACTACGCCTTGGTTGATAACTTTTTGGGAGCTGGTTATATTTGGTGAAATTAGAGTCTTGCACCTCATCCACATGATCGCATCCATAGCACTACGTCCACTGATGTAAGCAATGAGTTGACTAGTGCGCTCGAAAAAGATGAGCCCCTTGGCCATCCATATGTTTGCATCCATCTGACTTTTTACTGTTGATTCCACAAAGATCTTACTATATGGTCATTTAGCTTGTGGACATACAAAGTAGATGGGAATGGTCATTGTGTGGTTTCTAATGTTAAAGGGATTTAATATCTCATTATCTTGTATCATGGTATGTCAATGTTGTGTCCATAACACAGTTTACGTAATAATTTTTTTGAGATAGTTTTTAACCTTAAAACACACACATATGAATACTCATAAACAAACGACGATTGTTCCAGAATTATTCAATGGCATATATTTTAATTGATCATATTCACGTTTCCGAGTATTCTCTAGCTCTCTCACAACTTCTATTTTCCACATTATATTTCTTATACTTGGAGAATTCCACATTGCTTAGAAGAATTATACCATATATATATATGTTTAAAAGGAAAAATGGACAATGTGTGTTGAAGTATAATGTTACCGTGAAATCACCCACGGTCACATGCGCTCACTATTATTGTCTAATTCTCTGAAAGAAGAACAATCGGACAAGAACAAGATCATGAATGATGATCCATATATATATAAGTAGGTATTGGCTGTTATTTCTTTGTAAATATTGCATTGTTAGTTAGTCATCATCCATACAATTATATCCATATGGATACCGAGTCATCTGGTTGACAATAAACAGAGCATTTGCATAGCAAAAACTTAGATATTTTTTTGTTAGGTTCACTTGCATTTGTTTGAAAAAAAAAAAGAAAGGTTCACTTGTATTTACTTATAAGATATGGTGTTGATCACGACTAAAATGCTTCCTTTGGACTCAGAACCGTAACATGAAAACTTAAAACCTTAAGTCCTAATTCCTAAGTCCTAAACCCTAAACCCTATACCCTAAAATTTAAATTATATACCCTAAACCTTAACCTGAAACTCTAAACACTAAATTATAAGCATAAACTTTGAACTATAAGCCATCAAGGGAATCTTGAACACATGAAATCATTTTCTAATTTCTTACATGAAAAATTACGTTTATGTGATCGACACAACTAAAAAAATAATGTATCCATGTTGTAAACAAAAATGATATATCCATAGTAACTAGATCGTGAAAACCAAAACCTCTCCATGAAGCTTCGTCGCTAGGGTCATGGAGACTCACATAATCCTCACAATTTTCACCATTAGAAAATGTGGAGATACTTGAACAACACCTCTCCATGAACTTGAGTCTAGAAAAAAAGTTACTAATACTTCATCTTCTAATCACTTGCAACAAAACAAACACACTCACGCATCAATGTTTCTTAAAACGGATCCAAGTGGATAGCTATATGTGGACATAATAATTTGATACCTCTGAGCCTATCGAAAGCTTAACCGAATCCATGCCATTTATGCACCCAACTTAAGCTTAAGGTACACATTGCTTTCAAAAATTCTTGTCCAAAGATGATACACGTTTCTTGCGAAGAGAGATATAGACTAAGAACCAAACGGTTGTTGTTGTTGGTGATTTAATGTTTGTTCACGGCGGTCTTCTAGCTAAGCACATTGAGTATGGTCTCAAGAGGATAAAAAGCAGTAATCAAATAATTAACTTGATACTCTATCCATAGAATTCAGCAAGCTCTTAGCCGAAAGCAGAGTTGTGTTTGGTGACAGTTGACCATCAGAAAATGAATGAAGCCAAATATAGAGATTTTGTTTGTTGTAGCGGCGGTGGATACATAGACAGTTGGGTTTTTGTGGCGGTTCTTCTGGGTTTACCATTTAAAGTAAGTCTCGCCGCCGAAGAAGATTCCATATGGTTAGTCGGCTCGGACGAAACCCAAACTCCAACACCACACCTTTTAGATCTCATAAGATTAGCACCGAAATGAGAGATGAGATTGGGAATCCAAGGGTTTTCTCTGCTTGACATTTCCCAATATATGTTTTCCAGTATTACGAGACAACCACTTGCGACCAAGGTTCACGGCGCTCTTTTAATGTCAAGTAACAAACACAGGCGAGTGTGAAAAAAGCCGTTGCCGGAAAGACGAACGAAGGTTGCAGCGGAGGTAGAGGTCTCTAGCGTTGTTAAAATTAGGGATCAGAAGCACTAATTTAGGGATCGAAAAAAATTGTTTTGTTTTTTACCTTTTTATATTAATAGTTGGATAAGAAAAAAAGAGTAACAAGAAAACAATTACGAAGTGAGATAGAGAGTTAACTCTTACGAGGACTCAAATGACATTTCCTTATATAAAAGTATAGAGGTAGCAATAAGTGGGTCTGCGTGTTATAAAATGTTGAGAAAGTGGGTCTGTGTGCTATTTATTCTAGATAGAACTGGTTGGTTGTAACGTGACTATCGTCACAAAATATTTATGAATTAGTCAAAATAAAAGGATCGGATACAATTAAAACAAAATAAAGAGATTAATCCCAGTAAAAATATTCAGTTTTTACGGTTTCAAACCAAATATAACCAAATCGGTTTTTAGGTTAAACAAAACATGTCACTTATTTCGGTTTGGTTTAGGTCGGGTTTTTTTATTCGGTTTCTTTTGTCCTCCTCCACCCTTAGGTTTGCCAACACCAGCTTCCTCTTCCTCACGAATTAGTTCTTCTTGCATTTTTAGCACAATAACTTCTTGATATGCAACCTCAATTTTGTTACTGCATGCAGTTGAAAGAGAGATGTTAAAACTTCAAAATTACAATACATAAGCTAGCACATCAAGAAAGAACACAATGGCTGGATTGATACGTACCTAAGGATATGGAAAAGAACACATATCTCCATAATGCGTCTACCCAACTCAGTTAAACGCATCTCATCACGCTCATAGGCTTCCTTGTTGAACTCATCCTAGATTTGCAACAAAGAACAAAACCAAATTTCTCAATACAAAACAACACTCTAGTTGATAATGTAACAATATGATCCATGAAGACCACCTGTATACGGATGAGAGAACCTTTGTCATCTTTTGGAGGCAATGGCTCTAGAATAGCTCTCTGTATGTGTAGCAGCACGTCATCAACATCATCTAATATGAACATATCTTTGTCCACCCTAACAACTGGAGCTGGCAATTCCTTGGCATCTAACGTTCTTGGACCTTTCTTGTTCTTACTTTGACATTCAAGATCCTTCAATCCACTATACAAGGAATCCATCACCAGAGTGGAAGAAACTTCCTTTTTTATGAAAAAGCATTTCACAACTTCTGTTAGGATTACGTCCTTTTTCTCTGTACACATCCGACGCCTAGCGTTTTGGTCCATCCCTAACCAGAAAACACCTAAGCTGCAACCAAGAATGCATGATATCACAAGAAAATACAAAAGTAAAGAAACAGTACACCAAATTCTTGGTGGAACCTTATATTCTAACAAAACATGGTTTCAATGTGGAGGCAATCATAGCTAGATCCTGCTCAGTACTCATCACACTTAGCATCCAATATGATTTCTGAAGGCTGGAGGAGTTAAGGGTACAAGTTTCAATGTGATATACCTTTTCCATCTTGCCTTGTCCTCTTTCAACTTCTCAAGCTTGCTTCTTTTCTCTTCCACAAAACGTCGGAAAATTTGCTCTAGATTTGGAAAATACACCCCAAGAACTTCTCTCTTGTAGCCATAATCAAGACAGGGAAAAGGCCGGTCCACCCTCTCTCTGCAAGGAACAAGCATACTGATATTATCCACAACGCACAAATAAGCAACACCGGATGAAAGAAAAGAAAAGAAACTTATCACATATGTTTAAATTAGTTGGGAGAACATATGTGGAGTCATAGCTATACATAGAGTCAATCTAGCATTACCTGATCACCTGAACTTGAGCATCAATTGTAAGAGAGCCAAAATCATCTATGAACCCATCTTGCAACTTAGGTAACTCCATAAACTTTTTCCATCCCCAATCATGCTCTTTCTTCCAAAAATTGTGCAGCGTATCTGCAAGAGTTATATTCAGTTTTCTGCTTATAGAAATGGAAGCTAGCAAACTTAAGACTCAAAATAATCACCTGAAAACTTAGACCTCCATGGAACTTTATTCACCACAGACATAGTAAACTGAGCTAAATGACTCCAGCCTGGTCTCCAAGATAGTAAAAGAACCTACCTGACTAAGTATCCAGAGAGAGAAAAACAAAAAAAAATGGACCATGCAGACCAGTGGACAAGAATACTAACCTGGAAGAAGTTTATCATAGTGTGCAACACAGAGAAATAAGGAGAGATGATCGTTAACATCACATCCTTCTGGATAAACTAAAATATACCTGACATATAGTGAAGATAAAAGTAACAAAACATAACCCTTAAAAAACCACAAACCAAGTTTTTATTTGTGACAAATATATAGAGATGAGAAAGATAAACAGATGCCATGTACCACTTGTAGCCGCCAACTTCAAATACATTGCTACGGATAGCCTTTTGGTCGATTTGTGAAAATTTCTCAATCTTCAGTGTATGTTTTCCAAACAATTCAGAGGGTTTAAGGCCTGGAGGAAAAAAAAGAAGAAGAAGCAATTTCACATTTAAACAGGTGAAATCACAAAACTATTACAAAGCAAAAAACCAAACAAAGAATGAGATCAGTAACTCATAACACTTACCCTTGTCATCATCCACCTCATGAGTCTCTGACATTCTTAAACAAAGCTCTCTTTTCTTCAACTATCACAAAAGGGATTAACGATTAGAGCAAATAAAATTATGTAAAAAACGTTACAAAAAAAAATAATGTTACGTCATATGGTTTTGACAAGTTCCTAGTAAGATTTGCTGAAGTTTTCAATTGGTTTCGTCACTAAAATGAACAAAGAACAAATCAGTTATATTTAGAGTTCATATTCCACGATTGGGCTATCTCAAAACCTCATTTTTTTAAATAATTCCCGTGAGCCAAACGAATCCATGGCTTTAAATCGAAACCCTAAAACCTACACCAATCGATAGGTTAAAAAAACCCTAAAATTGATATTTCATTTCTATCGACTACAAAAACATAAGAAATTCACAGATGAAATCGGCAAGAAAATCAAAACCGCTCTCGCATTATAGAAGAAGACGAAGAAAGATACCAACCAAAGAAGCTTTGATTCTGAGAGAGTAAAGGATCACTTCTCTTCTAGTTTGATGATGATGATGATGTTATAACGAGGATATAATTAAACTACAGTATCCTAAATGATATTAAATTGTAGATATTATATTTGTTTACCTAAAGTACATATGATTTTCAACATAAATAGATTATTTAATTTTGGCATGGCAGTAATTTTTATTCTACGTTACCGATTTTTATGTACCTACCTCAATCTATGTTAGGGAATATTCCTCAATTAAAACTTGGAATCGCCCTATATAATTTAGTCGGTTAACATAAACGGTTTACAATCTAAACACCAAAAAAATGTTCTCCCGGACCTTGCAAATGGCAAGACAGGTCGTTAAGGTCTGTGCTGCATAATTAATAGATAGACACAAAAAGGTTAGCAAAATAGCTCTGTTTAGCGAAGTACCTCTGAACAAACTTTTGGATGGAAGAGAAAGGTTTGATCTCTTTTGTAGAAATTTAGATTTATCCCCTCTAATTTGTAAAACTTATTCTTTAGTATTTGTGATGCTTGTTTATTCTTTGTAATTAACTAAATTCACATATTTATAGATAAAGAATAAAGACATAATTAATTATTCTTTATAAGATTTACTTTGAATTAGTGAAAGCATGAATGACAATACTAGTCTTTGAATAATATAGATGATAAGCTTATATTACCACGTGTCATCCATGTTTGTGGTACTTTTATCATATATGACCGTGACACTTGTCACACATGCTCATTTTTCCGTTACTTGTCCATGAATAAAAATCTTTAATTTTTAACCAAATATATATATCATAGAATAATAATTATAAAAAGACATATAAAATCTCAAATAGGAAAAAAATATCTCTTTCTCAAAAAAATAGTAGACTATTCTAAACCAACTTGACTAAATTGGTTTGAATCATTAAATATTGGTCAATTCAAAATTTTAATAGTTTACAAAAAAAGACATTATCTATTATTCTATTTTATGGATACACCAAATAGTCAATGGATTGAGGGAAAGTTGAAAAGTATAATTCTGCACTGAAAAGAATCATTAAAAATGTAAATCTAAACTTAAAAAGAATGAAACAGTCTTTTTCATTTCGACTAAGAATGAAACTTAAGACCTCTTTAATTAAATTTAGGTTCATAAAACTCGAACAACTCGCAAAATCATAGTAACTAGTCTCACCACAATACCAAGAAAGAACCCTTAAATTTTGGTTTAGTTGAATTTTAGATTAAATTTTCGTTCTAATTAATTATCAGATACCAAAATTTATGGAGAGAGCCAAAACCACCGTCAACCAAACGTGGCTAAATTAAATTTGTTTCCCAAATAAATAAGTACGTGACCCACGAAATCAACCTAAAAAGATGAAACGAATGCAAAAAGTACGCAAAAACTATAGATTAAAGAAAGAGTGAAGTATGAATAACATTTTTATTGTATATCGTCGTCGTCTCACAAATCTCGCGTAGAGGAGCGTCTCTAGCTAACTAACTTACACCAATCTCACATTTTCCAATCCCCTAAAAAAAAATTCTCAGAACCAAAACAACTCATCTCTTTCAATTTCACCATCTTTTTGGATCCCAAAATCAAGAAAAATTATCAAGATTGAGAGATAGGATATTAAAAAAAAAAAAAAAAAAAAATGGGGGTGGCTCAAGCGATGGAGGCCCTAACCGAGCGAGCAGGTTTGATGAAGGAGTCTCTACAAAAGAGCCAGACCATCACCGACAACATGGTCGGAATCCTAGGTTCCTTTGACCACCGTCTCTCGGCTCTTGAAACAGCCATGCGTCCTACCCAGGTTCCTTTTCTTCTTCATCTCTCTGTCTTTGGAATTTTATGGTCTCTTGATATTTGCTTTCTAGGTTTGTGGCAGATTTGAGATCTGTCTCTGTTGAAATTGAAATCACTTATTGGGTTCTTGGCTAATTTTATTTGGAATTTTAGCCTTTTTGTGTGTGTGTGTGTGTGTGTGTGTGTGTGTGTGTGTGATTTATTGTGTTTTGTGTAGATAAGAACACATTCTATAAGGAGAGCTCATGAGAATATTGACAAGACATTGAAAGCAGCTGAGGTTATATTGGATCAATTTGATCTCACTAGAAAGGTTTGGTCTTTTTCTCTTACACTCCGTTATACACACACTTGTCCTTTTATTTTCTTGTCTTTCAAGTAATCATTCTTTTCCCCTGAGGCTTCTTTGCTTTTTACTCTGTAAAGTGGTCTTTAAACTTGTATGATGTTTAAAATTTCTCTTTTGTCGATGTAAAAGTTTCCTCTCTCTGTCCAAATGAAATATTTGTGCATCATGTAAACAAAGTAGCAAATGTCTTCTTTCTAATGCTGTGAACCCTTCTTCTGTTAGGACTCAATTTCAGTTACAGATTATGCGACTTTTTACGGTTTTATCTCTATGTATGATTATCCAGCTATAAAGTGTCGATATGGAGAATTTGAGGTTCATGTTGTAGTCTTCTTTAGGTAAGAGGTTTTGAGGTGGTTCCATGAGTGATATGACTAAGATATGGTTTCATTTTGGGAAGCTTTTGCCTCTAGGTATGGTTAATCTAGCTTGATAATGTAAAGTTTGTTAATTTGAGGTTTGTTGTTATATGTATAGTTACTAATACAAACTCTGTTCTTGGTATGAAGTAGAGTTTTATCTTCAGTTTAATCTAAGATCACTTTCTTTTTTTGTGTGAGGCAGAACTAATGACTTAGCTGAATAAAGATTGATCCATTTTTGTTTGTCAGGCGGAAGCCAAAATATTGAGAGGACCACATGAGGATCTTGAAAGTTATCTGGAAGCAATTGATCAACTGAGAGGAACTATCAAATTTTTCAGCAACAACAAGATGTTTAAGAGTGCTAGTGGAGTTATTAGTCATGCTACTGGTTTACTCTCTAAAGCTCTATCAAAGCTAGAGGATGAGTTCAGACAGATACTGCAAAACTACAGGTTCGTCTTTAGAATGAACATAGTTACAATTGTGTTTTATGTTCTTGCTTGTGCAAGGATTGTTTCTAACACTTGATATCTTCTTTCAATATTTTAGCAAGCCGATGGAACCTGATCGCCTTTTCGAATGTCTTCCAAGTAATCTTAGACCATCACCAGAAGGTGAAGGTGGTGGCGGCAAGAGCCATGATCCACATCATAAGAGCTTAGAAAATGCTATTTTTACAGTCCCAACAGTCATTCCTCCAAGAGTCCTGCCTCTGCTTCATGATCTGGCTCAACAAATGGTTCAAGCTGGTCATCAACAACAACTTTTCAAAACTTACAGGTCCAAATTTTTTCTTTAACTTTTTTCATTCTCTTCTCAGGTTTCTAATCAAAACTAGAATGTCATTAGTCTCTTTACTGTCCTGTTATTCATGTTGTCTTTACACCAATCAGAAGTTCTAGTTCCACTGATGATAATAAAACATTCTCTCTTTATAAGGCTAGTCTCTCTCTGTAATTTCATGAGATGTATATACTAATCCATGTTAGTATTTTTAATGTATTAGGGATACTCGAGCTGCGGTGTTGGAACAGAGTTTACGGAAACTAGGTGTAGAGAGGCTTAGCAAAGATGATGTTCAGAGAATGCAATGGGAGGTCTTAGAGGCCAAGATTGGGAATTGGATCCATTACATGCGAATATCCGTAAGAAAAATCTTCCAAAAGAAAGAAGTATACCTAATCAGATCGTTACTTTTTCCTTCATTGACACGCTTTTGTTGCCTTGAGACAGGTGAAACTGTTGTTTGCTGCAGAAAAGAAAATATGTGACCAAATACTAGATGGTGTTGAGTCTCTAAGAGACCAATGTTTTGGTGAAGTCACTGCAAATAGTGTAGCTGTGCTGCTTAGTTTTGGGGAAGCTATTGCTAAAAGCAAGAGATCACCCGAGAAACTGTTTGTTTTGTTAGATATGTATGAAATAATGAGAGAGCTTCAGCCTGAGGTAATGTTTAATGTCTTACTACACACCATCACACATTGTTTCAAATATATGTGTGTTATTAACTAGCTGTCTTTTGATTATAGATTGAATTGGTCTTTGGAAGCAAACCTTGTACTGAGATGAAAGAATCTGCACTGAATCTGACAAAGCGACTAGCTCAGACAGCTCAAGAAACTTTTGCTGATTTTGAAGAAGCGGTTGAAAAAGATGCTACGAAAACCGCGGTTATGGATGGAACCGTACATCCTCTTACTAGCTATGTCATAAACTACGTCAAGTTCTTGTTTGAGTAAGTAACTCTACATATACTGATGGTGATTGTCATTTTTGTTGGACTAATCAGTGGTTTTTGGAATATCAAAACAGTTACCAATCGACATTGAGGCTACTTTTTCAAGAGTTTGATAGTAAAGATCCTGATTCCGAGCTGGGATTGGTAACAACGAGGATCATGCACGCTTTACAGAACAATCTGGATGGTAAATCGAAGCAATACAAAGATGCAGCACTAACTCAGCTTTTCTTAATGAACAATGTTCACTACATAGTCAGATCTGTCAGGAGGTCTGGTTCGAGTTCTCTTACATATAACCAAAACCTAATACACATAATGCTGAGTTTAGGACTTACATTTTCACAGGTCAGAAGCAAAGGATTTATTAGGTGATGATTGGGTTCAAATACATAGAAGAATCGTACAACAACATGCAAATCAGTACAAGAGAGTTTCTTGGGCAAAGGTTTAGTGAATCGTTAATAGGTTTAAGCTCTAAAATGTTTTGAAAAAGTGTTTTCTGATTAGCCATTTTCTTTATGCAGATTTTGCAGTGTCTCACGGTTCAGTCTGGTGGGAGTGGTCAGGTAGACAACTCTAATATATCAAGAGCATCAGTAAAAGACAGATTCAAGACTTTCAATTCTCAGTTTGAAGAGCTTCACCAAAGACAATGCCAATGGACAGTTCCGGACAGCGAATTGCGTGAATCCCTGAGGCTTGCTGTTGCGGAGGTTCTTTTACCTGCATTCAGATCGTTTCTCAAACGTTTCGGGTATGATCAAAAGCACTTTTAAACAGATTTGGTTTCGTGCTCATCAAGAAAGTAATAAAAAAAAATGTTGTTACATGTCACAGGCCGATGATAGAGAGTGGTAAGAACCCACAGAAGTACATAAGGTTCAGTCCTGAGGATCTTGAGCGAATGCTTAACGAGTTCTTCGAAGGCAAGACTTGGAGTGAGCCCAAGAGATAAAATATATGTATCAATGTTTTGTTTCCATTTTTGTTGTACATTCTCTTCTTTTGCTTTTTTGCAAAGATTATATACTTATAAGTTCTCTCCTTTTCTTGAAGGCTTTTTTTTTTTTCTTCTTTTAGTTTTCTTTTTCTTTAAACTGTAAAATTGATCAAGTCATATTTAGTCATGATTTACAAATAGAAGAAGTCTCATATGATTTGGATGGTTGAATCAAGACAGTACGAAGATAATGTGTATTACATAGTGAGAAATATCAGATGGTTTGGTTCAGCTTCTCTGGATCAAGAGACAATGCCAAGGAATTTTCTTTGATTGAAAAAAAAAAAGAAAAAAAAAAATTGAAATCGTCGACAGCAGGGTTCGAACCTGCGCGGGCGAAGCCCAACAGATTTCAAGTCTGTCTCCTTAACCACTCGGACATATCGACACTTTGTTATAGCTTCTCTATTTCTGATAAATAAAGCTTCAAAACAAAATTTGTTCCTAAAAGATTGATTTTTTTATGACATTTCTCCACGCATGCTTATTTAATGGTTTATACTTTCTCTTTTTACCAAACGTAAAATTCATTTGTAAATAAATATTTCACATTTTCTTTTCTTTTTTGAAAAAAAAAAAAGAGAAAGTAAATTTTCCTTAATATGTGTAAATATGTGAAAACATCAATCTATTTAGGAACAAATGAGTATACAAATCCATTGAAATGTTTATAAATCTTTATTTTTTTCGACGAAAGTATGCAGCTATTACACGTGAAAACTACATGAAGGTTTCAACTTGTCAAAAGTGAAAGTATTAAACCCATGTAAATTTAACCCAAAAAAAAAAAAAAAAAATCAAGAACAAGAATGAATAAAACCAAGATTGAAAGAAGTTACATAAACATGATGAAATTGTTTGAACGGCGATGATTATGGATATATAATTAGAAAATCATGAAGATTTATATATATAAGAACGATCTAGAGAGCTCGACTTTTGATGATGTCAAGACTCATCTCGCTCGGGTCAGTGGCTTGCAACTCCACCTGAATCCCATCTAGTTCTCTCTTGAACCTGTCCTTTGAACTAGCATACACCATCTTCATCCTCACCCTCGATGAATCCGGTGACCTATAGGTACCATACATTATGCATCATATATCACATAACCATAATAATCTAATATAACATAGAAAAATGTTAAAAAGTTGAAGTTACCATGCTATGAAGAAGATCTTGCTCTTCTGGCAATTCTCAGCAGTGGTGAAGTCGAAGTCGTAAACCGCGTAGCGGCATTCGTTTGGCGGTAGGGAATTGGAGAAATCGTCGTAGTTCTCCTCGGGGCTTCCTAGCTTTTCCACCACCACTTGTTGTCCATCTATCCTGAATATTATGAACCTATAGTTTCTCTTAGCTTTTAGCTCCAAAAACTTCAGCTTACATTCGTCCTCCACCGCCATCCCTGACGCCGCGTTCGCCTTTTCAAACAATCCATATCCATGAGTTCAAGATACAACATTATAAACACATGGATTTCGTCTACGACTCTTTGTAGAATGGATATATTTCTCTAACTTCTGTATATAAATCAGTTCTATTACATTCATCTTTATTTCCACTTGATCTTACTAAACGTTATGGTTCTAAGAATACGAAAATGTAAAAGATTAAATATTGGCAAACGCAAACAAACAATCAATGCATAACAACGTTGAAACATCTAAACACACAAATTCATTACAAAGAGGAAGAAGAAAAGGAGATTAGAGAACACACACCATTGCGTTTGGTTGATGAAAGTTAAAACCTAAGACAACAAAGAGAAATGGGACTTCTTGTTTTTTTCTTGTTTTTGTCCTTTTTTGTGGGAAGAGAGATGAAGAATGAAGAAAAAAGGGAAATGAGAAATTTGGGGTAACAAGTGATTATTAATTCGATTTGAAGAGGGCAATGGAGACGAACTCGGACAACCATTCATGCATCTCCCTCTTTTAACATATCAAACCACACCTTTTTTTCCTCTTTGTCCTTCAAAGTCGCCTAACCATCCTCTCTTTCCGGGCACTTTATCTACTCTATTTTTAGCATTTTCACACCTCTTATCCAGGACTATGTCTAGCATATGTTTGACAAATCGATTTGTGGCTTGGTTCAGTCGGTTCTTGGTCGGGTTATAAGTTTATCTGAAACAGTATTAAGTATTAACTGTATGGTTTCAATACATAACATTGTTCTGAATCTTAAATAACAACTTGTTCCAACACACTCTAGAGGCAGATTAAAGAACAACAAAAACGAGCTTTCCTACAAAACTGATGATCCTTTTAGATCCTCTTGTTTCAATTTGTGATCATCCGACGAAATTGACAATCTTTGGACCTTGTTTCTTTTTCTTCATCTCGATGATCTTCTGATCTGAATCATCAGAGATCTTGCTGCTTTTCGGTTCTTCAGTGAAATCGTCCTCTAGATCGTCCCCACTAAACTTAGTGACCTTTCCTCTTGGTGTAGCATCAAATCCTGTCATTTCATGTAGGGTGATACAGTTATGGTCTTCATAAGATAAAGGAGACTGCATTTACTGTCTTGAATCACTTGGCAGACTATTCAGATGAAAGAGAAACTAGAATTTTGAAGAGAAGCTCAAGAATTGAAAGAGTGAAACAAAAGAAAATATTACTTGAAATCTTCTTTGGTTGGGCTGATTCTTGGTTTAATTTATCGGGGCAGTCTTTGACAAGATGCGCCACACTCCCGCACACTTTACAACACCCGCCCTACAAAAGAAATCCCCCCCCCCCAAAATTCAATCTTCAGCATATCAAAACTCATCCTTTATGAAGAAAAAAAAAAGGCTCAAAACGAGATTTGAGCACTTTACCATTGGATAGATTCCATGCTTGTTCTGAGGACAGTTCTTGCTTATGTGCCCTTGTCCCTTGCATATGAAACAACTTGCAAATTTGGTCCCTCCTACAAAGTATCAAAACAAACTTAAGCTTAGTGACTTTTAAGAAGAAATACTTTTAAACTCTACGAATAACATGAACTACACTACAGACCATCAGTCCAGTATCTGTGTACATACATATCTGAAAGACTATTGACTAGTAAAATCAACAACTCTTGATGTATTGTTAACGAATTGTTAACGAAAAAGTACCGTTAACTCTACAAATAACATGAACATTGTGTATTCTGAAGTAAAACAAACAACTACTCAGACAACTTTTCTTCAAATCTTGTAATAGGTAACACGATAATCTTTCTGATCCAAATGTACACATACTAGCTGACAAGAGACAATAACGAGACATACTTACCATCTTCCAGAGGGTAAGGACAACGAGAAAGTGAATGGCCAGTATCACCACAATTGTAACAAAGCTTCTTCTCAAAGCTGTCATCTTGCTTGTCAGGGCAGTTTTTAAGACTATGCCCTCTTCTCCTACATTGCAAGCATATCTACAAGCAATAGAACAAACATCAACTGTAGTGATCATTAAAGTATCAACATTCAGATTCTTGGCTCCAAGTGATGTACAAAGTTAAGTATAATCCTAACCATGAAAAGATTCATCTTTTGAATTCATAATGATCAAAAGCAAACTCAATTACAACAAAAACAGACCTTTCAACTTAACCAAACCCTCAATTTGATTCTAACAACAGCTCCCAAAACAAAACTGAACCAAAACCCTAATCCCAAAACCAATGACTAAAGAAGAACAATACAGAAAAGAACAAACCTTGTTTCTCTCCCACTCAGACTTTTCAGGACAGAGCTTAGCAATATGGGTTTTAGAGTGACAGATAAAACAGCCTTCTCCAGGTTTCATACCAGGAACTCGGAGAGGATGCCTCGAAGATGAGCCTTTTCTCTGAGGTCTATCAGTGGAAGATCCAGGTTTCTTCTTCTTGAACAAGCTCTTCTTCTTCTTCTTCTTATTAGGGTCCTTTGGTGGTGTTGGTTCTGCTTTAGGAAACAGCTCTGGATTAGCTTCTTTGTATCGCTTCTGCGCAAGTCTTCGCCTTTGATTCACCATTCTCGACTAAACTGTATACAGAGAAAGAGAACGATTGATTTTGCCGGCGGCGATAGAGGCAGAGGAAGACACAGTTGTTTTCTTGGTTCGTTGGTAGACGCAGAAACAGCTCTTTGTTAGGGGATGTTGTGTTTTTTCTTAACGGGCTTGGCTTAATCAGGCCCAAAACTTCTTTAACCTATGAATTTGATTTGGGCTTTGAGGATTTTTTGTAAACGCGATTTTGTCGCGGTTGGAATGGATAGTGTCCTGAATCAACATTTTAATGTTTTTAATGATTTTTTTTCTTGGTTTTCTTAAATATCTTTTTTTAGTTGGTAAATTAATGTTTAATGTTTTTTGGTAAGAAAATTAATGTTTAATGTTGCTACATCATAAAAATAAAAATTTGAATTCGCAGAAAACAAATACGTAGATCAGAAACCTTGCTCGAAAAGTAATATTATTTACTAAAACAAATAAACAATATATTTGATCAGTCGAAATGGTGTCATGTTTTAGATCTATTAGAAAATTTGATATAAATTATTCAATGAATACACACACACGTGCTAGAAGAATTAGTCGGGTGATGAAAACTTGGTTCTCACTTGATCTTTTTATTTTTTTTAATTATGTGTAGATCAAGTCGATTATTATTAAAAGCTTGACATGTTACATGTGGTTTTGGCTTTTGGACTTTCTTAATCAAATTATTTAGGTCTTAATTTTCAGTTTATAAAACTTTTCTATCCTAAAATTAATGCATGGTGGCTTAAATCAAAATTTAGAACAGAGTCAGAGTCAAAGTATTGTTTAAGATAATGTCCTGCCTAATTTTACTACATAAGCATGGCAAAACTTATCCCACTGTATGAGAATATATCCCTTAACCACGGCATCAACTAAGAACGGGCACATGGCACGGTCAAACAAAACCGTTATTTACTCTTTTCCAATGAGAAAAAAAAAAGAAAGAACTCAAATTATTGGATCATATATATATAATATAAGACGTTACTCGTACATATAAGTTATACAAGAACGCGCATGCACCTATCTACTCTCTCACCATCTCTTATGCGTCGTGAAGTGTTTTATAAAATTACTATATATGAAGCAAAAACATAAAAAGATGTAATTATACAAAACATCGAACTTTGATTATTCTCTTCGGAAACTCATGACATGATACGTGTTGATCTCCATCTCCCTTTATCTTTTGCCTTGATCAATACGGTGTTGGTGCCGGGACAGCAGGCATAGGGTACATTGAAGTAACCGGCTCCGGTGCCGGCACAGCAGGCATAGGGTACATTGAGGTAGCCGGCTCCGGTGCCATCACGGCCAAGCTGACCGGACCAACTGGTCCAAGAGTGTCCATTGCAATACCTGAGCTCCTAATTTCTGACATTGCTCTTCTTGTCTTCCCTTCTTGTGATTCACATAGCTTTGGCAAGAACACTCCTATATTGTGTAAACCAAACAAACATAATCAGACAAAACTTTAGTAACTGCAAGTCTGAAACCGAACCGGTATCTTAACACCGTACCTTCGCCAGCAGCAAGGTTGAAGAAGAGGTCAACGACGTTAGGGCAATGGTTTAAGCATTTAACCGAGCAGAGCTTTTGTGTGAACCGAGATTCCAACAATGCGTCCGAAGATATACCTAAAGACTTACGGCCTAGACCACAAGCGTTAATGCACTCGTTTGATTCAACGATGTTCGTGACCTTATCCGATTCTATCCCGGATGATCGACACGAGTACACCTCGATCCCACTCCTCCTCATGCTCTTCTCCAAAACGCAGCGTTTTCCTGTCGCCGAGACCGCGAAAGCGCACGTGTCTTCGTCCAGATTCTCGCACTTCACTTCGCTCCCTACAAAATTGATCCCAATGCTACTTAACATTTGTACATGCAAGCAATATAATCTTGCATTACTCAATTTTAATGATGAAAATTTCAAAATGTTTTATAATAGAATTACCACCATTTAAGATAATCTCTAGTGTAAATCTTACTTTTAAGATACCACCATTAATGATACCCTTATATATAGTTTGTATATACTTGTTCATAATTTTGATATAGATCATAGCGAAGAAACTTACCAAGCGCCGTTTGAGAATAGATGGCAAAGAGAAGCATAGAAGTAGCAAATACCATCTTCAAAGCCATGTTGTGAAGTGGAGACACAAAGAGAATGAGAAAATAAATGTTGTATGAGGAAAATTTCTTTTTAGTGTGGTTATAGGTGTTGTAGCAATAGCCTATTTATAGAGGGATAATAAAGCAATACTTTTAATTTATAAAATATTAGAAAAAGAAAAAGTTATACAAATTTTAATGAGTAACGACAATACTGTTTGAAAAATAAAACACCAAGGATCGGAGAGTTTACATCAATAGTCACTGAAAAGTCGTAGTTAATTTAGTTAGGCAAAAAAAAACTTTGATTAATCAACAAAACAAATATTTTTCATCTTAATAGAAAAGTACATCACATGGAAAAATGTTTGGCTTGACAAATCAAATACAATGCCGTTGTTAATGGCGAAGATCATGCAGTCAAATTAAAGTCGAGATGTGAAACCTTGACTTACTTTTTCCTAAAATCTGGCATAAAACCATCTTCTCCATAGGTAATGATTTTAGTGGACTATTGAGTTTTTTCTTTTTAATCTTAATTTTATAAATTTATAGACCAAAGAAAGAAAACATGTAGTGTAGAACTATATAAAAAGTCGTACGTAAGCTTTCATTATGGTATTTTAAAAATAATTTAATAGGGGATCTCTTATTATTAATACTGTAATGAATATAATTACATAATGAGGTGAGAAAAGTAGTTTGGGATGAAAGAAACAAAAGAGATGTTAATGTTTCACCGTAAATGACGGCATAGACTTGAGACGTGGAGAATGATGCCAAGTCTTGTACCATGCTTTTTCGTCAGTGAAACTTTAGGACAGTCACGAGTCGTCGTCCTTATTAATTAGATATTTATTAGGATACACACATAGATCCAAAAATCTGTTGTCCAGAAATTTATACTAGACGTTAAAAATTTTACATGAAACATGGTTATGGTTACATATAAAGCGAACAAAAGCGACTTTGTCTGCTTTTGAGGTTCTATCACTTGTAAGAAGGCCGACATAGAATTTAAAAATCTCCTAGATGATCTTGATGCAATGGCCTTAGCGACATAGCTCAGGAGACTATATATAGTACCGGCTGATGCGATGGCCTTAGCGACCTAGCTCAGGAGACTGTTTTGATGCGATCGCCTCGTTTGAGAAGAACATGTAATCTGATGCATTAGTATTCGACCATCATGTTTGTACATTCCACAATATGTAAATCTATATTTATCTCCGGATCTTGTGGAATACCATATCATTTTTTTTCTATTAGGTAAAATCATAATTGATATCATGTACAGTAGCAAGATTTGGATGTCGATTTTTTTTCTTTCTTTTGTTACGTGTCACATTTAGAATTAGGAGATTTTAATATGTTTCGGTACAGTTAGGAAACTTCCATATGTTTCCTCGACAAAGAATAAAACTTGCCATGTTCCCAACCTCTGCGTCTTTATTATATGAAAACAGTCCTATATGTTTTCATGTGGTTAGCGGTTTACTAAAGTCTCACCGTAATTAATTTTGGTCATGCATCGTGTCATTTCACCAATGGTACATAACTCACTGAACCATGAAAACGTGATAGTGACAGGAAAATTGTTACTATTGTATTATACAAATGACCTATCTTCCATATGCATCTGATGTATACTCATACAATTACGCAAGTATTATCAGTAGCACATTTCAACCATGGGCCGGCAGACGGAATAAGCCCAATCCAATCACATACGATAATATACACAAGTATTATCAGTTTTCGCATATATACTGAAAATTATTAGTCCTAAATGGGTATGTCGGCCGATACACTTATCCTTTGAGACAAGACAATCATGTACTACTTTGAGACAATGTCTGGCTGATAGAATATCTAAGGATAATATAATTTCACTGATGATTATGTATCAGGGCTATACTACATCGATTCTGCTTTGTGCAAAATTTGCGATAATTTGTTTTTTTTTTTTTTTTTGAGGTTGATGGTTACTACTCACTACTTAGTATTACGGTTGTGACAATAGAAAACACGTACAGTAGTCTTACAGAATAAGGAAGTCTCAATATAGATACTTCTACTGTTCTATATGCATGTACATGGAATCAAACAAAGCGTACGTAAATGATTTCCTCGTGTTATAGAGAACCAAACATTTTGACCGGAAACAACGTTTTTGACCTTCAAGTTAATTATTCCTTCCTTGCATCTCTTACTAACACATACATGGACAAATTATATTACTTAATTACGATCCCGATGAAGAGACTCTTATCCTTCTTTTAAATTTTGTTTGGATTGTTATATATGTCATAGATGACAAACATATTGTATATGGTTTAGCCTCTTGTGAGTTGTTTCCCCTACTTAAGAATTCTTTTGTAAAACGATTGGTCGGTACATTCTTGTTTTGGAGTGTTGGAGAACTAAGAGCGTACGTAGATGAAAACATACTCTGAAAAATCCAGTTGGTTCATCTGACAAAATATTGTTCTTGTACTTACTACCGAACCGCACTGAAAGACATTGACTGGGATCATGAGAACGAGACTCATGTCTCTTAACATGTAAGGGAATCAAGAAACGAAACCTATACCCTTTGAGTTTGGTATTATAAAGACGTTAGACCATATTTGAAAATCCATTTTCTAAAAAAACAGGTTTTCTCATGAAATAAATAGAAGAATTGTCAAAGAGTAGGGGAAGTTGGTTATGTTTGTATGCTAGTCTTGACTCACTCATTCCAAAAAATAAACAAGAAATTATTATATTTATGAATTAGTTTTATATAAAATATATTTCATTGTTTTTTGGGGTTTTAAATTTGTGTATTTTTATGAAAAAATGATAAAATGATTGTTAAATTAACGTAACACTATACTTATTAATTAATTGAATGGAGAAAAAACTATGTAGTTTTGAAGACCGTTTGTTTTGGTTAACAAAACACAATTCAAATAACTTAGCTTATAAATGCGTGCGTCAGCACTGATGATTAAAGTTTGTCAATATAACTTATCGCGTCAGCAATGATCAATGAATCAATTATTTCGATCAACACAACGAGTAACATGTTGGTTAAAATCATGAAAGCGATCGATAGATAGAGCTACTAGACAGCTAAATCAACTTGTGTGGATGGAACGAGTTACTTTATCGAAGGATTCTTGGAAATTCATCAAAAAATGGTACATATCTAATATTACAAAACATAAATTTAAATATTAAAATTTTTATAAACAAAAATAAAAGGTTATTTGTTAGGGACATTCCAAAAAAATGTTCTGCTTTGTTAATCATCATGATCTCTGAAATTCATGCTTTAAGCGATAATTATTGAAACGTCGATCATGGTTAATTTATCAAGTTATGAGTAAACTATTGGTTACAAATGGCATGAGAGTCTAAAGTATTTTTGGAAGTCGTTACACAGTAGGTCATAAATATTGTACAGATTTTTTTTGCCCTAGTTTCAAATATGACAATAATGATTTTGACGAAACTAAAAATTTATCATATGCATGTTCACAATATCCTTTCATATGGTACACATTTATGGGTGGCAAATTTATATGAGACACAATCATGGTTAATGATGAAATTAAGCATAACTCCTAAATGTTTTCTCTCACATAATCCATGCATGTAACCCCAAGATGCTCTAAGTAATCATGATCCATGTGTTGACAAAAAAACAAGAGATCATGATCCATGTAACCCAAAGAAAAAGGGTAAATGTTTTAAATTGAGAGAATCATGTACTGTCACATGTACTCAGCTTTAAACGGTATAACGTATTAAAATGGTGGTATTTTCAATTTAAAAGATAGGTACGTAGGATATTGTATATACTCATTCACTTATTTTCAATTATTATTTGAAGCTTCTTTAGTAGTAACGTGATACATGTGGGAAAACGAAGGAGGAGACAATATATACGTATTATTTATGATAATTTTTGGCAAGTTTTTCTGCTCTAAAAGTATATAATTGTTGAAATTCATTTATCTTTTTTTTTTTTTGTCATCTGTTGAAATTCATTTATCAAATCATAACATTCACTGATAATTTTGAGAGTATAGAAAATAAAAGTCATATCTTCGATGTAAAACATAAGAAAATCTTCAAAATCATGAATTTCAAAAATTGGAACGCATGTCGATATACACAACACAATCCCAAAACGATTAGAAAATGTTATAACTTTGGTATGGATTGCTTTGAGAAAACTTGGTGAACGAACATATAATATAAACTAATCATGTCTATGTGTATTGGTTCTAGCTTACATATATAGAGTTTGACTTGAATCCAGATGATTACTTATTAATGTGAATTATAGAGTTTGACTTGCTTCGAAGAATTCCAAGTTTATGGGATTTAAAATAACGATACAATCCAGAAACCTTTATAAGTCAAAAATCCGCCGACCACTCTCGGTTATGTAAGTGATAAAAATATCGAAATACATTTACATTTATTTGTTATGTGATCCATAATATAATCATCACACGAGATAAATATTTTAAAACCCTTTTCGTGGTTGACAAATTCACAAAGATTCGCCGGCCTTTCGATTGGAGGGATCTATATAAATTCATGTCGGTACATTTTTACCACTTTCAGTAATTTGTACCAATTTTTATACTAAAGAACTCTCTTTCTGTACTATTAGTAGAATTCGAGGTTATATATATAATACAAGTTAAGTTCAAGAAACTGTCAGGCACTAAGGGGTGATAATCCAGTATCTATTGTTTCGAAGTTCGAACGCCTATTTAGAGTTTAAACGATTTTAGGCAGTTTAGATATTTAAAACATTAAAAACTTATAAATATGATACTATTTATAAAAGTTATAAAAAATTATATTACAGAATAATATATTACAATATTACCATAAATAAAAACTAATCAAAACAATCTATTTAATTCATATCAAGCAACATACAGTATATAAGCAATTATAATTATATATATATAGGGAAACTTAGATTTTTCTTTTTTTTTTTTAAAGATGAAAATTGATAATAAAATAAAATAATAAGACTTATGCAAATTTAGATAGTGAAGATGGTCGTTTATGCATGTATCATCTAAACGCTTAGCGTTTATACTAAACCTAAAAAACCGTGCGTATATACCATTTTTTGGAACACTTGTACTAGTGTGTCATGCAATTTCCAAAACTTCATAGCTTTTGGTTTTGTATGAATCGAGTGATGATATTGATTGCGGTGTATCAAGTTTTATGATATGGATGGATTATGAGATGTAACAATTTTTAGCTTATTCGGACCATTCTACACGGTGCAAGTGTGTGTGTACTAACCCATGTACGTGTATATCTACTCTAGAGAAACAAATATCCATAAATAAAGAACTTAAATGGCTAAGCAGTGAATGTTATGGTATCGATGGCTAAGTGGACCCTTAAACGACACTGGCCTCAAGAACAAATACAAAAAAAAAACTACTTATTGTTTCATTCACATGAGTTTTAGTGTTTAAATCAACATATACGACAACGTATGTCACATGCTTGTCGCTGATCGTAATACTTTCAATATTCCATTAATCAGAAAATGACAAAGTGTTAGTCTTTCAACAAAAAAGAAAGAAATTAAGATAAAGTGTAGCGTAGCGTGACACTGTTGTAAGTTGTAACACTTAGATTTAAAATTATTTTAAATTTATTCCTAAACGTATATCTCATGTTCTTTGTGTGTGTGTGTCTTATGTTTTAGAACAGTCAAAGATTTCAATATATGATTGATGGTACTAATGTTTCACCAATTTTCGCACTATTGATGCAAAGATTAGACTCATCTAATGAAACGTACGTAGAAGAACAAATAGAGATTTGCATCTATACAAACCAAATCTTTTTAAAAAGATTAGTTGTTTGTTAAAGGGGGAAAAAAAAACGGCTGTTTAAAGAGGACCTATATGTCGTATTTGTCAGATCTTGTGTTCTTATTTAGTAGTATTTTTTTTTGTCAGGTCTTGTGTTCTTAGTACAAGTCGTATCAGCTCGACGCGTGTGATTAAAAAAATGGTTCATAGACTCATAGTTCATACGCGAAACCTTTGACTATTTTGCTCGATCTTAAGCTCGTTACTTAAAACCATATATTATATAATATATGATAGTTACAATATGTTAATATATATATCTTCATGATCCATATAACTAATCTATGCATATATATTATAAAAAGCACATGTGCCTTCTTCTTCTAATTTTTGTCAACTCCCAAGAAAAAAAATGGACAAAAGAAGAAGATGTGTCCTACTGATATTGAGATCCCTGAGTGGTCCATGCCTGATATAACACTGTTATGTGGTTTGTATAATAAGATTGTAGATTGATGTGTGGCTTGATCTAATTTGGGCTAACAGATTGGAGACTAAGGGTTTCACATTGAACTGTTAGAGCATTTAAGAGTCATTCTCACTATTGCAGTTAGGTAGTGACAGTGATCGATTTCACATATATATAATATTGGGTCCAATTCCAAAAAAAACTATATAGCAGCTAGCTCGAGCATTTTCACATGTACAAATTTCACTTGATTGTGATTGCATGAACGCGTAAAATATATTTTTTAGATTGTGTTTAGAACTAGAATACCGAAAATATCTACTTTTTACCAACCGACCTTTTAAATCTTTAATCTAAATGAGCATATATAGTGGTATTTTATTTTACATACTTACATTGTACAAAACGTACAAGTTTGTGATGGAACCGTGGAATACTGTAAGACTTCGTTAAGTTAGAACTCAATAGATTAATAAATATTGTTATAGAATCTGATATTTATGCGTACAACTCATTTTAAAAGTATTATTATATTTTATTCAACTTCATCAACAAACACTAAAACCCATCTTTGTAAGTAAGAACATTTTTCATATCTATTATTTATGTTTATTGTTATAACATAAATAGCCTAATAGTATTATTAACGAATATTTTATCGTGACAGCAAAAATCATTAATCATAAAATTTTATAAAAAAAAAATTTCACTAAGTGAAGTAAAAAGAGATATATATATATATATATATATATATATATATATATATATATATATATATAAATAAATAAAAAAACTGCGAAAAAAATCAAGAAAGTAAAAAACCAAAGAAGATTAATGTTAAGGAAAATTTCACAAGTCAATAAATATTAGTTTAACAATTAATGTAAAATTTCAAGTTAAAAGATAAGTTAAATATGGTGTCAACAGTATCAATTTATTGAAGTTAATTGTACCGTCAATATTTTTTCTGTTTATGTCTTATGCAAATACAAAACCTAAATAACAAATTACATAAAAAGGCAAAAACGTGTATAATCTAGTTTAGCGGTTCAAATGAAAAACGTAGTTACTAGTTACAACCAAAGTAATACAGAAAAAAAAAATTATAACGTAAATAGTAATTTATTCTTTGAGAAAGAAAATAATATTAATATTTTTTTCAGTTGAAAAAAAAAAGATAAAAATTATTGTGTTTATAACTTTTTTTCTTTTGCCATTTAAGATTAAAAGACAACAAAATAGTACTTACCATTCACATCACTTTCATGGTATTCAAAAAAGCAGCCGGAGATGCAAACTAAGCAAGAATACTATAGAGATATGGAAAAAGACAAATAGGCAAAAATGCCGATAATGTTTGACCAAGAAATGGTAAAGAAACGTTATATTATGTTATGTGCAACATAAGCTAAACTACAATAAAATAAATAAAAATACAATTGATGAGAAGAGAGAGTCTATTGGTCAAAACTCTGACATTCTTCTACCAAAAACATCTATAAATACTTCATTTCGTTCATTCTCATATTTCACCAGCAAACATTCTCAATACAACAACACATATTGCACCTTTATCACTTCCTCCTATACAATTCTTCACAAAGAATACGAAATACACGTACGCATACGTATATATTTTTGTTCTTGCACATAAATATTTTGGAGAGACCGGGATGGAGTTTCTTGATGAGGTGTCTCGAGTTTGGTACATGTTCTTCTACGTGTTCGTCCTAGTTCTTTGCCTTATGTTCTTCAAGCTCTTTCTACGTTGCTGGATTTTGCCAGTTCGTACTCAGAAGAAGCTTAGAGAGAACGGCTTTAAAGGTCCGCAGCCTAGTTTCCCATTTGGAAACCTTAATGACATGAAGAAGCTGAAGATGGCTTCGGTAATGGTCAATAATAGCAAATCTTCCACCATGATCAACCATGACATACACTCCATTGCACTTCCACATTTCGCTCAGTGGCAACAAGATTACGGTAATTACTAATTAATCTCCATTCTCGTATGTATTTAGTTCTGGACGTTCATAACCATATGACCGGTTTGGCCACCAGCATTATTACTATATATAATTACTAACGTATTTACGTTTTACGTGACGCAGGGAAAGTGTTTGTTTACTGGCTAGGGATAGAGCCGTTCGTGTACATAGCTGATCCTGAATTCTTGAGTGTTATGTCGAAAGGTGTATTGGGGAAGAGTTGGGGAAAACCAAATGTTTTCAAGAAAGACAGAGAGCCAATGTTTGGTACCGGTTTGGTTATGGTCGAAGGGGATGATTGGACACGACATCGTCACATTATAACTCCTGCTTTTGCACCTCTTAATCTTAAGGTACAAAACTTTAATTTTGTCTCCGTTTACATTGGCAAGAGTCCAAATTGTAGAAAATTAATAGGGTGACTAATCTAGTTCAACAATTTAGACTTTATTCATAGTCCTTTGCCCAAAAGCATGAGCCACCATTTATCATGAAAGATAAATTTCAAGTTCTTATGGTGTTGAAAAGACTATTGAATTTTTTTTATTAGACTCATTCAATTCAAAGTGTCATAGTAGACTATTTCTCATTTTCTCATTACTTTCCACTGATCGTCTACATTACCAGGCAATGACAAACATGATGGTGGAATCAATCTCCAACATGTTGGATCGATGGACAATACAAATAAACTCGGGCAACCCCGAATTTGACATGGAAAGCGAGATCATAGGAACAGCTGGTGAGATCATCGCCAAGACAAGCTTCGGAGTAACTGGAGAAAATGGAACTCAAGTTCTCAAAAACCTAAGAGCTGTGCAGTTCGCTCTCTTCAACTCAAACCGCTACGTAGGCGTACCGTTCAGCAACATTTTGAGTTTCAAGCAAAACGTTAAAGCTAAGGAGCTAGGCCGAGAGATCGATGGTCGCCTTTTGTCCTTCATAAACGAACGGAAGAGATCTTTGGTCAAAGGTGACGACCAAGGCCATGATCTTCTTGGAATGTTGCTTAAGGCGGATCGTACAGGGAATTTTACTGCAAAAGAGCTGGTGGACGAATGCAAAACGTTCTTCTTCGCTGGCCACGAGACGACGGCTTTAGCACTGACGTGGACGTTCATGCTTCTTGCGATCCATCCCGAGTGGCAAAACACGATTAGGGAAGAGATTAGACAAGTCATCGGAGATTCCAAGATTGAATACAACAAACTTGCCGGACTAAAGAAGGTACGTTACCAAACAACAGTACACAACAATCCACGTGCTTTATTATTTGCATGCATAACATTATATTTGGACGCGTTCACAAAAAGATTGTGTACAATTTGGCAATTGGCATGTTCACATTTTCTTAGATTTTTTTTAGTGCACGTAAAATTGTGGATATAAATGGGACATTGATACTAAATACTACATAATTAATATACACCTTAAGTATAATTAAAATCTAATTAATATACACATCTGACCACTGTGGTCAAAGTCTAAAGTCACAAAAGAAGTCAAAATCTACGAAATGTATCAAAGCATAGAGGCGCGTCGCCTCTCTAGATCAAAACTAGTCAACGACTGCGCTGACCAATAAGTGATGCGCCACGTAATCTCATATCCACTCATAATGCATATTATTATATCTGTTTTTTATCCATGACAAAAACGTGTGACACAAGTATCTTTAATTATATAACACCTTTAATTAAAAATTAATCAAATCACTTACCTCTTGATTTGTTTGTATATATATATATATATATATATTAACGAATTTGTGATGATTGAATGCAGATGAGTTGGGTGATGAACGAGGTTCTCAGGCTATATCCACCGGCGCCGAACGCACAACGGCAAGCTAGGAAAGACATCGACGTGAACGGCCGAGTGATTCCGAACGGAACGAACATTTGGATCGATGTGGTGGCGATGCACCACGACGTCGAGCTGTGGGGAGACGATGTTAACGAGTTTAAGCCGGAGAGATTCGACGGCGATTTGTACGGTGGTTGTAAGAACAAGATGGGGTTTATGCCGTTTGGGTTCGGAGGAAGGATGTGTATCGGTCGTAATCTGACGACCATGGAGTACAAGATTGTCTTGTCGTTGGTTTTGTCCCGGTTCGAAATCTCGGTTTCGCCCGGTTATCGTCATTCGCCGACGTATATGCTCTCTCTTAGACCGGGTTACGGTTTGCCTCTCATTGTTCGACCAATTTAGTTTTGGGGGATCGGATTAACACACAAATTTCATTTCATTTTTCGAGTTTTAATTAGGATCGTTGCAAATTTTTTATTTCGTTTGTCGGCAGATCAGAATGGTCTCTGAGTTTAAAGTATATTTGTACACATGTGTCTTTGTTTTTCCCGATTTGAGAATACATATACCTCTTCTTTTGTTTCTTTGGAATTTCACTAATTAATACAAATAAATATACAATTTGTGGCTTTGAATGGTTTGGTCCCTGATCGGACAATGTGGTACCAATTTTAGTAAGCAAAACATTGGATCGTAGTAAGGAGTAGACAAATAGTATACACTACGAGCTTTCAATATAGCCCATAAATATATATTGAAGGCTCTTTTTGTTTTTGGAACTAAATGCAATATACTAATTAAGATGGGTAGAATTTGAAAGTGGTAGATATCAGAAGGGTATTTTTCTAATTATACGAAAGGTTCGTATCACGTTTCTTGTCTCGTCTGTCTCTTGAAGCAACGAACCAACGAAAAGCGTAAAATGTAATCGTCTGGGAGAAAAATCTAAGTTGATGCGTATTTTTTCTTGGTAGTGAACTATGGCGTCTACAATGGCGACATGGACACCAAGCTCTCTCCAGCTCAGAATTGCCCTTAATTACGGTAGCTTCAAAGCTCCGGCGAGAGTGAAGATGACAAAGCTCAGTCGCCGTCTCCGGATATCATCAAGCGTTGCGCAGAACGCTGAACCGGGCCGCGATTTGGTTGAGAGTAATGGGTCGGATCAGTTTCGTGGGTGGGCTGATTCGGGAGACGACGACGAGAACACTACCGATTCTCGCGGTGGCGATTGGTTTAAAGGTACGGACTTTGTGATTACAAGTGTTGGGCTCTAATTTTAGTTTAATTGCTCTAAGTTAGTCTTTGTTGAAGGAATTTGAGTTTTTTTTCAGGAACCTTGTTATCTGGAGTGGCTGGGATGGTTCTGTTTGTTGGAATAACTTACGCAGCTTTATCTTTCAAGCGTAATGTTTTAAGTATGTACTTTAATCTTCGTTTAGTTTGAGATTAGACATCAGAATCGATACAATGTAGTTGATACCAACAAGTTAAGTTTGTCAATTTTTTGGTGAATTGTTTAGGACCAAAAGTAGAAGTTATGGTGGTCACTGTTGCTGAGAGTTCAGGTGATCAACTCAGCACGGTTGGGGATGAGGGAAGTGATGTAACGGAACAAGATAAGCAGGAAGGCTATAGAGGTATGGACACGAACGTTTTAGCTTCTTTTTATCTTTAGATATTTGACATACCAACGTTTGATAGATCTTAGAACAAATAGTGGTTATATGGACATAGGCTATTGAGTTCTTTGTTAAGTTCTTTGGTGTGAGATTTTAGAGCAAGTTGATAAATGTTTTTTCTCAGTTTCTTCATTATCTTACCTCTCAATGTTACTTTCCTCTTTAATAAGTCTTTTGTTTTCTGGATGTTAGTTTAGATTCTTCTGTTTCATCTCGGGATGACATAGATGTGGTGTCAAAATCTGCGTCTATTGGCAAAGAAAATGAAGAGTCGAAGAAAGCATCAGAAAGCTCAGCTGAGATATACACCTCATCGACAGAGTTGGATGGAGTAGTTACGCATACCTCTCATGTCCCAAACGAAAAGCAGAAAACCCGTCGTTATACAGGGATACCTGCTCCTTTTACAGTTCCCCAAGTAGATCTTATAAAACCTGTCTTCCCAACGGTTGTGGACCCAGTACAAAGTCAAGTGTTTGCAGCTTTGCAAGCTTTAAAGGTACTGTTTTTTTAACTTTCAGATTATTTTGAACTATCTAGCAATGCAACACTTTTATGATTTGTTAAGAACTAATTGCCAACCTATTTAATTTCAGGTTATTGAATCTGATGCTCTGCCTTATGATTTATGTACACGGCGTGAATTCGCTCGTTGGGTGGTTTCTGCAAGCAATGCTCTGTCGAGGTAATTATCAAAAATTTCTCGTCAAACATGGTGAAATGTTTCAATGCCTCACATTGTGAAATTACCTTCATTCATTACAGGAACTCAGCATCAAAGGTATATCCTGCCATGTACATAGAGAATGTTACTGAGCTTGCATTTGATGATATCAAACCTGAGGATCCTGATTTTCCATTCATTCAAGGTGATCATTAGATTATATTTTACATTCATGCTGAGTCAATGAAGTTAAGTGTAATCTGAGTCAATGAAGTTATGTTTAATCTGATTTCTTCATTTTTTATTGGATAGTATAGGTTTGGCAGAGGCAGGACTTATTTCAAGCAACCTCTCAAACCAAAACATGCCTTCTACTGAGAGCAGTCAGTTTACTTTCTCCCCAGAAAGGTACAAATGCTTTTTATTTTCATCAAACATATAAGTTATAAAATCCTAGCTACTGCTATGTGATATCCACTCTTCTTATCTCTTTTTTTCTCTACAGCCCTCTAACACGTCAGGATCTTGTGAGCTGGAAGATGGCTTTGGAATTCCGACAGCTCCCAGAAGCTGATAGCAAGGTTCTTTTTCTATTCATTTCTTTCGCCTTTTGCACATTTAGTCATTAGAGCGTCGTAAACCTTAAACAACTGCTTTTCCTTTTTCAGAAGCTATACCAACTTTCTGGTTTTCTTGACATTGATCAAATAAACCCAGAAGCGTGGCCTGCCCTTTTAGCTGACTTATCCGCTGGAGAACATGGAATAACAGCACTTGCTTTTGGTGAGTGAGATTCTTGCTTCTTAAGTAATCATATCATTAGAATTTCAGAACCACGTTTTGTTTTTTGAAAATCCTGTGTACCTCTAGGGCGTACCAGATTGTTTCAACCATCTAAAGCGGTTACAAAAGCCCAAACAGCTGTGTCTCTTGCAATTGGTGATGCTTTGGAAGTAGTTGGTGAGGAGCTAGCTCGTATCCAAGCAGATGCTATGGCTGAAAACGTGGTTTCTACACATAATGCGCTGGTTGCTCAGGTCGAGAAGGATATAAATGCTAGCTTCGAGAAAGAGCTTTTAAGAGAAAAAGAAATAGTAGATGCAGTGGAGAAAATGGCTGAAGAAGCAAAGTCGGAGCTGGCAAGAATTAGAGTTGAGAAAGAAGAGGAGACTCTTGCATTGGAGAGAGAACGCACATCAATTGAAACCGAAATGGAGGCTCTTGCAAGGATACGAAATGAGCTTGAGGAGCAACTCCAAAGCCTTGCGAGTAACAAGGCAGAAATGTCGTACGAGAAAGAGAGGTTTGATAGACTTCAAAAGCAAGTGGAGGATGAGAACCACGAGATACTCCGGTTGCAAAATGAGCTTGAAGTTGAAAGGAAAGCTTTATCCATAGCCAGGTATTGAATATATTATCTTGAAATATCTTCTTATTCAAGCAAAAGAGCATGAAACAAGTCAAACTTATGAGAGATTGAGATTTTAGCTCCTTCAGGTCATTTACGGTTTTGAGTTTGTGTGTTTTAAAGGGATTGGGCAGAGGATGAAGCGAGAAGAGCAAGCGAACAAGCAAAGGTGCTAAAAGAAGCTAGAGGACGTTGGGAGAAGTATGGGCTAAAAGTGATTGTTGACAGTGACCTCCATGAACAGACAACAACCGAATCTACTTGGCTGAACGCAGGAAAGCAAAATCCTGTTAAAGGAACCATGAAAAGAGCTGGAAGTCTGATTGCAAAGCTCAAGAAGATGGCGAAAGATGTAGGAGAGAAATCCAGAGACGTAATCTACTTGATCATAGAGAGGATAAGCCTTCTGATATCAGCCTTGAAACAACAAGTTCATGGAATGGAGAACAAAACCAAAGACCTGAAAATGAAAACCAAGTCAAAAGCAGAGGAAGTGTGGAGACAAACGAGCTCAAGGATTGATGAGATCAAAAGTGTCTCAGTAGTGAAGGCTAAGGAGACTGTAGAAGAGTTTAAGAACAGAGTCGGGAAACTCGGCGAGAAACTCAAGTCGAAGTAGGTTTGCGGTTTGGTTGAGATTAAAGATTTGTTAGACAAAAGAAGTAAAACAATGAAGTGTCTTTAAAAGATCTAATGAATCCAATGGTATTTGATTAGTTATTTGAAAAGCATTTGAGTTATTTAAAGGAAAAAATGTCATTTAATACACGAACTTTCAAATTTAGGCTATTTAAATCACAAACTTTCTACATAGCTATTTAAAATATGAATTATTCGTTAACTTAGTTTTTAAAACATCATTTTTCGTTGACAAAGCTAAAATGAATATCATATCTTCAAATTTAAAACCAATCGATTCGTTTTTTAGTAATATCCAAAACCGAACCGAATTCTAAAATTTCGGTTTGGCTCTCCGGAATTAATAATATGTTTGGTCTAATTAAAAAATCTAAACTAATATGTGAGAAAGATAAAAACAACAAGAAATAAATATTCCAGTTCTGTAAATCGTCCACGTCTTCTAAAACCTCTTACGTAATCCGCCACGTGTTCACTTATTCACACTCTTTTTATCTTCCTTCTTCTCTCCCAAACTCAAAATTTTCTCACCACATTTTCCCGAGAAAACTTTAACAAAACCAAAAAAAAAACAATGTCTGGAGGTGTCGGTCCAACGTACAACGACATAACCTTACCTAAAGAAGAACAACACCAAACCCAAACATCATCCACCGGAAAAACCGCCGGATTCTTTTCATTCCGGCAACTAAACATCCTCGCGATAATCATCGTTCTCGCCGCAAGTGGTCTCGTAACGATCGAAGATTTCATATTCACGATCCTCACACTCATCTACTTCTTCTTCCTCTCCAAACTAATCTTCCCACCTCACAACAACCCAAGCCGCGACGCTCCTCTCACAAGCTCCACTAACAAGATCTTCCGTATCTACGTAACATCGGCGGGGATCGTCGGGCTTTTGATCCCGATCTGTTACATCTTCGAAGGGATCGTTGAGGATGACAAGAGCGGCGTGAGCGCAGCTGCACCGCACGTGTTTCTTTTGGCGAGTCAGGTTTTTATGGAAGGTGTGGCTGCGTCGTTTGGGTTCTCTGCTCCGGCGAGGATTCTTGTTCCGATTGTTTATAACGCTAGGAGGGTTTTGACTCTTGTTGAGTGGATTTTGAGTGAGTTCTCGAGGGAGTATGGGACGGGTACGGTGTCTGCACGGCGGATGTACGCCGGAAAAGTTTTGGCCGCGGTGAATTTGGGGATTTGGTCGTTTAATCTCTTTGGTGTTTTGATTCCGGTTTATCTTCCCAGGGCTTTTAAGAGGTATTACGGCGGTTCTGGCAAGGAGAATTGAAATTCCGGTTTAGTTCCGGTTTCAAGAAGCATATTTGAAATCCGGTTTAGTTTCCCCAGCTCTTGTTGTCTTTTTGTTTGATCGGTCCGGTTTGGTTTTAGGAGTAATCGTGATCTTGATGTGTTTTTCTTCTTTGTTCTGTATACTATTTGGATGTTTTTTCCTTTGAACAATCCAGTTTATGTAGTTCACAGTTATTTGAGATTTCTTACGATTATATCAAAATCTATGTTTCAAGGTTATAAAATGAAATGTCTACTAGGCTAAGACCGTTCACGATCTCAGTTGAAACACTTATGTTTGTGTGAAATAGCAACGGAAGAAATAAAATTTTATTTCACAAGGCATGAGTGCTTATATCAATGATGTAGGAGCTGATCCAAGAATATTCCAAAGTTCCTAACTACATCAGTACAGAAGTTAACTGTAAACCAAAGCTTAGCTTATTTATTGAGTGTGTGTATAAGTTGTTAGAACCCAATCTCTTACCTTTTTATCACCATCCATGTTCAAGGGTTGTTATAGTGTTTTTTGGTAATGAAGAAGAAGAATGAGACGTGTGTTTATTTAGGTTAGCTGACTCCAGAACGTAAGCCAGGGAAGAAACTCCAGCTGTTTCCTGCGACCTTCTCGATATTCTCGTCTTTCGTGTTGTCGAATTTGAATTCTTTGCTAGATCCAATCGATGAGGAACTCAGCTTCTGTATTCTCTGCTGTTCCGTCTCTCTATTCTCTGTACTTTCAATCTTTTGGAAGCTGTTTCTTCTTCCTCTGTCTGTTGATGAACTCTCCTCTGTCGCAATCCTGTCATTGTTGTTCATTCTGTCGTGTGATCGATTTAGCTTGCTTGCAAGACAACGTGCAACGTCTTCGCCTGTTAACTCAAATGAAACTCTGTGATCTGCCACAATGACTTCAGAGCCGTGATCCGAATTGGCTAGTGAAGCGACCTCAGAGATCTGATTCTGAAGAGGCCATGTGGTGTTGCTGGGTGTTAGGTTCCCAGATATTATCTCTGGAGCATTTGGTGTCAGAGCGCCTGAAGCCATACCTGAACCGTGCCCAACAGGAGTGATCGATCCAGAACCAAACCTCGATCCCCATTTACGGGCTGTGAAATGCTCAAAACCAAGGAACTTTGGAGGCTCGCCTATTCGAAACTCGACCATGGGTGATTTACCAGGGTAAGGAGAAGATGTACCAGAGTTTGAAATCACTGACCCCGGGGAGATTAGATTACCACCACCAGGACTTCCTGGACACACCTGATTAGACCGAAACTCATAATGTGAAGATGAGAACTTTTGGTTTATCCCACTGCTATCTCTTCGAGTTAGCTCCAATGAAGATGTAAGCAACTGAGCAAAGGGCACCTCAGGTGACGAAGGTGTAACTGACGATTCCGGAGGCGGAGTATATGGTGCAGTGGAGGGCTCCGTGATAAACGCAGAGAACACCGGAGGAGTGACAGGTTGAGTTTCGTTAGCGTAAGGTCCAACAGTAAACACCGATTGAGGTTCCTTAGGAGAAAATGTATTGCTGGTAAGAGAAAGTGGACCAACAGGCGAATGAGAAACAGATGAAGGATCCGATGGAAGAAACGAAGCTGGAGATGAAGGAGGAGCTATAAAGGGAAGAACAACTGTAGTTGAAGTAGCTGAGTTTTGAACAGTAACCACCGGAACTCCAGATGCAACAGGTTCAGGTACAAGCACAGCATTACCAATCCGTTTGTTGTTCTTTTGAGATCCAAAACACGAATACAAACTCCAACATTTTGCCCATCTCCTCTTCTATATAAAACCAAACACAAGGAAATTAGATTTATGATCTACAGAATCAAAAATAAACAACACTCTTGAAAATCTTGATCCCCTTAATAGAGACATAGATCACTGTTTCAACCAAAACTTTCTCAAAGTAAAAAGCTTTTAGACATAAAGTAGTAGTGTAATAAAGAACATTGCAAACCTTTTGTAGTTTTCCAATAATTACCTAAACCTTTGTATAGTTCACTTTTGGAGGAAACTATACTATCTGAGGAAAATTACTAAGCATGAACTGAAATAAGTATATATTTCTTTAAAAAACACTTTTTAACCTTTATAATCATGAATGCTATTATGACTTGTAAAGCACAAACCCACAATAAGATTGAAAAAAAGCAAACAAATTATTCTTTCGTCAACCATTCACCTTTTTTTTTTGAGTGACCAAACGAAATTGTAAAAAAATCCACAACACACAAAGAAAGAATTAAAACTGAATTGCATAAATCTGATCTAAGAATCTAGTAGTTAGTACAATAGAACAAAATTAGAAAGCTGGATCTAAAACCTCGAGAATCTTCTTCGATTTCGTAAACACAAATCTTTCATTATCCCTTTTCAACCGTAATTAAGTGATTGAGTGAAGCTGAAATGCTTAGGGGATAACCACACAAAAAATCGAAATCTAATGAAACTAATCATTAGTTAGGAATATAGTGACGATCTACCGTCAGATTCATAAACAAACAACACTGATCTGAATCATAATCACATTTATAATATCGGAAAAAAAAAATAGAAGAAGAAGCTTGGTGGTAGTAGTGAAATAAAAACCTGAACAGAGGAAGGCTGAACACGAGACTCGGCGGTGATGATAGCAGTAGCGGCGGCGTTAACAGTCTCAACGCTATTATTAACGTTCCTCATCTTTAGACTACAGATTCAAACCGACAATAACATCCAGATTCGATACTACTACTACTACTATTACTCTTACACTTGGGGATCTCTGAGAGACAGAGAGAGAGAGAGAGAGAATTTTCCGAGAAAATCGAGAAGAAAATAATGAAAATGAGAATAGTTTAAAAGAAAAAAGAAAAAAAGGTTTTATGTATAAAAACGGATGGGATTGTGAATTCTCTCTCTTCTCTCTCTGTCTTGGAGGGGGGTCGTTATCTAGTCCAGCCTTTCAATTCAATTTTTCACCACGAGCTATTGCCACGTCATCATTATTATGTTCCTTCACACGCGCTTCGGTTAAAAAAACTTTATTACACTTAATGAAAAATCTCTACAGTTTAGTATTGTACTTTGATAATCTTTCAAACCGTATAAATGTAAGTTTTTTTCTGTTCAAGAAGAAAATATAATATAATAATATGTATAAAGGTTGGTTTGTGTCTACTTTGGAAGATGAATTTTGGTTTTTAATACATTTTTACGAGAATTTTATATACTCGTATGTATTAGTTCGTAAAATGATTCTTCTAGTCAAAGGAAATAAGAAAATATGTGTCAGACCATGCAAATTAAGAGTTGACCATTAGCCGTGTATGATATGTAATGGGGACCGATCAATAAGTGAGGATGTGAGGGGTAATATATAATAATAAGCCTCTTCTCTTGCTTCATCATTGGAAACTCCCATGTGACTCTCTCTTCTCTTCTCACAAGTTTAAGTTATTACCCCAATTCTTTTTAATATCATCTTTTGATAACGATAGTCACTTTTTTTATATTCATTACTAATAATTTTTAATTTTTCTTTTTCCTTTTCTACTGTCGTTTATTACTGTTTTCATCATGCGATAATTTGTTTGTTTTCTAACTAATGTCTATTAAAGAAGATTTTACAAAAAGGTTTTTGGGGAACAATATATAAAAGAAAGTGCACGTGCGCACACCATAGTAATAGGTGAGGTTGTGTGTGTGAAGCTGTGATGGCTTTTAGAGCAAACCCTCGTGCGTGCGTACGACTGCCACTGACTGCTTTACCTTTCTTTCTTTTTTTCTTTACCTTTTTCCACTTTTCTTTCTTTCTTCCTTTTCAACTCTACTTGGAAAAACTATTTTACTACTACTACTACTACTACTTTTTTATTTCTTTACTTTTTAGGATGTTGATGAACTATGAGGTTATGAAAGCAATCAAGATTCTTCTCTAGTAAAATCAAATACTATTAGAGTAAATAGGATTTGGTTTGTATTGGTGTCGTTTAACCGGGTTATTAATCACGGTTTACTTTATGTAACTCAAACCCTCCCCGTATGTATATAAGAGGGTTCTATGTAAAGATAAACACAAGTTGAATGAGAATGTGTTCTTGAGCCTTCTTCTCTGTAGCCACTTTTTCTTGTTATCTCATTTATTTATCAGAAACCAATTAAGGCGACGAGTTCAACACCTAGGCGTTAGTCGGAAAGCGTTAATCTGGATCCAGGCGATGTGGTAGCCCAATTCCTAGGTATTGGCGACGAGTCCACGTTGTAGCACCTCGGTGCGATCCTCCCAAAGCTGACCGGATCAGCTGATCGAGTTTATCAAAAAAAAAAAAAAAAAAAAAAAAAAAAAACCAATCAAGGCATGGATCTTATTTGTTGTGCATGTAGAAAGAGCAAGAGCAACCACAATAAGCTCAACCAACTACTTTACTATATTATCTACGAGCAATTGCAAAGCCTCCTAAGGGCATCATTATCGCCGGCCCAAAAACGTAACCAAATTAAACCTCTTTAACGGCCCATTCCCCCTTGCTAAGGGAAAAAGAAAACAAAATTTTCTGTGTATGCGACTATCTCATTCAGATTTTCCAAAAGGATAATTTTAGATTTTTTATTATCTTTTTTCTGAGCGTTATTTCATTTTCAAGGCTAATGGACATTGTTGATTGGTGATGAAGGTGTGAGGAAGTAAAGTTATGGCTTAGGTTTCTCTTCGAAGCTGTTACACACAAACTATAATACAATCTTTCGAAGCTACTACTCATGGCCATGGCCTTTCAGATTATAGCTTCTTCTTCATCACCAACGATTACAAAATCTCACCTTTTCTCTTACCATCATCATCCTCCTCTGCAATCTTGTTATAAAGCTTCGAAATCTAATCTCTCATCATGTTTTTCTCTATTGGGTTCTTCTCGTTTCTCACCTTACATTGGTTTAAAGCATATGGGCATCTCAGTCTCCACTAAATCTTCAAACCCAGGTGTCGATTTCTCTTATCTCTCTACTTCAATTCTTCAGGGTTTTGTCAAAGTTGTACAATTTTGTGAAGGTTCTGTGGTTTTTATTCTTGGTGTGTAGAGAAGAAGAGAAGATGTAATAAGAGTATGGTGATTCGTGCGTCCCTGTTTGGTGTTGGAGCACCTGAGGCTTTAGTTATTGGTGTTGTTGCTTTGTTAGTCTTTGGTCCTAAAGGCCTTGCTGAGGTTAGTATCTTGTCTGTGGCAATTCCCTTGATGATTGATTTGAATTCATATCTTTTTAGGGTGTAGCAAGGTTATGAATTGGTACTGTTTGATTTAGCTTATGAGAATTGGAGTTAAAGCTAGAGATGGATAAGCTTGTTGCTTAATTCAGTTAGACTCTCTGTGGAATAAAGTCTGAATCTTTATCAATGTTCTTCATTGGGAACAAGTTCAATTCCACTCGTTCGGCAACTCCTCTACTGATCATTTGAGGAGTGATTAACAGTTACTTAGAATCTTTGAAGAAGTGATTACTTGCTATGATTTGTGCAGGTAGCTCGGAATCTTGGAAAAACCCTGCGTACATTTCAGCCAACCATTAGAGAGCTACAGGTTTGTTATTTATCTCAAGACTTTGAGGAAAGCATGAGGTTGGTTTTGCATATGTGCCAACTTTTTTTTGATTGCTTACATGTCTTTTTCTTAGGATGTTTCAAGAGATTTCAAAAGTACCCTTGAGCGTGAAATTGGTCTCGATGAAATGTCAACGCCAAACGTGTACAACCAAAACAGAATGAATACTGCTCAACCTCCTCCTCCTCCTCCTCCTCCTCCTCCAACATCAGTTCCTCGAAGTGAAGATCCTGTGACTGCAACTGACCCCAGTGAGTGCTCTAAGTTTACTATACATATGCTAATAGAATATGCATTTGATTGAGACATAATCGAGGTAGTTCGACTCTCGTCATACACATGCTCATGAATGGAGTAGTGAAGCTAAGCTAAGATAATTTTGTTTAATTTAAATAACCAGATGATGTTCAATCACCAAAAGCTTACACAACCGAGGAATACCTCAAGATCACTGAAGAGCAACTAAAAGCTTTGTCAACCGGTGAAGGCCAAACAGAGGACCAATCTCTGACTCAAGAACCGCTACAACAACCCGCAACTGTACAAACACCAACTGGAGAAAGCCAGCCCAATGGTTAGCCTTTCATCTGTCACTGTCAGACTTAATCCACGAATAATCAGCTAATTAAAAACTCTCTCATCATCTTCCAAATTGTCTAAAACCGGGTTATGTTGCAGTTACAGCGAGAGAAACAACAGCTGCATCTCCTCCAAGGCAAGATTGAAAGCACCAGAGTTTGACTTGTAGTGTTAAAAGCATAAGCCTCTCTCAATACATATTGGGAAGCTTCGGAGGGAATTTTTTTGATCTGCCAAAAGAGAAGAAGCTCTGGACATTCTCACAAAGCTTGTATGTGCATCTTGATGGATTGAAAATATCAGAATCTGTCTCAGTTGTGTAGTATTTATGTTCCTATTAGTTTCTATTCATAATGACAATTGAGTTCATTAGGTAAATCATAATGAACTGACTAAATTATTGGCTCTTGTAAAGTTCACACAGAAATTGAAAAATAAGAATTACACAGAGAGAACCAGAAGCAGATATAAATTTCTCTTACAACAAAAAAAGGCACACAATGGCTCTCAAAATACTACTACTGATCTGTCATCGGCTGCAAAATCTTTCACACCTGAAGAAGACTCAATTCTGTTTGTAGCTTTCTTGGCCTATCCATTATCAAATAAACAAAGAAAACATTAAATCAATCATCACAACCACATGATCACATTTCGAAATTCAGAAACTTTGTAACAAATATCTTTTACCTCTTCATCCCAATTTGTAAAAATGGTGACAAGGCCAAGACCAAAAAGTTGAACAACGAGAGCGCATATGATTCCAAGCCAAAGCCCCTTCACAAAATAACATCATTGATGTGGTTAACATTGACATTATTAATCGGTTAAGTCGAAAAAAGAATCTGATTAATTTTGGGTTAGTTTCATTTACCCGACCACCAACGTGAAAGTGAAAAGCAAGTAACAAGCCTAAAGGAACTCCAACAAGATAATACGATCCAAGATTAATGAATGCTCCTATCTTCTGCCATCCACATCCTCTAGCAACGCCTGTTTTTTAACCGGAAGATCAAACAAACATAACCGGACTTAACCAAGTTCCTCTTCCTCATGATTGGGAGAACTCTTACAAGGCTTTACTTGCAAGCAAAGAAATAAGAAAAACCTGAGAGAACGCTTTGAAGACTGTCTAGAAGGTTGCCTAAGGCGAGAATCGGCATCATCGAGGCAACGTAGGTGACTACTTCTGTTTCACTACTATAAGCCAACCCCCAAATATTCCTTATCAATATCAAAACTGATCCGATCACTATGCTTTCTATGATTGCAATGCATATGACCACGCGCACCGCAAGCTTAGCCACTTTAGGATTACCAGCTCCTAACTCATTCGACACCCTCGTGCTACACCGATTTTAAGGGATAGTCAGTGGTCTATATAATGAGTTTGATATAAGATTACATGATATTCAAGTTATATAAGTTTACCTTGCAGCGCCACTGAGACCAAATGGGATCATCCACATTGTCCCTGATGTATTAAGGCTGCAATTATTTTATGACCAAAGTCAATTTTACACTCAAGAACAGATTAAATACTCTTGAATTAGGGGAAATACACAATCACTATCATATGCACAATTCTTACCAGATTGAGAGAACAGAAGTTTCTAGAACAGGGTTTGGAAGAAGTCCTGATAAGAGAACTAAAAGTTCAAAGGACCACATCTCTAAGCTGTACACAAACAACATTACTTATAAATATCAAGATAACTTAGTTAACTGATCCATGTAACTGATTCATTAATTCATACACATGTATTACCAAACCATAAGTGCAGAAGGAACAGCTAGTCTCAGAAAAGGGATGATATCGCGTAGAGCCTCCTTAGAGAAACCGGTCCAAGTCAGTGAGCAAGAAGGCGAGAACTTGACGTAACAGAACAAGAGAATGACATTAAGCCAATACGAAATGGAGTTGGCCACAGCAGCTCCTTGAAACCCTAAACCAGATTTGAAAACCAAGACCCAACAAAGAAGGACATGAAGAGAAGTGGTGACTCCAGAGCAGAAAACCAGAGGGAACACATTGTTTTGGGCCTGCAAGAACCTGTTAAAGCATTGAAGAAGACCGTAGGCGAAGATACTTGGGATCATGAACTTCGCGTAGGAGCCAGCGAGTGCAGCGATGGCTTTGTTTTGTCCAAAGAAGACAAGAAGGTGCTCTGTGTTTGCCCAGATGATGGAGAGAGGAATAGAAGATAGTGTAAGAACAAACATTGCTCTTTGCATTTGTATCCCTAACATTCCATACTTCTTTGCTCCAAACGATTGGCCACATAGTGTATCTAACGCACTAGCTGTTCCCATCTGTTCATAAGAAATACGGAAGAAATAAAAAAGGTGAATCAGTATGGTTTCTTGTTTCACAAGTAAATGTTAACGCAATTTGTAAAATAATAAATTTGGATTTGGTGATATCATTAACTGTGACAATGTTGGACATGTGGGTTTCGAGTTTAAGTAGGAAAAGAATAAGCACTGTTCTTTTTTTTCTTTTCTTTTCTATCCTGATGATGATTTACTTATGTATTATTTTGGCTTTTTCCACTTTGGTCCGTATAATGACAAGTTTTGTGTTTTTTAATGTTTTGTCGTGAAATCTGTATGAGTGGCAGAAAAGATGCTTACGCAACTTGGGTATTCAAACAAGGTGGCCTATCATAGAATATACGATGAATAAAAATAAAAAATAATATACAAGATCTTTACTGATTACATAAATTACTATTATTTATGCTAAAGTTATATATAGAAGAAAAGCAAAAAAGGAAATTAATATCAGCCATTATGCGATTAGAGTTTCAGATTCATACGGTTTTCAATATAAAAATTTAGAAGAAGATTAAGTAAGATAAATGCTTAAGAAGAAATGCATATACTGTATATATATGAGAGTGAGGAAAGTACTGACGAGGAAGCTGAAGCCAGTAACGGAGGCGAAAGATGTGGCGATGGAAGCGGCCGAGAGAGGAAGAGACCCAAGATGGCCGACGAACATGACGGAGATAACTTGGAGGCAGAACTGAAGAAGACTCACGGCGATGAGTGGACCGGCAAGCCATACCTGTTTATTCACTTCCTCTTTTACACTACTCTTCTCTCCGATCAAAGGCCATGACAATTCATCTTCTCCTCTTTCTCTGTCGGACGACCTCATTTTTTTTTTCGGAGAAAGAGCAAAGTTACGCAAGTAATGATGTTCCTGTCTTTATGGGAGGGCTTTGTGTTTTAGGTCAGGTCGCTCTCTACCTCTCTCTCTCTCTTTGTACCTTGTGATGTGTGATGTGTGGTGTGTGGTGATCGAGTAGTTTTTTTTTTCATTTTTTTCAACTTTATAAATAGAATTGTACATGAGTGACCTATCACCTAATAAGGTATCTACGTGGCTAATAATGAAAATCAAATGGAGTTTATTACCTTTGGAAAAAAAAAAAAAATTGAGAAAACTTTTGGCACACCTAAGTTGAAATTTGTTTCGTTCGATTTGATCGGGTTCGGTTCTGTTTGAGTTTCTATGTCCCAAAAAGAAATACAAAACCTATCTTGTATGAAAATTTTGTTTCATAAATTCAAAAGTAATCTTTTGTAAATTAGATTAAATTTTAAGATGTCAAAAGATGTTAACTATTATTTATTGTCATTACAAGTTATACTCTTTGAGTTTGCTTCAAATGCAAATTGCATATCATACATAGATCTTTTTGGGCTATGTAACTAATGACAACATTTAAGAATCTTGTGAAAACAAGATTAGTTGTGACTTGCAAAAATATAATCACTAAAAACAATCATAAAAGAATAGCTTGATTAAACGTGTGTATATGCTATATTGATATTTTTAGCAAATGAGAAGAGAACATATTCTTCATTCAATTCAAACATAAGCTTAGACATAGAAGCTCTAGGCATATATTTAAACTCTTCTTTTGTCATCTCATCCGTTACACGATAGGAGGTTGGTATAAAGTGATTGTCACTTTCTTTAAACACTTCGAATTAGCAAGTATGTATCTCAAGACCTGTTTCTTCTCTTCGCTTGCTCTATATCTCTTCCACGCAAACACCTCTAAACGAGACGTCAAGCAGCTGGGAACTAAACTTGGTTGTTGCCATGACAATGGTAGATTCCCGGGTTGATGTCCATTATCCTAGATGCAAGTAAGTACATCAAAATGTTAAGAGTAATGAATCAAATTAAAGAACCAGTTTATTATCAGTCTACAACAAATGATAGTGTGTTTTTGTTAGCTTACAAGGATATATAGATCTCCTAGTCGAGGAGAGTTGTTGAGAATGAATGAAAGCAGTTCCAACCAGAGATCGCCATATGAAAATAGCTTAAAGCTTCGAAGTCGAGAGAAGGTAGTAATGCCACTAAACTTAAGAGTCTTCAGCAATGACTTCAAACAACAGACAATAAAGCAACATACTGATCAAACTAACAAGGATAAGGGATAAAAAGTGATAAAGCGAGAGATGGAAACCATACCATTGGATCTTTCAAAGTTACAAAAAGACACGAAAGAATTGGGATAGTTTGAAGAAACTTGTCACCAGTTTTACATAAAACGAAGATATGTGGCACATCAAAGCGAAACTTATTCAACATGGAGAAAGGATGTGTCCTGAAATCAGTGATGCCGAGGAACACTGTCAATTTAGCAAGAACTGAACAACTTGATACAAGCCTCTTGAAGGAATCTTCGTCTTTGAACTTCACAAAGAATAAGCGCAATATTTTGAGTGAAGGGAGGAAAATCGAAGAAGGAACATCCACAAGAATAATGTCCAAAAGATTCACTTCCACAAGCGTTTTGCATGTGTAAAGGCTCTTAGGCAAGCTAGTAGCACGCCAGGTCCAGTGAAGCTCCAAATCTAGTTTGCACAAATAGCGATCAGCTGCATTTGCAACCACTTTCTCAATATCTATACCATAACTAAGAGTACTTCTACTTAGCTGGATACAGAGAGTTTCTAGTACAGGTGCCTTGTGAAGTTCCATTGACTTGTTAAGAAACCACGAAATGCTTTTGTATTCATCATAATCATTGTACTCGAGTTTAGGCACCAACGTCCAGATATCACGCCATCTTTTTGACAATATCATTGTGGCAACCGCCTCTCTGGTCGAGACAAGCGACAAGATCCTGATGAGCAAATCGTTGGACAGAGAACTGATCTTGTCTCTCGAATCAACATTTTCTTCTCCTGATGACATAAAGCGAAGCGTTCGTGATTGAGATGACCAAAGATATGTGAATAGATGTAGACGAAGAGGATCCACGTTGAACCCTAAAATTATATTCTGCCTCACAATTCACACACAAAAAAAATTAACCCTAAAAGGCTAAGGTAACCTCCAACCATGAGTTTTTTATTTTGAGATTTTAAAAGATAAAATATTAATATCTTTATTTAATTTAATTATTGAATTAAATTTTAGTTAAAAAATAAATTAAACCACTAAAATAGATAGATTCTTATTTCTCTCTCTCCATTTTCAATTTTTCAATATTTTTATGATAAAGTTTTACTATGAAATTCCAATGAACCTCCCATTGGAGGTGGTCTAAAACCCGTTTGTGTTATTCATACGCAGTACTTAAAAAAAGAAAAAGAAAAAGAAAAATACACACTTGCCTAATTACTACACTAGCGTTTAAAGTTTCCCTAAACTAATTTTGTCAAATTAAAGTCCACTTATATGTTTAGCTTATCAAACTGTCCAAAAAACTCTAGAAACGAATAAAGAGGCCCATATAATAGTAAAATCACATCGTAATGGTTGAAGCTTGAAAGCATAATGTTGCAGCCGAGTCTCCCAAAGTCCTACGGCTACTACGCTCTAACCGGACCACTCCAACATCTATCTCTGTGTTTGTGTAGCTTTAAAGGGTAAACATCTATCTCTGTGTGTTTTGCTTTGATTTATTGATTGCTATCTCAACAATACTGATAGTTGTCTTCACAAATAATATAATATACTCTTTGTTTTAAAAGGTAGAAGCGCTGTGTCAACTTGTGTTTGAGGTCCGGTTTCTCAAATTACAACATGTTTTTTTTGAACTATACGTAAATGACACCTTAAACTTTGATTCATGTATGCATGGATTTTGTAAAATCAAGAGCAATTATAAGACTTGCAAATAACTAACTAAAAACAATCAATAAAAAAAAGTAGCTTTGATCAAATGCGTATGTGTACATTGTCATTGATTTGAGATAGATATGGTTATCTATCAAATGGTGAGAGGATATATACATAAATTTCATTCAAAACAAAACTTACACGTTGTTAAAACTCTAGGCATAGACTTTAGCTCCTTTTTTGTCATCTCTTCCTCTTCATGATTGAAAGTTGATGTCAAATTGATTCTCACTTTCATTAAACACTTTGAGTTTGCAAGGATGTATCTCATAAGCTACTTCTCTTCTTCGTTTCCTCTATATCCTCTCCATCCAAAAAACTTTAGATGATACGATAAGCATCTCATCTACGAACAAAACTTGGTTGGTACCATGTCAATGTGATATTTTCGGCTCCAAATCCCTTTAAGATGGATGCAAATAAAAGTATACATCAAAATTTACGTGGTGGAATCAAAGAATCAGTTTATAATTAAAACAAGGATACTTGCTTTGTAACTTGTTACTTACAATAGTGTTGATAATTAGAGTTGTTAGTTTAGGAGTGTTGTTGAGAATTGGTGGAATTAGATCCAACCAGAGATGGCCAAGTGGACATAGCATTAACACATCAAGTCGAGAGAAGGTAATGCCACTAAGAACCTGCAACGGCTAAATCAACAAAGAATATACATTAAAACAATGTGATCAAACTAATTAGTGAAAGGTAAAAAAGCTAGATATCGAAATATCAGTACCATTGGATCTTTCAAAGGTAACAAAAGAGTCGTAACCAAGGAAATAGCTCGGAGAAACTTGTCATTTATATTACATACAAGGTCGATACGTGGATTGCAACTGGGAGCACCAGCGAGCACTATGGCCATGAACTCCACAGATTTGACAACGTCCCTGATAACCACGACCTTGCGAACCACGAGAATCTTGGCGAGACTGGGAGTTTTGTTGTTGTTGTTGCCATTGTTGATTCCCACGAGACCGATTTTGATTCCGGTTGTTGTTACCAGATTGTCTGTGAGTGACGACGTTGGCAGACGCAGGAGCAGACGTGTTGGAAGCAGCGAGCAGCATTTGGATTCTCAACTCATGATTGATCAACTTCTCATGAAGATCGGTAAGAGACGGTGGTTTGTCCCGGCCTTCAACTTGATCACGCACCTGTTTGTAGTCCTCAGGTAATCCCCCAAGAATGTAATCTAGTTGATCTTCATGTGGAACATGACTCTCCAGCAAGGCGAGCTGGTCGAAACGAGTAGTTAACCCCTGAAAGTACTCGTCAATTGTCTTCGTACCTTTCTTCCAATGCTTCAGGTGTTCACGAAGTTGGAGAATGTGGCCACGACTGGGATTTGCATAGGTGTCATTGAGTGTGGTCCAGATCTCAGCTGTCGTCGTTGCCTTGGACAGGAGAGGTTGAACCGAGATCGAGATAGCACCAAGAAGGCCCGAGTAGATGAGTTGATCTTGTCGAAGCCAGTGCTTATGAGCCGGATTTGGAGTAGTTACACCATCTGTGGTGACAGTGGCAGCAGGTGCAGCGACCGAGCCATCTAGGTAGCCAGCAAGATCGTATCCTTTGCACAAGGCGTGTACCTGACGACGCCACATCAGAAAATTGGTAGCCGTGAGCTTTGTCACATTGGACATGTTCACGTTGAGAAGTGCCGTGTCGGCAGTGGTGGCAACAACTTCAGAAGAAGCAGACATGGCCGTAGGGAGTGAAGCGTGAGAGACAAGAGAAGAAAAGAGAAGAGAAGGAAGAAGGAAGACGAGAGGCGGCCGAAAAAAATAAAATTTAGGGTTAAAAAATTTTCTGCTCTGATACCATATGAATACTGAGTGTATTGCTTTATTCATAGAAATGATTTACAATATATATAGGCAATAACATAGGGTTAAGTAGCTAATTAATTACAATTAGATCCCTAATATATACTCTCCTTTACATCAATGCACTTATCCACCATCGGGACACTGTTTCTACGGTACTTATCACTGATTCCTAAGGTCAAATTCGATCGAGCAAGAAGTGAACAACTTGATACAAGCCTCTCGAGAGAATCTTCATCCTTGAATTCCACATAGAATAGGCACAATAATTTGAGTGAAGGGAGGCAAGCCGGAGAAGGAACATCCACAAGAATCTTGTTGGAAAGAGTCAATTCCACAAGCGTTTTGCATGTGTAAAGGCTCTTAGGCAAGATGGTAGGCTCCGAGGTCCAGAGGAGCTCCAACTCTACATTGCGCACAAAGCGGTCAACCGCATTTGCAACCAATTTCCAAACATCTACGTCAATAGGACGTTCTCTACCGAGTTTGATACACAAAGTTTCTAATAAAGGTGCCTCGTGAAGTTCCAATAAATTTTCAAGAAACTTCCAAACGCTTTCGCTCTGATCATCACTAGTGTCGTTGTACTCGAGTTTAGGCACCAGCGTCCAGAGATAACGCCATCGTTTTGACAAAACCATTGTCGCCACTGCATCTTTGGTCGGGACAAGCAACAAAATATGGATGAGCAAATCGTCGGGCAACGAACTGATACTGTCTCTGGAAGCAACGACCTCTTTATTTCTTTGACAATGTCCGGTCTCTAGTGAAGATGATGACATAGCTAACTTAATTAAGCAGAGACGAGGAGGATCAGGTGAAACCCTTAAAACTTTCCAAAACCCTATTTACAATTGTTATTTCAAGTTGCTCTACTACTATACCCAACAACGGGTAACGAACCATTACAATGTGTAAATAACCAACCTTGGGCTAGAGAGCGGCCCAGTTCTGATCCAATACATATCAAGCCCAACTCCTGATTTTTGAGCCATCTTTGATCGAGGTATAAAGTTATAAGACTAAATGTTGAAGATCTACATAATCAAAGGGCCAAATGTATAAATATAAGAAACTTTATCAAAGCATAAACCCTAAAAATCTTTTGTATAAAACCTACTTACAGAGGTTACTAATATCGGAATCGCCCACCACCGCACATCTCTTTCCTTTGCCTTCTGTTTTTTTTCCTCCTTCTCGTCTTTCGTTCTTCGCTTTTAGTCTTACAAAGATGAGACCTCCACTTACAGGTAAGAACACTAGTTAAAGTTTCTCCATTTTATAACCTTGTTCGAACTCAAATTATGGTTCTGTCAAATCTGAATTCGTATCGTTACGGTTCCTGTAGTTTCAATTGGTTTTTAGGCTTTATAGTCTTGACCCTTTTGTATCTTTACTGTTTTGATATAGCTTAAAGTTTAAAGTAGAGATTTTTTTAGGTACACTCTGTTCTTCGGTTTGGTTGATTTGCGGTTATTTGAATTGTTATTATCAGGAGGACGTGGTGGTGGAGGATTCAGAGGTGGACGTGATGGTGGTGGTCGCGGATTTGGTGGTGGACGAGGCTTTGGAGGAGGCCGTGGTGACAGAGGACGTGGTGGACCTCGCGGCCGAGGACGTGGTGACCGTGGCCGTGGAAGAGGACCAGCACGTGGAGGAATGAAAGGAGGAAGCAAAGTGATTGTGGAGCCTCACAGACACGCAGGAGTGTTTATTGCTAAGGGTAAAGAAGATGCTCTTGTCACTAAGAACTTGGTTCCTGGTGAAGCTGTTTACAATGAAAAGAGAATCTCTGTTCAGGTATGGTTTGACTTTGATAATTAATGATTTTACTTAGGCATATTCGAATAGGATGCTTTTGCTGTTGGTTTTGTTCTTATATTATATCTACTTGAATCTTGCAGAATGAAGATGGAACTAAGGTTGAGTACAGAGTTTGGAATCCATTTAGATCTAAGTTAGCTGCTGCAATTCTTGGTGGTGTTGATAACATTTGGATCGTAAGTCACATTTATATACATAACATATTGTCTCTCATGTTTTGAAAGACTTGGTTATTGAATTTTTGTGTTGTTACATCTATGTAGAAACCTGGTGCTAAAGTACTTTACCTCGGTGCTGCTTCTGGAACCACTGTCTCTCATGTTTCTGATGTTGTTGGACCTGTAAGTGAAGCATATTACCAAACTCCATGATTTGTATCTTGTTATAATTAGTTATCAGGTCGTCTTCAGTACCTTGTTTGTGACTTATCTTTGCTTTATGTATTTGTAGGAGGGATGTGTATACGCTGTTGAGTTTTCTCCTAGAAGTGGTAGAGATTTGGTGAACATGGCAAAGAAGAGAACTAATGTAGTTCCAATCATTGAAGATGCTAGACACCCTGCTAAGTACAGGATGCTTGTTGGCATGGTTGATGTTATATTCTCTGATGTTGCTCAACCAGATCAGGTATGGTTCTTTATTTCTTACTATGAATGTTCGAAGTTACTTTTTTACTCATCCACATAGGTTACTATATACTGCATTGCATCTTTTGTTTTCAAAACAATCAGTACATGAAAACGGCAGATGATGATTTTACTTGGATTCCCCTTCAGACATTTTGAATGTTGCAAACTCCAAGTTTCTGATGCTACTTTGAATATTTTTTACTTTATTTTGTTGTTGTTTGGCCATCGAGTTGGCTGCTCTATACTTTCAAATTTGTCTTAATCCCAAAGTCTTTTTTTCTCATTTTTTATTTCCTTAAAATATGTTCTGTTTCTATGTTTCATATTTTATCTTCAAATATGTTACATGAATTCAACATTGCATTTTTAGACGACTTTTAATATAGTGTAGTGTCACTGTAATGAGTGAGGTTGCAGAGATTTCTCAAATGAAACCCTTTGGCTATTCTTTTGAATCTGTGTTTTATGATTTTGTTAATTGAAATTATCTATTTGCCTAACTCTTGAAGGCGAGAATCGTGGCCCTGAATGCCTCATTTTTCCTTAAAACCGGAGGACACTTTGTTATCTCAATCAAGGTCAGTTCTCTTATCTTCACATTAATTCTCCTCACAACACCAAACAAGTTATAGAATGTGTTCTCACCAACTTGTATGTCCGACACTAAATAAACATGTTTGATCTGTATAGGCCAACTGTATCGACTCTACAGTTCCAGCAGAAGCAGTCTTCCAGAGCGAGGTGAAGAAGCTGCAGCAGGAGCAGTTTAAGCCAGCAGAACAGGTGACTTTGGAGCCTTTTGAACGTGATCACGCCTGTGTTGTTGGTGGTTACCGCATGCCCAAGAAACAAAAGCCTGCATCTACATAGAGTCGTACTTGGTGTCTGTGTGGTCCGAGTCAAGCTTTGGTAGAATTGAACTAGTGTGATTCAAGCCCCTTGCAGTTTCTTTTGGTTTGGTTTCTTGTTGTATTATCTTAAAAGATAGGATAAGCTTTTATCGTTTGGATATTTCATCTTTTAAGGCTCTGATAATTATATAACATCTTCATATAATCTTTAGGAATTTCATGGGCTTGATTTACTTCCTCCAAAGTAAAATTGTAACTCCCTCCTAGCTAAGTTATTATGGTTCCTTTCCTCCTCTCTAAAAACTTCTCTCTGAAGAGCGAAGACTATGCAATTTTAAAATATTAGATATCTCAAAGATACCACCTTTTGAGAGACTTGTCTCATTATGGTTAGGAGCCAATTAAAAAATCAAAGCAATCACTAACATAGCACACCGTTTCATCAACACCAACGAAAGAGATAAACGGCGAGGCATTTTGCCAGTTGAAAAGCCGAATTCAAGGCGCCATTAAATCTCTCAGAGTGTTCTAAAGGGGGTTGAGCTGAGTGATGACCGTGGAGGGTTTGATACTTTGATCTGCCGTGGTAATTAAACTCACACCGTTGCTTGATTTTAGTCAAATCTTCAGAAACCTAACCTAACAAACCCTCACATACTTTATTTTTGTTCAAAATTGGAACTTTTTGAGATTTTTTTTATCTGTGTTGGAACTTTTATTATAAAGCATCCAGCTTTACTTTTGACATGCAAGCCTAGTGTGTCCGTAATCTCGTAAATGGTTGGAATTTTGATGGTTGATTTGTTTCTGTATTTGCAGATTAGTTGCATGAATGAGATAAATGGTGGTGGTGGGTAGACAGAAGAAAACCAAAATATGTAACCGTGAGGAGGAAGATTTGATAAGCAAGTTACCAGAACCTTTGATATCTGAAATACTTTGTCGTCTTTCTACAGAAGATGCTGTAAGAACAAGCCTTTTCTCCACAAGATGGAGAAATCTTTGGCGATGGATTCCGGATTTGGACTTATCCCCTGATGCATTTCCCAACTTTGATGCCTTTGTGAGTTTCGTTGAAAGGTTTTTTGTTTACCACAGTGACAGGGATTTATGGATACGCAAACTCCGGTTACGTTTTGGTTACCGTCATTATCTTGTTATGTATGATCTCGCTTCATGGGTTGATGCTGTGACTAAGTGTAGGATTCAGCATCTTGATGTTTCTTGTTTTCGCAATCATCAGAATCAGATACTGATTCCCCTGTGTTTATATACATGTGAGACACTGGTACACTTACGACTCTCTAATGTCTCCATGTGTACTGCAGAGTTTGTTTCCTTACCTTGTCTGAAGTTCATGTGTTTAGCGCATATTAAGTATCCCAACGAGACCACCTTGCAGAAACTTATCTCAGGCTCTCCAATTCTGGAAGATTTAACCATCATCAGATATTCGGATGATGAATATAAGGCAACTGTTTTACAAGTGCGCTCTCATACGCTAAAGAGAGTCTATATTAATGAGTTTACTCAAGTTGTGATTGATGCACCTCTACTCCAGTGTTTGAAGGCTACGGGCTCCTCAACAAAGAACTTTCATATCGTCCATTTGGGATCCTCTGCCAAACTAGATGTTGGTTACTTTGGTCATATGAGTAGCAGCATGATTCTTGACATCATGACCGACATGTCGAGGTTCAGGGAGCTAATTATTGGCAATGCTATTCGGAAGGTATACATCTCAATGTTTGAGCATATATATATATATGGATATTCTTTCACAAAATTTTCTCACCATAACATTCCTTTTTACTTTGTTTAATCTGTTACCAGGAAATCTGTAAATACTCGAAATCAGTACTGCCTCAATTCCGTGTTCTATCCCGTCTGAATGTTAAATTTTCTAAATCTGGTATTGAATTATTGCCACTCTTTCTTGAGAGCTGCCCAAAACTAGAATCTTTAGTAATGGTAATGAATAACTGTAACCCTCTGATATATGCATATTGTTTGTGAAAATCTTTTGTCTATATTTTTCTTGCCAACTTGTTTTCTTCTGTTTTTGCAGGAATTGGTCAAGGAGCGGCTCAAGCATGGTAAGAAGGAGAAAGAAACAAAGGTGATGTTTTCAACAGTGCCCCGGTGTTTGGTATCATCGCTCAAGTCTATGGAATGGAAACGTTTAATCCCAGGGTATGTAGGAGAAACGGAGCTAGTAAGATACTTCTTGAAGAATTCAAAAATCCTGGAGAAACTAAGGGTCGATGTTTACTATACCGAAAAGACCAAGTGTGCCTTCCTTCAAGAACTCCTTAAAATGCCAAGATGCTCTAGTGTGTGTGAAATTCATTGCTCTGTGATTCCTAAAAAAAAATTGTGATGAACATTTCGTTTAAAAGGTTGATCTTTTGGTCGTTACGCTAGTTGATGTTAGATATTAGGCTCTGATCCACAAGCAAATATTGCAGTTTTAGTCTTTCTTATGTTACTTGGTGGTGGCTGCTACTCATGTAACATTCATTACCAGCTTAGTAGAATTGTTGGTGGCAAACGATGTGAATAATGCCTCTTCTCTTACATCATGGATTGAGGCTGCAGTTAAGCGGCAGGTCAAACATCTTGATGTTTTTTTTGTCCTCCAGAGGGTTTTTATGAACTCCCCATAAGCCTTTATATATGTGAGACACTTGTATCCTTAAAACTCCATGAGGTGGTCATGGCTAACGCCATAGTCTATTTACTTACCTTGTCTGAAGAGTGAAGACTATGCATTTGAAATATATTTGGTACTGCAAAGAGGCCACTTTTGAGAGACTTGTCTCTTGCTGTCCTCTCTTGGAAGAGTTGACTCGTTCGGTCCGAGAAGAAAAACCGAAATTAATTCGGTATTTCCGGCTAAGTAGTTATGGATGTTTGGTTATTTCTTGGTTGATCGGTTTATAATCCGAAATGTTTTTGCATTGGACCGGAGAAAACCAATTTATACTATTCATTTATAATCCCTTAAAAAATCAAAGCAATCACGAACACAGCACACCGGCGAGGCGTTTTTCACCGGTGGTCCTCTACTGTTTGAATCTTCCTTTCAGGCCTGAAAGGTTTTATGATCTCTTCTTCTTCTTCTTCTTCTTCTTCTTCTTCTTCTTCTTCTTCTTCTTCTTCTTCTTACGGCCTCTAATTAAGATAATTCCTGGGACTGCTCATTGGTTTATAATTGTTACCGAATCGTTTATGATTTTTTTGTGTGTGTGCTGCTGCTGTGGCTTTTTGCCTTGGTTATTGCATTCGTAGCAATGAGCTTTTGTGATATAGGGTTCATGGATTGGGTTTTATGGTTTATCAGAACGAATTATATCACAAATGGAGTGGCTTAAAAGAGAGGTGGGTCTAATGAGAGAGTCTTTGAATTTATCTCAAGGCAAACACTAGTGTCCACATCTTTTTGTTTGGTTTGGCTTGAGCTGTTTGTTTGTTTATATATATATGTTCAGACTAGAGATGGAGTTGGATCCGAAGAAGTTTGCTCAACTATTGAACAAAATTGAAGCTGAAGCTGATGAGTTCCTACTAGCTCGGAATCAGGTAAAAGCTGTTACATTCTATTGTTGTTCTGCAACTTATGTTGTCTTTGTGAGATAATCAGTTTTTTTAACCAAAATGGAGCTTGTCATATGTGTAATATAGATAGTGGAGAATGACAAAGAGAGGAATGCAAACCGAGAGGCTCTTACAGCACTTAGAAAGAGAGCTCGGACAACTAAGACTAGTGTTCTTTCTCCATTTGATTCTATGATGAAGGATATACATAGTAGCTCAACCAAACCTTTGGTCCAAGAAGTTTGCTCCACGTGTGGATCACATGACTCTAGTGAACCCACTTGGATGATGCTACCAGGAGCTGATCTATTTGCTGCAGTTCCCTTTCATGCTGTGCATACGATGTTAGAGAAAGGTTTTTGATTGTTCATAGTTTCTTTTTTGCTACTCTCTTGAAGACTAATGTAGTATTCTCATTAGAAATTGGCCAACTTGTTAATGTGCAGATGAAGAGAAATTAGAGTTTGAATCGAAAAAGTTGCAGAGCTTAGTGAAGGACAAGGCTCTTTTTATATCGGAACTAGGTGCTCTTGCTGATAGTACGTCCCCAGGCGTTATCAGATCGTTAGTGGCGTTAAAGGACAACAAACCTTTATTTAAGTAGAAGTAGAACAGTGTTGGATTATCATCATCGGCGACAACGTTATTCATTTGTGATGTTGAAGTTTTGATGTCCCTATTAAAATCACAATTTTTTCCTTGTTTACAAAGCCATAGTCCTTGTCTTCGAATTTATAGTTGTCCAATTAACATGACAGAGCAAAACTGACTGTTGCGATATCAAATGGGTAACCATCAGCAGTTGAATTCTTGGGGAGTCTCAAATCTCTGATCTTCTCAAGACAACGCTTCTCTAGGTTACCTACAGGGTCAAGGTTGGAACATTTGCGCAAATCGAGATGTTCGAGGTGAGGACAACCGTCACGAATGGCGTTCAGCCCTGTGTTGGTTAGTAAGTTCCCACAAAGCTGGAGGTGGCGTAGACACCCTGCTGAGTACAGAATGCTTGTTGGCATGGTTGATGACCTGATGTATAAACAGAGAAACAGAGCACAAGTTAGCAAACCTGTTCAAAGGCAAATATGTAGCTTTCTAGGTTAAACACTCAAGGATACTCCTAACACTTAGAATCATAACAATATGGGGTTTTAAGTAAACATTATCGAACATTGCATGAATTAATAGAGTGCATTGAAAACAATTTTTGAGCTCTATAACTTGCAAGGCAAGTTAGTCTAATTGAACAATGATGGAAAGAAACAATTACAATATAATCTATGAAAATTTTGGCTCTAATCCTCACAATCAAAATATTGTGAAGACAAATTGCATCAAACCTGTTGGCGATGTACGCGAGGAGAGAATCACTACCTATTTCCGCAATGTTGATTTCCAACAAGCCGCCATGGCTGAGATCAACAGCATGATGGCCTTATTATGACACAATCGAAAAATATACTAATTGATAAATAGAATCGTTCTTGTTTTGTCGGGAAAAAGAAATAGAAACTTTCTTATTCCAACTCAAACACCAAATTCCAATATAAATAAGCATTCTTAAAACCCTATGAACGTTTCTAAGAAAAACAACAATCACGAAAGCTTAAACATCTTCGTCCGTCAATCTCATCTTTATTGTTTTCCCTTCTTCTTTTTTCGTCCCTTCAGCTCTCGCTCTATAGCAAATATGAGAACTCCCCAAAGAGGTAACGTACCCTAATTCAACTTGTTTCTCTGTTCGACCTAACGTTTAGGGTTTCGTTTACTGCAAATTCGTTATATCACAATTTCTCAAGCTAACTTGCTTGTTACGTAAGCTGTTTTTGAATCCTCACTGCTTCAATCCAATTTTATTTGGAGATTTAGTAATACTCCCTGATTAGTTATTTTTCGGTTTTATGTATATGATTATGCTCAGGACGTGGTGGTGGTGGTGGTGGCACTGGCTGCGGTGGAAGAGGCCGTGGAAGAGGAGGGACCAAAAAAGCAAAAGGCCTTGAAAGTGAATCCGAGGGAGGAATAAAGGGAGGAAGCAAAGTGTTGGTGGCGCCACACAGGCACGCAGGAGTGTTCATTGCCAAGAGTAAAAGAGATGCTCTTGCTACCAAGAACTTAGTCCCTGGTGAACTCGTTTACAATGAGAAGAGAATCTTTGCTCAGAAGGAAGATCGATCTACAGTTGAATACAGAATTTGGAACCATCATAGATCCAAGTTAGCTGCTGCTATTAACATTGGTGTTGATAACATTTGGATCGTAAGTCCCATAAGATCAAGCAACAATCTCTCTTATTACTTTGTTCTTGAAACTAAACAAACACTTGTTTCTTGAAATTGTAGAAACCTGGTCTTAAAGTTCTTTACCTTGGTGCTTCTTCGGGTTACACTGTATCTCATGTCTCTGACATTGTTGGCCCTGTAAGTAAACCCTAACCCTAGTTAACCTTTAACCCCTTTAATTGTTTTTTTTTTTCTCTCTCTGCATGTTACTTAACTATTTGCTGTTCTGATTGGTAGGAGGGATGTGTTTATGCTGTTGAACATTCTCATATATGTGGTAAAGATTTGATGAACATGGCGGAGAAGAGAGAAAATGTCGTACCAATCATTGAAGATGCTAGACATCCAGCTAAATACAGAATGCTTGTTGGAATGGTTGATATTATCTTCTCTGATGTTAACCAACCAGATCAAGCTACGATAATGGCTCTCAATGCATCATATTTCCTCAAATCTGGAGGTCACTTTATGACTTCTATAAACGTATGTAACAAAAAAAAACTTGCAACCATTGATCATTCAAGCCAAATCTTTTCTCTCTTTTAATGTGCATTGTTTGTTTAATTGTTATGTTTCAGGCGAAAGGTATAGACTCAACGTCATCAGCAGAAACAGTGTATCAGAAGGAAGTTGAGAAGCTGCAGATGGAAGACTTGAGAGCAACAGAGTTATTGGTTCTTGACACTTGGGAAGGTGACCATGCTTGTATTTTCGGTGGATATCGCTTGCCTAGGAAGCAAAAAAGCTGATACATGACTGTTTAATAATTAGGAATCTATAATCTATTTGGTTAGTTTTGTGACTATTATGAGCTATTTCATACACATTCACGAGGCTTGATCAGATTAATATTTTTCTCTGTTTTTGAGCTGATTTGTCTTCTAACATTAGTACGAGTCTTCTTTCTATCAATATTTTGGTTTTTTTTGTTAGTTTTTTTTTCTATCCTCGAAAAAGAGAAGAGAAGAGACAAATTTGAAGTTAAACACATGTCTGAAAAAAAAGAGGAAAAATTAAGGAAATTGTCAGAAGTGGGATTTGAACCCACGCCCTCTTACGAGGACCAGAACTTGAGTCTGGCGCCTTAGACCACTCGGCCACCCTGACGCTTTGTTTTATTTCTTCAATAAATTGATAAGTTAAAACAAAAATAACACGAATATTAGTTTACTCTTGTCTATCTATTTATGCATATACAGAAACCTTCGAGACGTAAGTCAAGTCATGCTGAACAACTCTCCAAATTACTTTACATTGATGTTCTTCTAGACACGTACACAAATTTACATGAATCTATACAAAAAAATTATACTTGATGAAAAAAAAAACTCTAGTTACATGGACTAGTAACTAGTTGACTTGTCACGTAAAAAGAAGAGAAAAAATAAAATGATTGGGACACATACGTGGAAAACAAAATTGCAAAAAAGCAAGAAATGAAAACAATGAGAAGAAAAATGTGTGGCTTTCGTGTGGCTCGATCGTAATACTATAATTTATTTTCATTTTTCTATTTTGGGCTAACACAAGTAACATGTTCCCTGCGAAACAATACTTGACATTTTCGTAAAATTTTGAAAGAGAAGTAGAACTAACCGGTTATTAATTCTTCCAAATCCCCCCCATACCGTTTAAACTGACTAGTCGTCTTATCTCTTCTCTTTCGATTTCAACATTTTTTGCAATAAGATGAATATATTTCAACTTACGAGAATAATGTTCGATTTTAGACTATTACTACATCACCATGCAACTAATACTATCTTTTCTTTTCGTTCAGGAAATCAATACTACTAAATATATATATGTCATTGTGTCAACTATAAAGTCTTTAATCTTTCCCCAAAAATCAAGAAACAAAAATAGAGCATGTTTGATGTGAAAACTCAAATGGTTTTTTGTAATCAGATTCAAGTAGTTTTTGTTGCTAATTAAATTGTACTATATTATTTGTAATCATTATCAGAAAATTATGGTAAAGACAATTTATGGAAGAAAAATAATACCACAAGCCATAGATTAGATCTTATATCAGTTGTGCACTGATTGAAAAAGTTAAAGTTGTTTGGTTTTTTTTCATAAGTAGCTTTACGGCCGAAGAATCAAAACGATTTCTATAAACCGGTAACTTCCGGTTAGCTAATATGAACAGTCGAGTACCACCACCAAATCAGGACCTACGTTAACGTACCCACTTTTTCATATATATATATTTTTGGCTTTATGATTGCTTAACCAATATGCCCTCACAATGGTCAACTTCACTTTTGTTGTTTCTTATTCGTCCCTCTGTATTATCTCTTAATCATATCATTTACACCATTGCTTATGTTTTTTCATATAATTTTCTTTTTATGTAAAGAAATAGTTGTAAAGAACTAATAAACTGTTTCAATTTACAAAGTCCAAAACTAACTATATGTGCCAATTGTGTGGTTTGCTCTAAGTTTTGGTATAGGCCACAAATCCCCATGCTTTAATTGTTGGTCGCATATTATAATATTTGTCTACAAAATGTATCTTAAACCAACCAATATTAACTTAAACATGCATGAAATTAAGAAGATTACGTTATACACACTAATACTAAATGGTTGGAACTCCTTATTTGTGTTAACAACCCCTTATTATATTATATGGTGGAGAAGACTCGAGTTAGGCAAGGCACAAGTTGTACACGTGTTGAAAAAATTACATTTAAGAGATCATGTAGAAAATTATAAACATAAAAAGTGTATAAGTCAAGATTTAAAATTTTAAAATATAGATTTAGGTAGAAAAAGTATTTATAAATGATGATATACTATATAGTTTGCTAAGCTAATTTTTACTCATTAGGTTCTTTGCCTTCACGCAACCTACCAAGAAAATGTCAAAAACTTTTTGCCTATGGTTTTATTTTTACGAAAGCTTTGAGATAATTGTGTTTGTATACAGTATAATAAGGGAATAAACTATATTATATGTAAATTATCTATCATTGAGACAAGAGTTTAATGTAAAATGCAATAGAATATAATTTTGCATTATTAATAGAATCAAAAGCTGACGAACTCTTTATTTTTTTTTTCTTGTTGGTCGTCACCAAATTCTCTTATTATGTTCCCGATTTTCAGATTATTCACTACAACACTTTCATATGGATGCTAATATATATATATATATATATATATATATTCTTTCGTTATAAAAATCTTCTTGAAAGCATTACTGTTTCAACTCGATGAAATTAAATATTTGGTTACGACAACAAAATTATAAATAACTGTTGAAACGCTTTTATTAATGAAAGCTAAAAGCTTAACGACCAATTAAAAATTAAAATCTACATTAAATGGAAAAGATCATCTCCTCTCTCCAACAGCTATGCAATACTGTTTACTTAAAAAAAAAAAAAAACAACAGTATAAGAGTATTATTCAATTAATATTTGTTATATTTTTGGTATTTTATTCAATTAATACTTGTCAATAAAAGTACATAATTCTCATATTTTTTGTATTCCTATCTTATAAGTTTTTTCGAGAAATTTATTTACGTACTGCATCATGTTTCATAATTACGTCTTAATATAAAGTCAATATCTACTCATATAGTATTTTATTCAGCCGAATCACATTATGCATTTCAAAAACAAAAAGAGAAATCTATATATAACTTTATTTTTCTAGATTCAATATTTGCCAGGAAGACCTAAATAAATCTCTGATTGAAATGACCAAATCAATAGCATCTCGACTATATTAATATGTGTCAAAACTAATGTACATCCAACTAAGTACAGCAATTAATTCTGAATTTATAGATATAGAGAGACATATAAGTTTGTGGTGCAAAACCTTTTCTTATAAAGTGCCATGAACATACCCATAACTCTTAGTACCCCCCAATATTTATATAAAAACAAATCCTTATTGTGTGTTTTCTCAAATATATATATGTCCCTTTTCATAAAAATATTTAATAAGTAGCTTTTGGATTTTCGATAGGGCCAAGTTAAGTTGTTTAAAGTGGCAATTTGCTTCTTCTACAACTACAAGTTTTGAGGTCCCTTCCTTCTCATAGCCAATTTGAAACCTTATTTTTTATTTTATTTTTTCATTCATTTCCTCATATTACACATTTGTTAAAAGACTTTGGCAAAGTTATGGAAGGTAGGGCTATTATAAAACCAATTATTTGTTTGAAAAAATATAACGATAAAAAAATTGAGAGCTTTTATAAAATTTGAGATAACTCAAACATATGAGAGTAATAACAATAATATATATTATAGTGCCGGCGATCTTTTGTTTTCTTAAAGGTCGTCAACCTGATTATGACCATATGAACACATAAATTTCGTGCTAATGACTTTTAGAATTAATAATTGCAATTGGAACAAGATAAAGAAGAACAATATAACAGTTACTTTAATATACATCTTTTTTGTTATCAAGTAATTTAATACAGATTACTTATTTTGTATAGTTGCATCTACAACTCGAAAATTTCCGATAATGTATATAAATTTATTATTTACAATAGAAGAAAAGTGAAAGAAAATAATAGTTTTAATTACTACATTTTAAAAGTTGTGTCGTGACAGTGTTTTATGTTTTATCGGAAGAGGTAAAAAAAAAAAAAAAAAAAAGAGTACGAAACGGAAACTTCGCACTTGCATGTGAAAATCTGATGCTACTTTGAAACCCAAGTGGCATGTTTCTCTTTTTTTTTTTTAAATTGAATTTTTCTTCTTTTGTGTTTATGTCACAGGAGATTTCCTAAACATGTATAGATTTACAGTAGTAGGTTACTTGTAATGTTGTGAATTGTGATAAACAAAAGAAAAAAAAATATTGAATGAGATTATATTTTATTTAAATTTCTTTATTTCAGAAATAAAATTGAAGGACAATAATCTTTTAAGATGATGGAAAATTAAGTAATTTCGTGATGGTTTTTGAGTATCCATTAAAATGTAGCTATCAAAATACAGCTGTTAAAACTACTATTCCAAACTATGTGTATATGATCAAACATAGTAGTTTTTGAAAGTCATAAATGGTGACATGTAAAAATGCGTTGAAGTGTGTTCTATCTAATACTATCCGCATTTTGTAACCATTCATAAATAAAATAAAATTTGTGAGACGGTGCAGAATAGTAATGTGTATTGTAAATGCGAATTTTGCTTGTTATGTTCGCTCTATTTAAGTTAAGGCGGTTTCCGTATAGTGTAATTGTAATTTATAAGGTTTTCAGACTTTGTTAACTATTATATATTTACACGACATGATCGTCATATAAATTTTGTTTCGTTCGATCCACTTGATAAACTATAGTCAAATTTAATTCGCTTGATTCGTTTTGCGTCTCATGTCTTGGTGTCACTATTCAAAATGCTATTTTTTCGTTTAAACTTTTACGGATTTAAAATATGATTATTAATTAATTTTGTTGAAAATTTTGATTATTAAAATTATAAGCAAAAATATTCAAAAGTACATCTAAAATGATGACTTTTTTTACAATTAACAATATAGATTACAAACTACCAGTTGTTATAGCATTCTTTGGAGAAACAATTATTTCAGGCCATATTTTTAAAACAATAATATATCTTAAATTAATTTATTTTAAATAAAAAAATATACTTTTCATTAATTGTAAACTTTGTGGAGAATATTTGTTACCTTAATGGTCAATATTATTACTCAAACGTAATGTAGAACATTATTCATTATTTCCTTTTAATTTATAATTAATGGGTTTTATTATTGTAAGCGTTGTAATTTATCTCTATAATTTAATTATAGTAACAAAAATATTCTAGTACCTATCCGACTTTTAAATAATGTAGAAAAAAAAAAAGAAATATTCCAAACGCAAATGCAAGTAAGTGACCGACACGTGGTAGATAATCCTAGCGATTACCCGGTAATTTTGTTACTCAAAGAAAAAAAAAAAGTAAACAAAAGACCAAATATTAAATATTTGTTTTGGGTGAAAAGACCAGAACCCAAACTCAGTTACACATACACACAGAGTTTATAACGTAACAGACTGTGATCACAATCCAACGCCACACATCTTTCCAAAAACAGACACGTGTCGTAATCATAGCTCATTGTTTCGTAAATGACAGAAAACATTCGGTTAGAAAACGGTGAAAGACAGATGCAGGTGTTTGGGGAGTCTCAAACAACAGATCCTCACCGTCCGATTAATTTCCTCAAGGGTAAAAACATAAATTTAAATATCTGATCTGACGGTTGTAAAGCCTCTTACTCTTTCCTTTTATATTATCGTCACCATCACCTCAAAATGCCATTAGAGAAAGCAACTCTTCTTTTCTCTCTCTCTCTCTCTACGTTTCTCAGAGAGTATCTAATCTCTCTCTCCTCTCTTTCCATATTATCATGCGTTTCATCAAAATTTGGTAATCTTTTTTTTTTTTAAGAAACTGATCTCTTTCTTTCTTCATTTCTGAGCTTTTGAGAGAATACAAAAATGTCATCTGGATTTCCCGGCGGCGGTGGTGGTGGACCGGAGTTTTTCAATGGTGGTGGTGGTAGATCTGTTATACCTGGAGGTCCTGGAACTGTAATCAACGTTGGTAATAATAATAATATTCAACCGACGTATAGGAATCAGGTTCCTGGTATGTTTCTTGATCAGATCGGGAACAGAGTCGCCGCCGGTCATGGATTCGCCGGAAAACGTACGTTAGCTGATTTTCAAGCGGCTCAGCAACATCAACATCAGCAGTATCAGCAACAACAACAACAGCAACCGTTTTATAATCAAGCAGCTCTCAACGCGTTTCTTCTAAGGTCCGTGAAGCCTAGAAATTATCAGAATCATCTTCAATCTCCGTCGCCGGTGATCGATCTCACGTCGTTGAATGATATCAGTTTCTCTCAGCGTTACGGCTTACCGGTTCTCCGGTCTCAGACGACGACGCAGCAATCGGACTTAGGTTTATTTGGTGGGATCCGTATGGGATACGGGTCCGGTGATAACACTAATAACAATTTGACGTTAACCGGCGTTCCTTGTATCGAACCGGTTCAGCAGAACCGGGTTCATGAATCGGAGAACATGTTGAATAGTTTAAGAGAGCTTGAGAAACAGCTTTTAGATGATGACGACGATGAGAGTGATGCACAAGGAGGTGGTGATGATGACGTGTCAGTTATTACGAATTCAAATTCCGATTGGATTCAAAATCTCGTGACTCCGGATCCGAACCCGAACCCGAACCCGGTTATGACTTCTTCACCGAGCTCTTCTTCTTCGTCTTCTTCGCCTTCTACAGCTTCGACGACGACATCGGTATGTTCGAGGCAAACGGTTATGGAAATCGCGACGGCGATTGCGGAAGGGAAGACGGAGATAGCGTCGGAGATACTGGCGAGTGTTTCACAGACGCCGAATTTGAGGAGGAACTCGGAGGAGAAGCTTGTGGATTTCATGGTGACGGCGCTTCGTCATCGGATTAATAATCCGGCTGAGAGTCTACCTTCTCCGGCGACGGAATTGTACGGGAAGGAGCATTTACTCTCGACTCAATTGCTTTACGAGCTATCTCCTTGTTTCAAACTCGGTTTCATGGCGGCGAATCTCGCTATCCTCGACGCCGCCGGTAACAATGACGAAGGGGTGATAAATCTCCACGTCATCGATTTCGATATCGGAGAAGGTGGACAATACGTACACCTTCTCCACGCGCTGTCGACGCGACGAAACGGTAACAGTCAAAATACGAAGACTCCGGTGGTTAAGATCACCGCTGTGACGAACAACAGCGACGGATTTGTGGTAGGAGACGGAGGGGAAGAGAGGTTAAAAGCAGTCGGAGATCTGTTGAGCCAACTCGGTGATCGACTCGGTATCTCGGTGAGTTTCAACGTGGTGGCGAGTTTAAGACTCGGTGATCTAAGCCGTGAATCACTAGGATGTGATCCCGACGAGCCATTAGCAGTGAACTTAGCTTTCAAGCTTTATCGTGTTCCAGACGAAAGCGTATGCACGGAGAACCCAAGAGACGAGCTTCTCCGCCGCGTGAAGGGACTTAACCCGCGCGTGGTGACTATAGTGGAGCAAGAGATGAACTCCAACACGGCGCCGTTTTTAGGGAGAGTGAGCGAGTCTTGCGCGTGTTACGGTGCGTTGCTCGAGTCGGTGGAGTCGACGGTTCCTAGTTCGAATACGGACCGGGGAAAAGTGGAGGAAGGGATAGGACGGAAGATAGTAAACGCGGTGGCGTGCGAAGGAATGGATCGGATAGAGCGGTGTGAGGTGTTCGGGAAATGGAGAATGAGGATGAGCATGGCAGGGTTTGAGTTGATGGCATCGAGTGAGAAGATAGCTGAGTCGATGAAGAGTAGACTGAGTAATAATAACGGAAAACGAGTTCACTCGGGTTTTACCGTTAAAGAAGATAACGGAGGTGTGTGCTTTGGTTGGATGGGACGGACACTCGCTGTCGCATCTGCTTGGCGTTAACTTCACACTCTTTTTTTTTTTTTGTTCTTCTTATTATAATTGGATTATTACCATATCATATTATTATTATAATTGTTGTTCTTAATTTTCTCAGGATATATTCTGATATTATAATCATTGTGATTTTCCATTTCTAAAAAAGTGTATTAATATATATAAAAAATGGAGGATCGGAGAAAAAAAAAGGCAAGTTAGGAATATTTTATGTAACAAAGAAAAGGCTTTTGTTGTTATTGTAATATTTTACTAATAAAAATATGGAATTTTCTTAAGGTTCTTTAATATTCAAATTATTTGTAATGAGTATATTTGGAATGAGTAAGATATTACAGAATTTATGCGTTAGGAAATTTTTGCACTAGAATCTTGCAGGTGTGGCAATAACAACACAACTTGACAAATTACTAATGATTCTTAGTCATTATTATACAAACCTACCAATTCTTTGTTTTTTTTTTCTTCCAATACTAGGACAAGAAGGTTATTAACAAGTATTGTAAATGTATGCGTGTGATAAATTATATGATTTTTGGACTTGGTTTTTAACGTGAGTGAGAGAATATGTTGGTGAGAAATTGAGAATGAGAGAATATAATAAATAATTAAGATATGGTGACTTTTATATTTATATATATATAGTCATGGACCTTATTTGTTCAATTATTTTTAACACTAAATATAAAAGTTGGCAATGGGGGGATGGGTCCATTTCCCATGGCAATGGCATATCGATATTCTTTATTTTAAAAAATATAATTTTGTGGATTTATTCTATTTTATGAAAACTATCCCATCTTTACGCGAAAGAGAGAGACTTGTAAACTCCGTGTACTTGGAATATCTTAGAAAAAACTTTGGTCATTAGGAAAAACAAAAGATAATATAATTATTGTTTGGTGCAAAGCTGTTTGCAGCTAAACAGAACTTATGCAAAATACTTAAATTAATCTTTTGTTAATTAATATACGCAACTCTTCTCATCATACCGTGTTTTTTTTTTTTTTTTTTTGGCTTTGTCAACAATATCACATAGATAAAAATCTCAAGCATTGTGTTATGTAATTTTACCAAATACATGAGAGGGTGAGGTGGTGGCCTAGTGGTTTAGTGTAAAGAGTTGGGTTACGTCACTATGAGAGGTCTTAAACACTTCCCCCCCAGGTCCTATCTGAATTTGTGATGTAACCAAACTTTCAACATGACGACGACATTACATTATATTTTATGTACATTTCATATGAAATTAGTTGGACAAAGAATTGAAGAGTTCATTTATGACAACTCATACATCTTATGCAGTTGACGTTTGTATTATATTATCTTTCACTTGATCTGTGAAGTAAAAGAGTTAACATATATACTATACAAGAAAATGAAAAAGTGTGTATGTATACTATATATATATTTTAAATAACTTAAATAAAAACATCCTACTAGTATTCTCATGAAACTACTTTGTTATAACCAAACATATTTACTTGAAAGCTTATAGGTTTATTGGGCTTATAGGTCCATTTAAAGCTTAATGGGCTAACAATAGATGAGTTTACAAGGACTGAGAAGTTTTGACTTTTGAGAGTCATCAATTCATCATCATCAGCTCGGAAGAGAAGACAAACTTCTATGAACGACCTTTAAGCAGCAGAAACAAAATCCACAAAAACTTCTCTGGAAAAGGAGATAAATGGTGGCGTCTCTAAGACTCCCTTCACTCACTTCCATTCTATTTCCCGCCACAACTCGTCGTTACCCAGCTTCTCTTCGTCGGACCGTATGTCTACGGAACAGACCTCTCTCTGGATTCGCGACGGCGCCCAGTGGTACTGCTTCGCCGGAGACTAAGTCACCGGAGGTTGACCGGCTTAGGTCGGACCGAGCCGTTACGCCTCGCTCGCAGGACTTCAATGCTTGGTACCTTGATGTTATAGCTAGTGCTGAGCTCGCTGATTATGGTCCTGTTCGTGGTACTATGGTTATTCGTCCGTATGGTTACGCGATCTGGGAAGCGATTCAGGTTTCTTGTTGGAATTTTGGATTCGAATTGATTTTTTCGGATGTTGATTAATTTTTGCTTGAGATTTTTTGTTGATGATTCGTAGGATTATTTGAATGTGAAGTTCAAAGAGACTGGCCATAGCAACATGTACTTCCCACAGGTACAATTTGAAGTTCGAATTCAGAAAATATTAAGCTTGAGCTGGTTTAATTTGGTAACTTAGTTTAGATTTAGCATTGAGTTGGTATAAGACTGATGAAACACTTGTGTTCTTGAATTATAGATTAATCATAATTGAAGTTTGTTTCTTGGTGAAATTCATGTTTTGAAGTTGCATTGGGCTTTAATAGTGATGGTTTGGTCTTTTGTGCAGTTTATACCATACTCGTTTATAGAGAAAGAAGCTTCACACGTTGAGGGATTTAGTCCTGAACTAGCCCTTGTCACTGTAGGAGGAGGAAAAGAACTTGAGGAGAAGCTTGTGGTAGGCATTCTTCCGTCGTTATTCTGTTTTACCACAAAGCTAGAATTTTGAAAATTCATCAGCTAAGTTTTGGCTTTGATTGTTCTGCTTGTTGAGGTTGTGGCAGGTTAGGCCTACAAGTGAAACCATTGTGAATCATATGTTTACCCAGTGGATTCACAGTTATCGTGATCTTCCTCTCATGATCAATCAGGTCTGGACTGACATTCAAATTGTGTATCATTCTGGGTATTATAAATCTGGCACTTATCACTGCTCCTGGTTATACTTCTTCTTTCTGTGTTTTAGTGGGCTAATGTCACTAGATGGGAGATGCGAACAAAACCATTTATTAGGACTCTTGAATTTCTTTGGCAAGAGGGTCACACTGCTCATGCCTCTCCTGAGGAGGCAGAAAAGGAGGTTTGTTCTTTTTTTTTTTTGTTGTAGTCAACTTGTGGAGTCATTTCTTGGTACTCTCCTCTGAAAAATTGTTACTGTTGTATTGCAGGCAAAACAAATGATCGAAATCTATACCAGATTTGCTTTTGAGCAAACTGCAATACCAGTTATTCCAGGTCGAAAATCAAAATTAGAGACTTTTGCTGGTGCTGATATAACTTACACTATTGAGGCTATGATGGGTGATCGGAAGGCTTTGCAGGCTGGTACCAGCCACAATTTGGGGCAGAACTTTTCTCGTGCCTTTGGAACTCAGGTACATAACTATTATCTTAGAAGTGTGTCATGCTCGGACCTGACATTTGAATTTGTTTGGAGTTAAGTTCTCTCATCTTTATTTAATGACGACAGCATCAGTGCATATTGGTTCATCTATGCTTTGCTTTGTCACATGTTTTGTTTTGCTACTTTGTCTTGATAGATTTTTAACTGACATATATGACAATGCCAGTTTGCAGATGAAAATGGTGAAAGGCAACATGTGTGGCAGACATCATGGGCAGTCAGTACACGTTTTGTTGGTGGCATTATCATGACTCACGGAGATGACACTGGTCTTATGCTTCCCCCCAAGATAGCTCCAATACAGGTTCATTAGTTTGGGAATTTCTTCAGCAGTTTCCTTTGATGATATCTGAACTTCCATTTGTTTGCTAAATAGGATTTGTTGTGGGAAGGGTCAGGAACATTAGTGATAATCTTTAGGAAAAATGATAGTTGTTATACCAGTAGCTTAGTTGGAAGTGATGATCGGGAGTTGAGATTAATTTTCTCTTTTCTTCTTTTTAAGGTAGTAATTGTACCTATTTGGAAAAAGGACAATGAGAAAACAGGAGTTCTCAGTGCTGCATCATCAGTGAAGGAAGCTTTGCAAACTGCTGGGGTTAGAGTTAAACTTGATGACACAGATCAACGAACTCCAGGATGGAAATTCAATTTCTGGGAAATGAAGGTTTGTTAATCTCTTAAAAAAGACACTAGAATCATTTTCTGGGGTTCAAGTTCTGATCGATTTATTTGTTTTATAAATCAATTTTCAGGGAATTCCTCTACGGATTGAAATTGGTCCACGCGATGTATCTAGTAACAGTGTTGTTGTCTCAAGGAGGGATATACCAGGAAAGGCAGGAAAAGTTTTTGGAATATCAATGGAGGCATCAACTTTAGTGGCGTATGTAAAAGAGAAGTTGGATGAGATCCAATCATCGCTTCTAGAAAAGGCGGTATCATTCAGGGATAGGTACTCATTTTGTTATCTTTTCCTCCCACAGATGTTTTCCATAAGTATGCAGCATTTAACACTCACTCACATATTGATGTGATTATTATGCAGTAACATTGTGGATGTGAACTCATACGATGAGCTCAAAGACGCAATCTCTTCTGGAAAATGGGCAAGAGGTCCTTGGTCAGCTAGTGACGCGGATGAACAAAGGGTAAAAGAAGAAACCGGAGCAACCATTCGATGTTTCCCGTTTGAACAGACTCAGGGGACTAAAACATGCCTAATGACTGGAAATCCAGCAGAAGAAGTTGCAATCTTTGCCAAGTCTTACTAAAGAAGGTCCTTTCCCAATCATACCAAATTCTATTTTTAAAAAAATGTCCAACAGTGTCATTAGATTCTGCCTTTCTCTCTGTTAGTACAGTATCATATGCTTACTTTGGTCGGAGTTTCTTTGATGAAAAGCCATCCGTATAGTGAAATTTCTCTGGAGGCTTTTTTGTTTTCTTTCTTTCTTTCTTTCAATTTGTTTTGTTCCACAATTGCAATTTTACATTTTTTATTATTATTATTGTCTGCTTCTTTAGTAAATTTTAATGTGCAAATCAGAAAAGAAAAATTCAGATATAGTTGGGTTGCTGCTCGTTTATCCAAATCATAAATATTTGCCACGTCCACAAGTTTTTGAGACAAGATATCAATTGATAAATTTACCATCATCATTGGTGATATTTGCATTTTACCAGTCAAAGATATGTTTTACTCTTTTACTCATAGTTCCTATGAAGGCAATATTTGAATATCCCGAACAGAATCGTTTTTAATAAATTTTGTTTATTATAATTTTTTTTTTTTTTTTTGACTAAAGACCTTGATAATTTTATACCAAGTAAGGTCTCTCAATAATACCTTCATATATATATAGTTGATTATCCTTTAATTTGATTTTATTGATCTTTGTCAACACCAGTTAAATAAGCTATACTTACCCATTCTCAACAATAAAAAAGTATTGCAGTCTGTCATTAAAATCTACAGTCCATTTAAACTCAAAGACATGTATCATTTCAAAACTGGAAACCAAAATTACTTTGACTTCCAATTTATTTTGTATGCAAGATGGAAACAATAACACTGTATATTGACAAAAATATTGTAACATTGTAATTGTACCGTAAAATTTAATTTACTTTGTCAAAATCACCGTGAAATTCGCATTTGATAGCTTTATTATTAATGATTAGAAGTTTTGTATTTATCTAAAAATTTCGGTAACATTTTTATTGACGGTTAAATATACATCTGAAGTGTGTCTAATGTAGTATCTGGTAAGGCAGTTTTGTTTTTTTCTTTTACCAGAAAATATATTGCAACCTATCATTAAAATAAAGTCCATAAGTTCTAATTCACAATTTTGAGGTTTGAACATGCTTTCAAGTTTCAACAATATTATGTTAATTTTGTATGTCATGTCAATTGGTTAATTATTAAATACAATGAAAAACTTTTACACTAGTTATAGTAATCTAATTCTTGAAAATTGGTAATCTTAGATTCTTTTGACATAAGTTTTGACTAGTAAAAACTATATAAGGCCTCAACCAAGAGAGGTGGCCATACGTGCATTAGAGCTTTTGAGTTGGTAAGAAATGAGTTTTCATTCTCAATAAATCCCTTCTTATTTTTGATCTCGACATGATGATCATGTCAACAATTAGATTCAATATAAAAGTGTCACACAGAAGATTAATATATGCTTTTTGTTTTCTTCTTCCTAATCTTTCAGATTGTTAAAGTTTTAATAAGGAGAAAATATCACAAGAGACCGCATATATAAAGGTAAACAAATATTTTTCTTATTCAAATAATCTTATTCAATCTAGGTTCTTGTCTTATTATGTGATGATATATATATATATATATATATATATATATATATTTGGTTTGTTTGTATATTTTATTAGATATATTTGCTGTATATTGTTGTCATAATAATCAATCTTATACGTACATATATGTGTTATGATAAACATAAAAAATATTGATGAAAAAGACTAAAGATGTGATTTTTCAACAACATTAATTAGAAAATAATATACCGTTAAAATGCCAGGGAATGGATACAAATATTATATTTAAAAAAATATTTGAATCCTAATCTGTAATAACAGTTATGATATTTGGATCCGTTCCCTCGCATTTTAACAATATTTTAAAATCTTAAAATAGTTTGTATGTATTTACCTATAATTACCATAAATTGTGATGGTTATAGAGAAAAAAACATTGCTATTTATATATATATATATAAATTTGATTAATAAAACACACAGTGCTTATATTATATAGTTAATAATAAATTCTAATTTCTTTATATTATAATATATATATATATATAATAATATGGATCAATTTATATCGATAAGATATTTTTATTTATTTTATATTCCAAACCAAAAGCTATTAATTAATAAAATCCAAAATCTTCTTAAAAATTTAACTAAACAAATAATTTCAACTTATGAAGCTGTTTCTGTATTCTATAAATCTCCAATTAAAATGATATTTGTTTTTTATAAAAAAAAACTTAGGGGGTAAAAAATAGAAAACACAAAGAACACCACCACATCCTCATTCCTCATGCCACCAAAAAGTTTTCACTTTCACACGAACGTAAGAGGGTAGTTTAGGTATAAAGAGCATGATAAATACGTGGTAATAGGGCACCTCAAGGTCCTCAACAAAGTTTTCTCTCTATGTCATCCCAAAAAGCAAAGATAGACCAGCGGTTTTAATAATAAAATAAATCGTTTCTCTCTTGAAGAACACGACGACGTTGAGAAGAAGAAGAAGAAGACCTAGCTTCGCCGCCTCTTTGATCGGTCGGTGATATTTTTAGTCTGAAAAGAGAGACCTAGTTTTCGCAATCGATCTCGTTCTTCTGGCTAATCGCCTAAACTTTCTACAGCGCTGGATTTAAAAAATCCGAGAAGAGAGCCATTTGATAATTGCCGGATTAAAGGCTTATAGAGTCTTTAACTTGACTGTCTAGCTATGAACTTTTCCCTACACTGACTCTGTTATCTATACTAGAAGTAGGCAATCTGTTTTGTTTTTTGTGATTTTTTATCTTTCTTTACTAAATGGTTTGCTAATGGACTATCATTGCTTGCAGGTGAGGTGAAGGTTCGTAGGAAAAAAATCAAGTTCTCTGGGAGTGTATGGTAGTGCATTGAAGCATGACAAGCAATGACGGTGTAGAGCTTCCTTGGAAAGTGGTAGCTAAAGGTAGCAGAAGTTCAACAAGGCGTAGCAAGAAACCAGTTGTAAGTGTTGCAGCCTCGGGGATTGAGGCAGAAGACAAGAGTTCAACCGGCTCAGTAGCAGGAAAATCAAAGCCTGAAAAGGTTCCTCTTTTATTTTATTTTTGTTGCCTCTTTCCTGATTTTTTTTAGAATTTTCTGGTCTTTGGTTTTAATTTTGACCATTTCTGTTTATTGCAGCTTGAGGTTTCTGTTCTAGGTCAGCATTCCGCTGAAAGAGTAGAACATGTTCCGATTAAGAAACGGAGATTTATCGTTTTCTCCCCGTCACCTGCTCAATGTGAAGGCTCAGAAAATAAGGCACAAATCAACCATGTTTTGCCTGTTTCGAGATTAAACCCTAAATTGATCTCAGACGTTCAAGATGAAAATCCTGATTGCAGTGGTCATGACTATTCTGGTATCAAAATTCTTGCTGATGCTGCTTGTAGTACGGATTTGAGTTATGATCTTGCACCATCTGTTGACCGTCTGCTTGCTGAGGATTCTGTTGTTCAGCAACAAGATGCCTCAACCATTTCAACTTGTGCTGAAGGTAACGATTCATCAGCTGGAACTGCTAATGTCTTGCATACTGCGGTTGATTCCAGTGATCAGGATCGGCAAAGCAAGAGCGATATTGTAGTGCATCAGAGATATCCTTTAAAAAATTTGTGCAAAGAGTTGGCTGATTTGCAGAACGTAAAGCAGAGCAGAATGACCTCTGGAGGGATGATAGCACCTAAAAAAACAAGTACTACTCTTTTAGATGAATTCTCAGAAAGACCAAAGGCTAATGTTACAACAAGTGAAAGTGAAACTTTAGCACCTGACAGTGGAGCTGTTACGGTGTCAGAGAAATCATTAGCCAAGGAGCCCACTGACAGGAACAAGGATGAAGGCCTTAAAAATGCTATGTTCCACTGGGATTTAAATGAACCTTGTGATGTAGAAGATGAAGCCTATGGGAGAGATGCAGAGGAAGAAATCACAGAGTCTATTGCCCCTAAAGAGAGCGGACCTCTCGATGGAAGTAAGGACAGTATGGGTGGGGTAATTGCATCAGATGAACATACATAGTTATCACCATCTAGGCCTAAGGTTGATACATCTGCTACAAATGACAAGGAGTGCCCATCTAGTTATGACTCCCAGATTGAGGATGGAGAGTTGAGAGAACCATACCCTTGCGAAGAAAATGAGGGTGAAACAGGAGAGTTTGAACAGTTGGATTACGGGTCTGAGCCAGAGGATGAGAGATTCTACTCTATGGATTATGAGAAGGGAATCTTGACAGACAAGAATTTCAGACATGTTAAGTCTGAATCTGGTGATGCACCAAGAAATGGGGAGGCTAACGAAGGAAGTGACATAGAGAAGCAAGTCGTTGTTAACATGAGTGATTCACATCCTAAGAAGGGCTCTTCTTCTCCTACAAGGAGTTTTGCGTCAAAACCATACAAGAAGTTGCCTTCACATGATGCCATCCAGAGGAGAAGGCAAGTTTTACTTTCCCTTTTTCTTTGTGTCAAACTCAAAAACACTATTAATAATTATGTTACTAACTCAGTCAAGGTTCTTTTGTTTCAGGCCTGATAATTATGCAGGGTTGAGTACGGGTCCAGATAGATTTATTGGAAGGGATGACAGGTTAGGGATGTGCACTCCTAGGAGAGGAGGTTATTTTAGTGGTTGGGATTCCAAACGACGCTTCTGCCAACCTAATTACAAAGACAATTCCTATGGTTTCGGACGTCCACGACATAAAAGTATGGCAGATGATCAAGGTATGATGAACGGCTATGATGAATCAGGGTCAGGACCAGATGGTTATGTACGTAGGCAATTCTCAAATGGTGGATACCGAGGTCGGTGTAGGAGATTCCCATATGGTGGGGATCGTAATTTCAAGGGCCGTCACAGTGATACCAACCAGTTTCCTGGTCGGATGCACAACCGAATGAGTGGTAATAGGAGAGATAGAGGTGGCTCTCCGGTTTTCAAAAGAATGCACCACCCTCAATCAGAGTCAAGATCTAGAAGTCGTTCTCCAAACTCGTGGAATGGCATAAATAGGCCAATTCCTCCTCCTCCAGGTGGGTTTAGAGAAGACGAGAGGATGATGGAAAGAGTGAGGTTGCCTTTACAGAAACGGTTTCCTGGAGATCAGGAGATGGGTTACATGTCACCTCCGAGAAACATAATATCGTCGCCAAGGTTCTTTGAAGGGAGGAACAATGATACTGGAGATAATCATAATAGCTTCAGGGAAAGGAAGTTCCGGCCTGAACATAGTTTTGATGTTGGAAATTCTATGAGAAGACCAAATTCTGACAAAAACAACAACAGCAACAACTTTAGACCATTTATTCGGAACATGAGATTTGACGGTGCGGAAGAGAAGACATGTATGAACAGGTTTGAGATGGCTCAGCTAGAGCGGACTCGACGGGCTGAGGCCACAGCAAATGGAGGTGATGATACTCGACGGTTCAAGTTTAATGAAGAACAGGCAGTGGTGGTAGCCAACAACAACAACAATGAGTCATGATAACAGATTAACAGATAACGTAAGAGACAAATTTTGGTTTCTTTCCAATAGAATCTCTCTTATGTATGTTTAGTTTTTGTTTGTTATATTTGTTATCTTAATTTTAAGACATTGGTTTAGGAGTATGAATAAACAAAATGCCATGGCGTCATTTGTTGCTTTAATGACTCTGCTGGTGTTTTTTTTTTTCTCTCTTTAGGAGTTTGCTTTCTCTCTTATTTTTCTTTATAAGTTTTCTCATTTTCTTTCTACAGAGGTTTTAGGATTTTTCTAGGTTTTAAATTAGCTGCTGATTTTTTTTTCTGGAAATAATTTCTATATTTGTAGAAAACCAACAAAATGAAATCAATACCTTTTTTATTTCTTACCATTTTGGTAAGTTGAATTTGAATATGCCAATAACCTTGAGAGACTATGAAAACGAAGAGCAAATGAGATAAAGGCTTGACGATTCCACTAATCTTGAGATGAATTCATTCGAGCTTTACACATCCCTGGGACTTGAACATCACATGAACTTGAGGACTTTAAATTCCAAGGAAAGTGACAATGGTGGACCTACATATTCCGACAAGAACCTCGAAAACTATCAACGAGCTCCATCCATCGCCATCCCAGCAGCAGCTGTTGGTCCACCTTAACTCCCCAAGATGTATGTGCTTATTACACCCCTTATGTTTTGATATCACTTGTTCCCAACACTGCAAAGAACACATGTTTAATACGGTCTTGGAATATTACAAGCACATTCCAACCATATCATCTGGTTCTCTTTGTTTGACATTACAATTCTTTTTCTTCATAAAAACAAAAAAAAATATATATTATGGAATGTATTCACAACCTTGTATTTTGAGTGATTTTATACGATCTCGGATGATTTTGAGTGAATTTAAGAAATGTGTTGTGATTTATTATAACATCCTAAATAAGACCATGAAATTTAAAATTTATGTATTTTTAACTAAAGAAATCCACTAAAATCTCTTTTGAGTCATTAAAAATTCAATCTTTAAATTGTTTTAAATAACACAAATGTTTATCTTAAATTGTACTACCATTTCACATGAACTGGAGAACTTTAACTCCAAATGCATAACCTAGGAAAGTTGCAATGGCGATTCCAAATATTCCTGCCAAGATCCCCGGAACTATCAACGAGTTCCATCCCTTTGCTGTCGCCATTCCAGCTGCAGTCGTGGGTCCTCCGACATTAGCATTTGACGCTAGAAGCAGCAGCCTTAACTCGATGTTTAGCAGCTTTCCTATGCCTAATATCACAGCAAGATGTGTCCCAATTTGTACCAATGCAAACAAGAATATGCTCGGTGCTGTGTTTATCACAGTCCATATGTTTCCGCTTGCACCCACCACTGTGAAGAACACCTGAAAGAAAACTAGTTTGATTAATAACAAGAGGGTTGCAGTGTTCTTGGAAACTCTTATAGTTGTCTAATACCTGCATCAGAATTAGAGCCATGGCTTCTCCAGATGGAGCAAGACGGCCAAACTGGGACGGGAAGACAGTTGCTAAAACAACAACAACTGCGGTTATAGCCGGTAAGCTACCACCCGAAATCCCAAAGTGCTTTGTTAGTAAAGCCCCGACCTTGCATATAGCTAATGACACAGCAATTCCAGTAGCTATCAGTAGCACAGGAATTTTGTTTTGAGTTTCAGAACCTTTGTTCGTCTCTGCGTCTGCCATAGAAGAGCAACATCTATGTCAGAATTCAGAAACAGAATCTAAGAAATGGAATATAAAAGGTCACAACAATTGATTAAAAAACTGGCTAGAATCAACATGAAAAAGGAATGGAACAGAACATTTTCCTCTGGCTATCTAATCCGTTAGAAGCGACTTCCTAACTGAAGATTTAGATAACCTCGATGATCAATTCTTTCCAAAGGACGCGAGACCAAACGGAAACCAGACATCACAGCCATATTCAGACTTACCGGTAGTCGGTGGTGGTACAGCTTCTGCAGGTATTTTGGATCCCAAAGCAAACAATGTCGTGAAATATACAGCGCATATAACATTATCAGCAGCCAGTCCAGCAGCTAATACCGATGGTGTAACTCCGAGAGCATTCGATATAGCTACGTAGTTGACGGCTGGTCATAAAACAATCAACATGCAACATATAAGCCATTATAGAAGGAAGGCAACAAGATAATGGAAGATATAAACCACAGTGCCTCAACGATGTCCAAAGACTTATGGATGTAAAGTTACCTCCACCAATATGCCTTCCCATGAGGGCAGCTGCAATCTTCCAACTATCCGGGCCAAGCGATCTCATTGGCACTAGATAATATGCTAGAGCTGTACCGATAGTTGTGGCAACTGTCATGAAAACAATAAAAATAGCAGAAGCTCAGGCTTTTCGGATAATTTCAGTATCGAAAACTCAAGAGCATAAACATAGAAACAGTGTAAATGTTGAGTAAACTATGAGCCTTTTGCTGCCACAGTACAACCCTTTTTACAAACATAAAACAAGATAGGGACCTTTTACCTGATCCAACCAAAAAGGCTAAGAGAAGCTTTCCAGTAGACTGAACCACTCGGCGCAAATCAGCTCTAAACAACAACAGAGGAACAGCTAACGGAAGCAGGAAATTCAAAACTACAGCGAAAGCAGGAGCTTGGGAAGAAATGATCCCTAGATTGCTAGCTGCAAGCCCAACTAGAGTACTGACCAACGCACCACTCATCGCGGCTCCGACCTTTGTCTTCTCCGACCTGTACAATTAATCACACCACTTGTGATTTCAAACTTCCATCTTCTAAAACTCCCATGGAAACAAAAATTGAAACCTCTCTTTCTAAATTCATGCAAAATTAACTTCACCTAAGAATCAACATGACGTAAATTCAAATTTCCGATTAGATAAACTAACGATCGAAGTTTTGTAAAGAGTGATGATCGTACCAGAGACCAAGAGCCCCAGTAGCGAAGAGAGCAGTCCAAGTTCCCCATTCATCATTTGGAGAAATGAGAGGCGTACTCAACGATCTCACAGTAACCGATCGGATCGGAGAAGTTGTTTCCGGTAACGAATCTGGCGAGAGAAACCGATCGCTGCCGTTACGAAATAGCGACAACGAAGCAGGAGAGAAGCTACGCAGCGAAGAGACTGGTTTAGCCGATAATTCAGGAAGATCATTGCGTGAAACAATGTACCAACGCCGGCGAAGTAATCCTGACGACGGTAACGAGATTCCGGCAACATTCACAAACGACAAGCTCGTCGCCATTTTTTTCGCGTCAGCTTTACAACGAGAAAAGGTGGAATAAAAGAGAGTGAGTGAAGGTTTGCAAAAAAAAAAAAAAAGAGAGTGAGTGATTAGTGAAGTTGTTGACTCATATTAGAGCATGTGCGTCAACTTTGCTTTCTAATAATATAGTTTTAGTCACACCTACATTTAGCCAAACCGAATCTAAAATCAAATTTGTTTCTGATTAAACCAGTAAACCGAAAATTTGACTCAGTTTCGGGTTATGGTATAAATTGCACTAAACCCGGTTCAAATTCTTCCAATTCAATTTGGTTCAAGTTCAACCATCGAAGTGCCAAAAGTATTCAAGAAAACAGTTACAAAAACGTTGAAGATGACCCAAAGTTGTGTGTTTAAACCGATTCTTTTATCTCTTCTGTTTCTTGGGATCTTGTTTCTCATCTTCTTCCAAAGCTTTGAGTTTGTTCTTAATGGCAGCTACTTTTTCGCCTCGGCTCATTTGTCCTGAGCTACTACTACTACTCCCAGTTACAAACCTTGTTCTACTATTTGCTTCTGGTATTGATCTTTTGGAGTGACCATGACCGGAATCTTCTTCAAGATGCTTCTCACTAGCTAGACGTACAACCAAAGGCCTACCACAAGCTAATCTCCCATGCATCTTCTCCTTCGCCAATTCAGCTTCCTGTGTACTCACTTTAGATGTAGAAATCAGGAGATTGCATGGTAAAAATATCAAAACAAACACCACTTTGAAACAACTTCATCTAAGCAAATTAAAAAAAACCAAGAAAGCTTAGATTATTAGTTACCTCTTTACGGTTGAATTGAATGAAAGCATAGCCGCGTGGTTCTCCTTTCTTTGGCCCGCGTGTGTGCCAAAGGAAGTCTTCTGATATTATCTTCCCATATGGAGAAAACATTTTTATCAACGCAGCTCTGTGAAGAAGTGAAACTTGTAAGGTATTGAAACAAAGTTTTGATCTTTGGAATAGAGGTAACAACTAACAACAAGCTCTGTGAAGAAGTGAAACTTGTAAGGTATTGAAACAAAGTTTTGATCTTTGGAATAGAGGTAACAACTAACAACAAGCTCTGAGTGTCCTTACTCGTTTATTCGAAGATCCAGGTTTCCAACATATAATCTGTTCTCGCTTTTTTCATCTAACCAACCACCAGTATCCTGTAGTGTATATGTAAGAAAGATATTTAAAAGATGACAGAAAGTAACAAAAAGACAAGACTAGCAAACAAGATCTGTCATTCCCAAATGAGTTTCAATAGGTTGAAATGTAATAACTGAAGATTAAGAAAATGCTTTAGAGGTTGCAGTTACCATTTGATTGCAGAAACAACAAGAATCAAGAAAGTAATAATCCAAACTCAAGAACTTATAAGAATGTAATCTGCATCCACCTGCAAATAAGCAACTTCAAACATTAGAAACCAAGACTTTTTCCTCTGATATAAGCAAGATCCCCTCTCAAGATCTCAGTGGACTGCAAATGCTCATCATAGGCCAATAACAGCTATCAAACACCAAGACGCGATTTCAAGTCTATTCAAAAGTAATGTGTCACAACTCACAAATAAGGGTTGAAAAGAAACGGCATAAGATCAATACAAAGGAAAAGTAATCAACCAGTCTTACAAAGTACATAGTTACTATATTCTCTTTATCTATATTGCCTTGGCTTAGAGATCCATGAACTTAAAGCCTGGCACTATCAATGGACTCTGCCTCAACAATTTTTCTACCCAACTTCTGTAGCAAAGTGGGCATCTCTATGGTTTCGTGGGGTGATGTTATACGAATGAAGGACTTATCAGCCAACACTTTAAGCCTAACGCTAAGCCTATCTTCGAGCAAGTCTTTCATGTGACTGACGTGCACACCATTGAATAAACAGACAGAATCGTAAGTCTTGATAATCTTTATTAAAATCTTTATAAAGTGGGGTTTCACAAAGATGAGTTCACATGACGAGTTCATCTTCCAACCTTAGATAACCAAGCCTTGTTTAATCGAACACGCACTTTAACTGTTAACATGTCTGTCTATCTTTATTAACAGACAGAATCGTAATCGTAAAGTAATATTCAATCCTAATTTCATCAAAAACAAGCCAAAATCGGTAGTAATCACTAGTTAGTACGCATAGTTCGATTACATCTCGCAACTAAAGGACGCTAGAGTTAAAGCACAGAGAGTTCGTATCCTTCGAAACTAACAGATAAAATAAGTTCTAAAGGATTTAGAGTGTTACCATGGAACGCAACTTACGAAGAGCTAAAGCTTGATCTAGCAGAGAGAAACGCAGACTTCAATCAAAAAGCAGTAGCACCAGGATTTTTTTGGTGGCTGTATGTAAACCAGTAAAATTGTCTATCCGGTTAATTAGGAAACCGAACCGGTGATTTGATTAGAACGCTCCTTTGACTTTTCTAAACGACCTCGTTTCAGTTTCATTCCATCTTTCGAAGCTCTAACCAAATGATGTTGATTCTCGTGAGTAGCTATTGACCATGAAATGAGATGAGAAGATTCAATAAAGTACAACAACAAAAAGAAACAAAAACAAATCATATGAGTCTCACTCACTTCTCTAAAAGATAAAATAGAGATGGAAGTATTTTTCACAGCGTAAGAGACACAAAGGGTGTTTCTTTTTTGCTATGTGGTGAAATAAAAACAGCACACAAACTTTTAATGTTACAAATGCTTTATTCTTTGAGAATATGATATACGTTATCTTCTGAGCATCCCATTGAAGACAATTGCGTCCACATCAGTATTCTCAGAGATTTGTAGTGACGACACTGCTTGAGCAGCAATAAGATCAGCTGATATTCCCATGTTGTTGTTATCCCATCCCCTTGCGAAAGGCTCATATGAGACTAACCAGTTACTACTACTGTCTCTTGGTCTGTGAACCGCATAGCTCGAGCAGCGCTGGTGAGGAAAGAATCTGTTTCTTCCACCACTAGAAAGATTGAATTTGCTAGTATAGTCCCATGGCTTGAAACTTGTTTCTTGGTTCAGCATATTTCGGTATGAGTCATCACAATCTTCGCCAAGTAAGACATGCAGAGCAACAGCCTCTGCGATGGCGGCACCTTCCTCATCCAATCTCTTTTGTTCCTCGAGTTTTTTAAGCTTCTTCTTGGCCAGCTCAACCCTGATGGCTGCAGAAGTAGCACTGGATTTCTCCAGATGTATCGTCTTCTTCTCTGCTTGTTTGATACGCTCCAGTTCGTCTCTCTCCTGCTTCTTTTTTACAGCATCTGATGAATCTTCTTCACCTGCTGCTGCCTCTAGCAGTCCTTCCTTCTTCATTTGCTTCTTCTTCTCTAGCTCAGCCCGGATCGCTGCAGAAGTAGCAATGGCTTTCTCAAGACGTCTCTTTTTCTTCTCAGCTTGTTTAATCCTGTCCACTTCATCTTTTACTTGCTTCTTCTTTGCTTTTCTAACAATCGGCTGAGCTTGTTTGCGTATTGAGCTACTGTTATCCATGATTGCTACAAGTCTTTTCTTTGCCTGGCTTCTGGATACTCTCCAAAGTGAAAGAAAAAAAACTAAAACGTATACATTACTCTTCTTTTCCTTGCTTATTTCCCTTTACTTCTACGATTCTACAAACAGAATAACTGAACTAACACTGAACCAAGGCGCAATGATCTCAGGGACTGCTACACCCACTCAGGTATGTAGGTATACCTCATTTTACGGACAATACAATCCCAAAAAGAAACAACCGGAGATAACAGAAGAGAGACGTTGTAGGAGTTTGCAGACTTATCCTTTGGAAGCATTCGTCCTAATTTCCAACATCCCTTAACTTCTCCCATTTTCTACCAAAGGAAACAGTTATATCAGATTTGAGTTACAGAGGAGAATATCAGAATACGCATCTGACTTCTTAATTAATGAAAGCTGCACAACCTCACATATGCAAAACATACAAGAACAAAGCATTTTATCACAACCGGGAAGTTACTCAACTGAATCATAAAAATAACATAAGGTTACCTAAGTTGATCTATCAATATAATGGCACTAGGGACCTAGAAGAGACTGTGATTCAAAAGAACTAACACTCGTCAACAAAACCATACCCTTATTGTAACAATGAGTAAATAATTCTACAGGATTCAATATGGCTCAATCTTATGCAAATAGGCTGAAACTACGGCTAATCAATCTATAATTCCCAGATCTGTTCCAGAAACTAATCATATACCAAAATCAAACCAAACACGACTTCAATTACAGAGATCACAACAACCTACGCCAAACAAGGGTTCGAATAGCGCCTCGAATTGAATTGATCTATTGAAACTGAACAAATTTTAAAACGGAAACAAAATAATAGAAATGGAATCAGATCCTAACCTTGACAAAATGGCATAGAAACAGACTAACACGAAGAACACCTCCGGAGATTTATAGAGAGACCAAATCCAGGACGTAAAGCCGCTATTTCGATACACAGACAGGTAGAGAGATAAATAAAGCAACCCAGACAAAACAATACAGAGACGAGACGAGACGAGACGAGAGAAAGAAGATTTTTATTTCGTGCTTCTGTCCTTTAAAAATACTGAAAGGAGAAAGAAGCTGACGAAGAAAAGAGTACAAAAGACCGCAGCCCATATGGTATTTATTATCTAACCAATTAAAAAGTGACACGTAACGAATGATGTGTAGAGGCAGTTCTAGAATAATCAGACTTATTTTGTCAGTGGAAGTTTTCGATTGGGACTTTGGTTACTAACTTGGGGCGGTGCAAGTGCAACTTTTGTCTGATGACCACGTGGCTTATATTCACTTTTGTTTAACGGCTGAGATTGGATCTTTTAGAGAAAAGGACCAAATTGCTTACGATCTGTCAAATAATAGAAAAGCTGTGGGCTTTATATGGGCTAAGCTTTAGTTTTGATCATAATTGTAAATGGGCTTTCAACGAGCTCCAAGTTCGTTATCCACACACAAAAAAAAATATAATTTCAGAATTATTTATAAATCTTAAAAATACATCGCTTAAAAAGTGTGTCGAATATTATTATTTTGTTCGTTTGGTGAAACGGATCCCTCGTAAAAGGTTTCGTTTCGTGATTCACTTTCCAGTTTTATCTCAAACTCTCTCTATCTCTCTCACCTTTAGCTTCTGTCGTCTTCTCCAATCTCCCAAATCTCAAATTCTGATTATTATTTTTTATTTTTATTTTCCACAAAACAAAACACATAAACAGGTTCGGTCTTCTTCAATTTTCACCGACACTGTGACACAGACCCGTCTACTTCTCTTCTCTCCCTTCTTTAATTTTCTCAGTCGTCGAATAAGCTTTTAAGGTAACACCGCTAAACGATCTACTCAATTTTTTAAAAATCTCTTCTCGTCGCATTTTGCTTATACTCGCTGTTGTGTTCTTATGAATCGAGATCGGAGTATATCTACCATTCCCCTAATTGCATATTTTCTTCGCCAGATTTGTTCTCTGTTCGTGTTTCTCTTGATCGCCACGAAAGTTTTAGATTACTGATTGTGATTGTTGCGTTTTTTTTTTCTTCTTCTTTTTTTTTCTAATAATTTGTATGCGATGTTCTGAAAATATTGTTTGATCCGTTTGTGAATTATACTAAAACTCATCAGTTTTATCACACAGCTGGAATCTGCAGTTCCATTTCACGCTCGTCTTCTCTTCCATCGTTTTCTTTGTTAAGAGCCTTTCCATGGCTTCTACGGTTGATTCCAATTTCTTCTCATCCGTCCCTGCTCTTCAGAGTAACCTTGGAGTTTTGTCTCCTGATCAGGTTTTAACCTCTGCATTTGTCATTTGTTTGAGTTGGGATGATAATGATCCTGCTTCTCCTTGGTTAATTCATTCTGTTTCTTACTCTGCTTTTTTTTTTTTTTTGTGGCAGATTGAATTGGCAAAGATCTTATTGGAAAATGGTCAGAGTCATCTCTTCCAACAGTGGCCTGAACTCGGTGTTGATGACAAAGAGAAGCTAGGTTTTTTCGAGCAGGTGTTTGTTTATGTTTTTTCTTACCATGACATCTCAATGTTTTGATGAATGGACATAGTAACAAGATTTGATATCGTTTTGGAATAATTAGATTGCTCGCTTAAATTCAAGCTATCCTGGAGGTTTAGCAGCGTATATTAAGACTGCGAAAGAGCTTCTTGCTGATTCGAAAGTAGGGAAGAACCCATATGATGGTTTCTCTCCTTCTGTAAGTAGTACCATAACTCTTCTTTTTGTTATGACTTTCTAAAGTTTTATTGCGTGTTTTGTCTCTGTTATCTTTTTAACAAAAGGTTTATGTGGTCTTTGAAGGTTCCTTCAGGAGAAAATCTTACTTTTGGTAATGACAACTTCATCGAAATGGAGAAAAGAGGTGTTGTTGAAGCTAGGAATGCTGCTTTTGTTCTTGTTGCTGGTGGTCTTGGCGAGCGTCTTGGTTACAATGGAATCAAGGTAAATAGTTAATATATAAGGTTTGAAAGGACTGCTTGAACAACTTATCCAGTCAAGTAGTAGATGGTGTTTGTAAAAAAATGATTTATTAGTCCTGTATCTCTGTAATATACAATGCTTTCCATCAGTTTTGCAATGTGGCAGAGAGACTTATGTAATTGAGGAACATGAACATTTACCTGCCAGACATATTTGAATCTTTTCTTAGGTGGCACTTCCAAGGGAGACAACTACAGGGACATGCTTCTTGCAGCACTATGTTGAATCTATACTGGCTCTTCAAGAAGCTAGCAACAAGATCGCTTCTGGTATGTTTCCTTTATTTTTCCACAAAATGACATATCCTTATTCCTCCCTACTAGATATCTGACATCTTACAAAGAACGTAAGTGAGAATAAGTACTTTTTCACATTTACTTACATTTTGCAGATGGAAGTCAGAGAGACATTCCTTTCATTATTATGACATCTGATGATACGCATGCACGTACATTGGAGCTATTAGAGTCAAACTCTTACTTTGGGATGAACGCTAGTCAAGTACACCTTCTAAAACAGGTATATGATTAACACTGAAGGACTTGTATAAGAGTTTGTTAACACGTAATATGGTTTGAGCAGCAGAGCACTATTGACTATTTTTTTTTCTAGGAAAAAGTTGCATGTCTTGATGATAATGATGCCAGGCTTGCATTAGACCCTCACAACAAATACAGGATCCAGGTACATGTCTCTAAAGTTAACTTTTTCAAAAAAGCTAATACAATTTTCTGCAGGCTAATTGTTCTTTTCTTGTGTATTCGTAGACGAAACCTCATGGACATGGCGATGTACATTCACTTCTCTATTCCAGTGGCCTTCTTCATAAATGGTAGTTCATCTATAGATATATTTTAAAGTGAATTACTTACATATGACATTTTGTAAGTTTTTTTGCCTATAACACTTTTTATTTGTTGAAATTTCAGGCTTGACGCTGGTTTAAAATGGGTTTTGTTTTTCCAAGACACAAATGGACTTCTCTTCAATGTCAGTATCAGCTTTCTCCACTCTTGTGTGTTAAGAAATTCACACAATTCTGGTTGAAAATTCACTATTCCTTATTTTGCTTCCTTGGTCCAGGCAATTCCAGCTTCTTTGGGAGTGAGTGCTACCAAAAAGTATCATGTTAACTCTCTTGCTGTTCCCCGCAAAGCGAAAGAAGCCATCGGAGGAATTACTAAACTTACACACGCTGATGGTAACTTTAGTGAATAGTATATATACATTTGTTGAATGACACTACTCATTTTTTTTCATTTGATAATCGAGAGTATGGATTTAAATGGTTTCCAGGTAGATCTATGGTGATCAATGTGGAATACAATCAGCTTGATCCTCTACTTAGAGCAACTGGATTCCCTGATGGGGACGTTAATTGTGAGACAGGCTTTTCCCCTTTCCCGGGAAATATTAATCAAGTGAGTTGTTTTGTCATCTACTCAATAATCACAGATTTGTCTCTGATTTAGACAGATTTGAAAGACTCTTGATGTTTTTGTTTATGTTTTCTAAATGCAGTTGATTCTGGAACTTGGTTCTTACAAAGAGGAGTTGCAAAAAACTGAAGGGGCCATCAAAGAGTTTGTTAATCCAAAGTAATTCTTCTCTTCTCTCCCTTTGATTCGTCTTTCCTTATTGATCCTCTGCTTGAATATATCACTGTCCTTATGTAATCTCATTGGAGTGTAATGATTATTATTACTAGTTTTAGTCAGAAACATTCTTTTGACATCTACATTTTGTATTATGTATAGATACAAGGATAGCACCAAAACAGCATTTAAGTCTTCAACTCGTTTAGAGTGCATGATGCAAGATTATCCAAAGACATTGCCTCCAACTGCACGAGTTGGATTCACGGTAATTGCTATTTGTAGAGTAAAACAGTACTTTAATTATGCATGCTTGTTGTGACAATGTTTCTTCATGTAGGTGATGGATATATGGCTTGCTTATGCACCTGTCAAGAATAATCCTGAAGACGCTGCTAAGGTAAATACTTAATGAAGAGAGCAAATAATGATTAATAAAGATAACATTTTAAAAAATGGATCCGAAAAAGGCATATCAGTCCTTGTGCTAATCAACTCGTTCTCCTATCTTTTTCTGCTTCCTATCTGACTAAAGGTACCAAAGGGAAATCCATATCACAGTGCAACTTCTGGAGAAATGGCGATTTATCGTGCAAACAGCTTAATTCTTCAAAAGGTAACAATTAGTTGTATCACTCAATTTTTCACATATGCTTCTGAAGCGTCCAATCTGTTTCTGTATATCCTTAAGTAAACCTGTTCGAGTCAAACAATTCTAAGTAGTCTTCTCCATGATGGTTTATAAGTCTCTAAAGCAACATCTCTTGTTCTTTGGTTTTACGAATTCCCTAGGCTGGTGTCAAAGTAGAAGAGCCTGTGAAGCAGGTCTTGAACGGGCAAGAGGTTGAAGTATGGTCACGTATCACATGGAAACCAAAATGGGGAATGATCTTCTCTGATATCAAAAAGAAAGTCAGCGGGAACTGCGAGGTCTCTCAGAGATCCACTATGGCTATTAAGGGTCGTAATGTATTCATTGAAGATCTCTCCTTGGACGGTGCTGTTATAGTAGATTCCATTGATGATGCAGAGGTATGTAATGAGTTCTTGAAAAGCATCATACTCCATTTATGATCTCTTTTTATTTATTATTACAAGATCACTTTATGTGACATTTGTGGAAACAGGTGAAACTGGGAGGTTCGATAAAGAACAATGGTTGGACCATGGAGACAGTAGATTACAAGGACACATCAGTTCCGGAAGAAATAAGAATTAGAGGTTTCAGATTCAACAAAGTGGAGCAGCTTGAGAAGAAGTTCACTCAACCTGGAAAATTTTCTGTGGAAGATTGAATTTATCTTATGTGACACATTTCAATTGGCAATATATGATCATTTAGCAAATTAGGTTTTTTTTTTCTTGGTTTTCTACATGCCAAATGTAACATTTGTTGTCCTTATGATGGAGCTTAATTCTTTCTTTCTTATTTTCTTTGTTTATCAACAAACACCCGAATATTATGTTTTTATAAATGACAATTTTTATTCAATAAAATTTAAATATAAGGAAAACATCAGAAAAAAAAGCATACAACAAAGCCAAGTATACAAATAAAGCTAAGTGTAGTATATGTTATTTTCTATGAATGGAGTGGACATATGCGACTCAAAACTATCATCACCTCACTTTGGCCAACATGAGTGGTCTGAAGGTGTGTCATAGACTTGAAAGCTTACCGAACTTGCAAACAGAAAAGGCAAAGAAAAAGAGTAGTAATCATAGACTTTTTATCTCCTCTTTAAATGTCATTATCTAATCATGCTTTCAACGCGACATCGTCCTAGTGCTGATAATATCATTTAGAATAAACATCATAGATTCATGGTTTCTCACTTTAATATTTAGTTCATATAAGTTATATATTTAGGCACATAGATAAAATATATATTTACAAAGATACAGTAAAACCTCTATAAATTAATACTCTATAAATTAATAAACACTATAAATTAATAAATTTTGTTAGTCCCAAGTCGGGCCAATGTAAAAATTAACCAAATTCAATAAGATAATAAGATAATAAGTTTTTTTGAAATCCCTATGTAAATATAGTCCCAATAATATCATAAATTAATAATCACTATGTATGTATATATATATATATATATATATATATGTGATATAAGTAGTTATGTTGAAATAGTTATGTTAAAATATGCTTTTAGTTTTTTTCTAAAAATGAATTTCTCCTAGACCTCATCTCTGTTAAAAAAATTATATTATATTTTTAAACTATAATCTTATAATATATTCCATAACATCATAAAATAAACAAAAAATTTCTAATGTTTTCTATTTATAAATATGCATCATATTCATTTTTGTTTGTTTTATAGGATGGTAAAAGATAACAGTTGAGGTACTAATCATAAATTTGAATAATTTGAATTTATGTATGTACTTTGTATTTTTTTTTTGTCATCATGTATGTACTTTGTATAGATAGAAATTTATTTATAATATTCTGAATTCATTTTTATTTTTTTATAAATATAGAATTCAATTCTAAACTATAAAAATTTATATAATCTTAAAAACTATTCTTGTTTTGTAAAATTGTCCCAATTTATAATTTCAAAAAACGTTAAAAGTGAAAATACCACTATAAATTAATAATTATTAATTTACACTATAAAATAATAAATATTAATTTATAGATAAATTAATATCACTATAAATTAATAAAATTCTAAGGTCCCAACATTATTAATTTATAGAGCTTTTACTGTATATTGATTTAGCCCGGTTCTTCTCTTCTACTTCAATTTTATATATGTACTAAAAAAATTATTAGTCTCTTGATAAAATATATATTGACATTTAAATTTTTTTTAAAAAAAAGAAGTAGTAAAAATTGGGATTGTAGAAATTAATTAAGAAGAAGTGGAAGAAGCCTTGTTGTATAATTTGATTCTTCGGCTTATCTCTTTCTCCAACTCTTCTTTTCCTCCCACTTCTTCCACTTCCTGATCCAATTCCCAAAAACCAAACCATGCAAACAAAACAAACAACAATCAATTCACGTGTTAACAAACATAACATGCAACTTATCACTTTTTTTTTTTTAATTTTGTTTTGAAAAGGGGTTATATAGATTCTTGCCTTTGGTCCAAGAAACAGCCCATATGGTACACCTTTGAATTTGTCTGTGTGGTGGAGCTGAAAACCATATAAATCATCATCCTTAGATAAAAATATTGTAATTCGAAAATAATTATAAGAGAATGGGATCAAGAACATAAAAAGGAGCTTTGGGTTGTCAGTTGTGATGTTGTATATTAAACCTGGTGAGCAGCGGCGACCTTTCGGAGGTAAGGGACGTTGGCAATAGGACCAACAGGGAACCTTTTGTGCACGAGTCCATCGTGGACGAACATGTAAGCCATTCCAAACACCGTTATTCCCAGTCCCTGGACGTCCATATACAAAAACCAGTCCACTTAGAGACTCAGTATACTCCAAGATTACTTCGTTTTGATTAATACATATATTTATATTGTATCTAAATATATTTTGTTGAGTTGATTATGAATGGGTAACACAACGACTAACACTAACACGTACAAATATCACTAACTAAAATTTGATATCGATTCAGAATGAATAGTATAGGTTCTTATGCCTACTCCTAGTACATTACACTACTAGCTAAAATTGATTTTAAATACGGCAATATCTTTCATGTTTGGACGGTACCGTAAATCTCACCCAACTTCCACGTTTAACTTTTGTGGGGCGGTGAAAGAAAACCCACCGAATGTATATTATTTTTATTTTAAAAAATTTAGTATTTAAAGGAGTGAAAAAAGACCAACTTTACTTGTGCTACTTTCTTATTCCTTTTTATTTTTGCTTTTGGTTTTTATTTTAAGGTTTCGGATATTGTCGTAAAAAGGAGAAAGATATAAAAATGACTTACGGCACCGAAGCAAAGACCAGGAACAAGTCCTTTGTTAAAGAAACCATAATAGAGTAGACCAATCGCAGGAACAGCGTTTATTATAGCGAACACATCGTTTAACTCAAACGCTCCTTCTCTTGCTTTGTGATGAGACTGCCCACCAACCCAATTTTTACCATATCACATTTTCTTCCAATTTTATAGCAGTAAAACTAGAATAATGAGAAGAAAAAATTATTGATTTACCTCATGCATGTTCCATAAAGAATCATGCCATAAAGCTCTATGAGCCCATCTTGCCCAAAATTCCATTCCAACCTTTAAAACCAAACAATTTTTTCAAAAAGATTACAAAATTGTGAAGACTCTTACATATATCTTTTTGAATATAGTGAATATTGGTTAATTTGGTATGTTTGCATATATTTTCGATTTCGGTATTTGATGCTTTTTGGCATATAACGTTTTATACAGTTTGAGTTACATATAAAATTCGGTTTGGGTCAGCTTTTCTACCACAATTTAGGAAGAGACATAAGAACTTACGGCAGCACCAACCGCTAGAGCAAATGTACCAAACATCTCTGATATAGGCACTTCACCTCCCTAATATCATAAACCAAAAAAAAGAGTCGAGTTTCACTTCTTGAAATTAGGATAAATGATATTAGATTTTTATATATTTATTGTTACCTTCATTTGCCATGAAAATCGATAGTAAACAGCCATGATAGCCATAGAAGTAACACCAAAGCTAGACATCACAGCCGCTATTAGATAAGTCAATCTCTCTGTTTTTTTCTTCTCCGCTTTCTTGAGAAGCCGTGACGTCGCCAAGAACTGATGAGAAGAGCTCGTCGTGCTTTCCGGTTTGTCGTCGTCCATAGGAGAACTCTGTTTCCGTTCTTCAACTACGAAACAAACGGTGAGAATCTTTCGCCGTCTAAAGCCGTTGAATCGTAGAGACGGTGGGAAAACGGCGGTGGAGATAGGGTGGTTTGAAGAGAAAGAAGAGTGGTTGAGTGGTTTAAGTGTTAGGGCAATCGTTGAGAGTCCTGCTGCCATGGGGAAGGAGCTCGTAAATGTCTCTTTTTACAAGACTTTGAAAGAGAGTTATAGAGAGAAATATGTGTGGTAAAGCTTGCAGAAACAAGTGAGTCCACAATATATTTTTATAGTTCTTTTCTTAAAAAACTTAAGTCATTTGTTTATTCGTTTCTTTAATAACAATTTTAAACATGTTATTGTTATAGAAAATAACTTAATTTAGTAATAAGTTAGTTATAGTATGTTGGATTACGATACTATTGTTAATCTTTTGTAGAAAAGATACAAAAAAAGGTGGAGAAGAAAGGAACGTTCACACATTGGGGTAGTGGTAGTGGGGTAATGAGTTTGAGGTAACGAGAGGTGATGGGCCATTTCGAGGATTTCCCAAGTCATCGACAGCGAATCACTCCCACTTCTCTTTATTGCCTCCACGTGTTCTCTTCTTCCACCGAATAAGGCGAGAGGAGTATCACCATCTTCCACATGTCTAGTCTTCTTTGGTCTAGTTGGTTCGTTAGCTAGATGACATACTCTAAGGTAAATGAAGTTATAAAACTACAAGTTGTCAAGTTGGTTAGAGATCCACTGCTAGAAACAATATCCGAATTATGTTCATATCATTGGCTGTTTAGTTTTTGCGATGTGCACCGGACGAAACACTGAGACAATAGATGTGTGTGCTTCCATGCATTTTCATATTTGATTTGATAGAGAGTTTTGAAGTTTGATCATAATTTATAAGTTTTTAGAGTTTGATAATAATTTCTAAGTTATTTTCAAATCAAAATATAAAGTAATGGTTATGACTTGATATATGTAATATCAGTGATCACGCCATACCATATGCTAAAATGTTCTTGAGCTGACGGTAGAGATTGTAATCCAGGCTAAAGGAGTTGTACAGACACGTACACATGAAAATAATATGATTAGTTCATTAGTACAATATAATTAGTCAAAGAGGGCATTGTAAGAAAACAAAACATTAATTTCAAGAAGCACTATTCATTCATACAAATAGGAATCAGTCTTTCAGGCAAAGAAGATATTTATATCCGGTTCAGCTTAGATGAGTTTACTCTAACAAAGTCATCTATACCAAAAAAAAAAAAAAAAAAAAAAAACTTACAAAATTTGATTATTTGACATTTCATTTTGAGTATAAAGTATTAATATAGTTCTCTAACAAAAGCTTTTGATTTTTCAGTTTGAGTTTTATTCGATATTGAATAAAGAGTAAAAGTTTTTTTTTTTTTTTTGTCGGAGTCTCGGAGAGTAAAAGTAATTAACTCTGGTTAATTTGTATTCACTCAAATAAAAATATAGTTTTGTATAAACTTTAAGCTTTTTTTGTCGCTTAATAAATAAGAACAATAAATTCTCGTTGATGTGGTTCAGGTTGACCAAATTCGCATTTTGTTATCCGGATTATTATAATTTTTTTGTGTCATTCGGATTATTATAAAGTTGACTAAATTCGATTCGATTTATTCGGTTAAGTACGGTTCAGTTCGGTTTATAACGCCGACCTGTTAATTGAATTTGAAACCTTTTTAACTGCAAAATTAATGAAGATTCTCGACGACGCGTAAGCCTCCTCTCTAATTACTTCGTCTCCAGGGTAATCGATCTTTTTCTCTCATCTCATCTCATCTCTCTCCCTCGTGAAATCACCATGAGTATGGAAGCATCGGAGCTACAAGATCTCTCCGACGACGCCGATTACGCTGCTTCTCAACAACAAGTTTGCATTTCTTACTTTCTCAATTTTGTTTCAACTCCATCGTTATTTCGCAATCAAATTCTCCGCCTGAGCGAATTTGTATCCGATCTCCAAGTTATTCCCGATTGATCGTTTGATTTTTGTTTCCATGTCTCTTGATATTTTTTTGGTAGGGATCGGCTAGTATGATGCGTTGCGATAGTGGAAAGAGAAGTTCACCTAGTGAACACGATGACGCTGAATTGATATATTTGAAAGATAACGTTGCAATTCATCCTACACAGTTCGCATCTGAGAGGATTAGTGGTAGATTGAAGTTAACTAAGCAAGATTCTGTTCTCTTCTTGGTAAATCAATCAATCATTGCAACTCCTTCTTATACTTGATTTTACTTTTAATGGATATGGTCCAAGGATTGAATTGGTTATTTGATGTATAGTTATTTAGTCATTCACCCACTTGTTTCCAATTTTTGATTCTTGCGTTTGTTATGTGGCTAGTCGTGGATTCCGTACAAGGGACAAACCTCAAATGCAAAGCTATCTGAGAAAGGTAATTAGGTTTCGTTGAACTTTAATTATTGTTGGTATTGAAGATGATGCCTTACCTCTGTACTTAGTTTATATAACTTTTCTAGACAGGAGTCTTTATACCATTACAGCAGTTCCATTCACAGAAGTGAGGTCCATTAGGCGACATACTCCTGCTCTTGGATGGCAGTATGTAATTGTCGTTCTGACTTCTGGTAAGCAATATCTTTCGATTTTTTGCTTTCGTTGGGATATATTTATGATGAAAATTTTGAATCACTGTCTGGGATGATCAACTGCATCAACAGTGTAATGGAAATGGTTTACATCTCTACTGGTTTTAGAATCGAATAAAAATTTGAGATTTTCTCTCATCAATTAGGATATCTGGAACTCAAATCAGCTAAAATAATCTGTGGAATGACTGCTAAGTCTTCCTAGTGGATTTTTCCATTTAATGGGATGGGATTTTCTAATTTTTTTCTCGACAAGTCGAATGATCTTGAGAATGTTAAGCGCTTTAGATGACTTACAGGACTTGCATTTCCACCTCTGTATTTCTACAATGGAGGAGTCAGGGAGTTTCTAGCCATAGTGAAGCAGCATGTTTTTCTTGCAAGGTTTGTGACTTATGTGAGATAGTTTTGTTCCTGGCCTGTATTAATATTCTTATTGATGGAGAACATGTCATTATGTTCTGTTCGGTTACTGTATCAAAGTAGCATAGGAATCCACAGCGTCAATGTATTGCTTGTTTCAGTCAGCTTTTATAGCTCTTGTTACTTACTCATTAGGAAGACATGGCATGAAACTAATTGGATGACTAGATTTTAGTTATAGTATGGAACTGAATGACTTGGTACATAGGTAGGCCACAAAGAAAATATTCGTAACTATAGTCTTACATGATATTAGCTTTCTATAGGTCGGCAGAAGATGCAAATGTGTTCCTCGTGAATGATTTTCAGAGTCCCTTGCAGGTAACTATATCAAATTATATCATGTTGGGTGAAATGATGATTTTGGTTTATCGATGGGCTAATACATTTGACCATAATATCTAACAGAGAACTCTATCTTCATTGGAGCTGCCAAGTTCACTGCCAGTAGCAAGTGGACAATACCCATCAGACGGAGGAACTTCCAATGACAATCAAGGGAGAGCAAGTGCTGATGTTGGTAACAGAGTTTCTAGTGTTAACCAGTATGGCTTGAGAAAGCAAAAGAGTCATGATCCTACTCGGGATCTTTCAATCCATCTTCTAGAGAAGTTTTCTCTGGTTACCAAATTTGCTCGAGACACAACCACTCAGTTGTTCTCTGAAAACAATGGCTTTGGTTCCATTGACAAGAGATGGAATAACCAACCTGTGCATAGTTATCCTGAAAAGTTGTCAAATATTGCTGAAGAAAAGCATCAGGAAAGCCCTCATAGTTACCTTGATAATGACCCTTTCAAGGATGAAGAGATCGCTAATAATGTTGATGTCCCTGATGATCCCTTAGAGGTGAGCATCATTTTTTCTTTTTGTTATAAGCACTAGAATCTTGGTGGAAATTATTAGCGGAATTGTGTGGGTCTTCCTGTACATCAGCATCTAGTTTTTTTTGTCTCTTCGATAGATTGTCATTTGTTTTAAATGCGGAGGGTGAAATTTGTATTTTCCCTATTGACTAAAATCCATACACCGTAAGTTTTTTCCATGTCTGATTCATTTTGGATACCAAATTGACATTCACCACGACCTAGATATCCAACCTGGCATATTTGAGTGCTCCCATTTGTGGACTTGCATGCATGTCAGTGTCATTTGTGCTTTCAGTTAGTTGGTACTCTACCTAGACACTACTACTGATGACTAGTGACTTATAGCACGTTTTCTTGTTCTTGTCAAAGTTTGTTGGAAGCAGAGCTTTGGAAGTTTTTTTTAATTCACTTTTATGAATTTAGCATGTTGACCATTGATTTAAATGATCAGCTTTTATGAATTCACTCTTAAGAATTTAGGATATTCACATCTAAAATATATGTGGATGCTTCACCTTGTATTAGCACATAAATCATCTATGAATATTTGCTTTCTATGCTTTATTAACACCAATTATCCTGAACTGATGGTTAGCTGGCCACTCATATCTACATTACATGACTTCTGAATTTGTTATAGATTATGTCATATAATGTTTCCTCTTCTGCAGGTTAATAAATTAAGTTTGGTGTGGGGAAAACCAAGGCAACCACCAATGGGGCGTAAAGAGGTACACACTTTCAAATTCTTCAATTTTTCAAAGTGCAGAAAGTTTGGAGAGGAAATTTCTTGGTGCTTTGGTTCTTTTTTTTCTTCTAAAGTTTAGAGAAGAAATGATATATATCCAAGCATTGTATGCATAAATTTTATATTGTCTTTCAATCATTGTTTAAATTCAAACTTTTGGTGGGATATCAGTTCACAGCTTTCTTGGATTCTGAAGGGAGAGTTGTGGAATCAAAAGCTCTTCGAGAAAGAGTTTTCTATGGAGGCATTGAGCACCAACTGCGAAGCGAGGTTATCTTTCTATTTCATATGATGTATTCATTAAAAATTAGGCGTGCATAATTTTACATGCTGATTGATTTTGGAACTTGGGATTATCATTGTAGGTCTGGCCTTTTCTCTTGGGATATTATGCATATGACTCGACATATGCAGAGCGAGAATATCTTCGATCTGTCAAACAGATGGAATATGCAACATTGAAACAGCAGTGGCAGGTTCATTCATCATCTTATCACATTATTTCTAGATTTCTTAATTGGCTATGTAGTTCCTTTTCCCAATGATGTCTGAACTAATTCCATAAAATTTTGACCGTTTCCTACTGTAGTCTACTTCCCACATTTTCGATGCATTCTTAACTAGAATATTTGTTTTGACAGAGCATTTCCCCTGAACAAGCAAAAAGGTTTACAAAATATCGGGAGAGAAAAGGGTTGATAGATAAAGACGTGGTAAGAATGTCTGAGAATTTTGATTTAAGTGGTGTCCATTATTCATCGAATTCCTATTGAGGTATATCCCTCATTTATTTGTTTGTAGGTAAGAACTGATAGGGCATTTGAATACTATGAAGGGGATGAAAATCTGAATGTCAATATCATGCGTGATATTCTGTTAACCTACTCCTTCTACAATTTTGACCTAGGTTACTGCCAGGTATTCATCAGTTTTCATAGTTCACTCTTGAAACTGAATTACAAGTTGGCGTTGTCCTATGCTGGACACTCTTCTTTTTTGGCCTTTTTTGGCGTTGTGTGGCGTAATGGACAAATGTTTTTCTGGTTATTAGGGAATGAGTGACTATCTATCGCCTATCTTGTATGTGATGGAGAATGAATCAGAATCCTTTTGGTGTTTCGTGGCACTGATGGAACGCCTTGGACCCAACTTTAACCGTGACCAAAATGGGATGCATACTCAGCTCTTTGCACTCTCAAAGGTCTAAAATTTTGTCGAGAACACCTCTAAGTCTATCTTCTTTCTATTTCTACGCTTCTATCAGCATTCAGTATCAATTTTGGGATCTGAATCTGGTGCTTTTTCATTTTCACTGTCTCACAGCTGGTAGAGTTACTCGATACCCCGCTTCATAATTACTTTAAGCAGAACGACTGCTTGAATTACTTCTTCTGTTTCCGCTGGATTCTGATTCAGTTTAAAAGGTTTAGTTCTTCTTTTCTGCCTCTTTCTTGTTATTGCTTAGATATTTGTACCACAACCTCGTTTTGGGCTGGAAAAATATCCGGAGTTTAACATATATCGATATTGGTATTTTGATTATTAGTCGGGGAATGGATATTTTTGATTAGTTAACCAGTTTACCTGTTCTGTAATATCCTCTCGAAAACCCTTCCAATGTGATATCTACAGCAAGTGCACTGTCTAAAATAGCCAAATTACAGTTACATGATTACATCACATTTTGAATGTGAATGCCCCAATATTATTCTCTTATTTTCAAGAAAAAATCTTTTAAATTTGACTGTGTGTATTTGATTCTGGTGACAATGTGTCTCAGGGAGTTTGAGTACGAGAAGACAATGCAGCTGTGGGAGGTTTTATGGACTCACTACCACTCAGAACATCTTCACCTATATGTTTGTGTGGCGATCTTGAAGCGATGCCGCAGTAAGATAATGGGAGAACAGATGGATTTTGACACACTCTTAAAGTTCATCAATGAGCTGTCTGGGCATATTGACCTTGAATCGACAGTCAGAGATGCCGAAGCACTTTGCATATGTGCTGGTGAAAATGGTGCTGCTAGTATCCCTCCAGGAACCCCTCCTTCTTTGCCACTTGATGATATTATGTTATACCCTCTGGAAGATGATGTTTTGTAAGTATTACAATTTTCCTTTTTCTTCAGGACATGTTAACAAAATTTGGATTGCTTATACTAGAAATCCCATTACAATGATTAAGAGGTCAATGGACATATGTTATGTTTTTGTTTTCTTCTCTTGTTCCACTTGGTACTCTGGTGTCTAAAATAGTTAGGTACAGGTATTGTGTTGCAGTTGATAAGAAGGTAAGAATAGGATCCTCAACGAATTAGGACTTGTAAAATATGATAAATTTCTTGCGTAGACTACGTCCCTCAATGTAAACTTGTATAAAGAAAGCAATAATGATTCACAGAGTCTATGCAAGAATCTATCCCTCGAGATAAATCAAGGAAAGTCCTAAAGCAAAGGATAGAAATCAGTAAAGGCAAAACATGGGTCAAAAACAAGAGTGTTGTCTGGGTAGTGGGATATGAGAGGCAGTGGAGATCCTATGCGGACGTCATAGTCAAAGCTATTGGTCTCCTCCATCCAGGTATTTCTTGCCATACTCTTCTCTTCTCCATCTCCTTCTTCTCCATGGCTTCTTCTCACTTCAGTCGAAATAACTGGCTTATCGGTGCAAGTAGTGGCGGCGATTGATTCAGGTGCATTCTGTTTTCTGGAATTGGATTTCTTGTTCAAATGGGTATTCCAGTAGTTCTTGACTTCGTTGTCAGTGCGACCTGGAAGGCGACCGGCGATCAATGACCATCTGATAGGGAAAGAGTAAGAAGTTAGTATCTAGAAAGTTATCAGAGAGGGGGATCAATGGTAAAAGAGGAAAGACCGGTTTCCAAGAAGCTTATGCATGCGGATGATGAGGTCTTGTTCTTGAGGTGACATGCTTCCTCTTTTGATATTTGGTCTTAGATAGTTCTTCCATCTCAACCTACAGCTTTTTCCTCCTCTCTTCAACCCTGAAAAAACACAAACTCCCTTAGTTTATCAAAAGTTCACAACTTCCGTTTTTCGAGTAAACAAACGAAACTCAAAATGAAAACTTGGAATCGAACCGGATCTACGGGAGATGTCTGCCCAGTTTCCTTCTCCATGAGTCTCAACATAGCTTTTCAATATCATGTCTTCTTCAGGTTTCCATAAACCTCTCTTCACGTAAGACTTCCCTTCTCTTTTCTGCTCCATATTTTTTCTTTTGGTTTTTTCTTCTTCTCTTTGCCCTCCACAGTTTGCAAGTTTATTATAATTATATGGAGGCATCATAAAGTTTGAGGTTTCCAACTTTAACTCTTACATGTGGGGACTATGTAATAAAATTATTGAAGAGAAAAAGAGAACAGTGGTTGCACTTTTGCAACAGTAACGACTGTAAAATTCGTGCAAACTATAGCTGTAAAAGCTCTGCTTGCTTGTTTTTATCCTCAACATTGTCACAAAAATTATTGGCTTTAAAGACAAACATATAAGCACGGGAGATCAGAGGTTGAAGATTGCCATCAACCTCGATACATGCGTTTAGTCCATTCACAAATACAATTGTGCGTTTACAGTTGTTGCATTTCAACAATCTCTTTCTCGCTCTAAACGTGCAGTTTCGAATCTTGTGCTCAAAACGTTTTGTAGAAAGACTAGTGTATATACTAAAGGATAACAAAAGTACTATACATATTTGAATGGATACAGTTTAATTTATGCTAAATGCAAAGCGAAATTACAAATACAATTTTCAGTATTTGTTTCTTCTGTCGTATCAGACAACAATTAAATAAAGCCTCTAGAATTGCTATCATCATCATTGTCATCGTCTTGCATGTAAAAGTTATAGACTAAATATCATTATAACTACTTTCTAGCTGATAAAACTTCATAATTGCATAACCTTTTTTTTTTTTTTGGGATAAATGTTCCATAAAGGTTTTACATCAATTCAATTTTTAGTCTTTGAGATTAATTAGCAGATTAATTTTTTAAAAAGTTTGTCCGGTAAATTTTGTACTTTTTAAAAACAATTTAAAGCAATAAGAATGTTGTTTTACATAAGTGCAAACGACAAGAAACCTGGGACAACTACACATGAAGATAAAAAAAAAGTCACAGCTATATGAAAACTATATAGCTAGCTAGATTCTATGTTATAACGTTTACACAGTTGAGATCTTCTGCATAGTCTACAAAGGTGTGAACCCGGCAAAGTGCACTCAAGTTTCAACCATTCTTGTTTCTCGTCATCCTCTAGAATCCACAAACACAACTCAAAGACACGCCTAATGCTGTCCCAATTCCAACTAATCACGCCTAATTTACCCTTGTAATTAATTAGTTTTATAGGAGAAGAACAACAAGATATGTTCCGTGTAGTAGAATCTTCTTCAAGAAACCTAAGCCTTTCATACCTAACATCAAAGCAACCTATTTTCACAACCTTGTATTGGTAGTGGAAAGCTATGTAATGTAATACAAAACCCCGTTGATGCATTTCCCTTCTTTTATAGGCGGGTAATGGATTACAGGACACTGAACCTTCCTCCATGAAACTTTTCTTGTTCCTAATGTCAAAACTTGTTCCTCTGATCCATAACGTGAATAGGTTATCTTCAGTACCTTGTATTGTCTGCCAATAGGATCATAACCTAATAAGCTGCTCGAACTGAACTTACTCCTCATTTGAGTTAATCTCTTGAGCATTCCAATCATAGGGTTACATATAACAGGTACTTTATCTGTCCAGAAGTTAGGAAAATAAAGCAAACCAGAGACAGGACCAAACACCTCTTGTCCCATGTTTTTAGGTAACTGCATATGAAACTCGGCTGATACTTCAAGAGACTGGTCCTCATCTGGGTCCTGGGGCGACGAGTAGAAACGCCACTTACCAAAGTTTTCTACAGCGAATAAGAGACGTGGCCGAGTCGAGGGCCTAGTCAAGAACCACTCGGTGAAATCTGGACCTCTAAGTAAAGACTGAGATAACTTGGATGAGAGACCAAACCTAGCGATTGACGTAGTAGACGATCTCGAGAGTATGTCGAGAATGATGTCGATCGGAATGGGATCTGATAAATTTCTTCTCTTTCCATCGAGTTTCAAAGACAAGAACGTGTGTCTTTGGTTCTTGACTTTGCCTTAGGCTATAATTTGGGGGTTTAAAGGCAATCTAATAGTAAATTGATTTTGTGAATTTTTGGAAACAGTAATGTTAAAATTCAGAAAAGTAAATTAGTAAAAAAATTCAATTTAACTTTTTTTTGGGTCATAAATATAAAATATAGTATAGAATTTCATTAAAAAATGTAAATTCTATATACAAAAAAAAAGAACATGTGTGTTAGATTTAAGACTGGGCTAAGAATTTTCTTTGTCGCTAAATTAATAAATGATCATAAAAGGCTAGATGAAATTACTAAAGGATTAATTAAATGTCAAACATATGAAGAAAAAACAAGATTAGAAAATGATGATATATTATTATTGCATTAAAAATCAGACAAGGGATTCACTTGGACTAGAGTGACCAACATTCAAAAGAAAAAGAAAAAGAAAAAAAAAAACTGATCAACATTAAACGAAAGAACAAATCCTTTCACTCATGTGGATCATGTAACATCAAGATCACTCTTCTTGTTCTTATTACAACAACATAATACTTTCAACGTAATCCGTGAAAGCTAGCACCAAAGATGATCGAGCCAAGGGTCTAACTCCTCCCAACCAAACTCCCCTTGAACATTTCTTCTTGAGATCAACATAAACAAGATGAAACTGAAGAAGATAATCACGAGCTGTAACTATAAGATCACCACTACCAGCAACAAAACCCACAACACCTGGCCAAATAAGATTATACGAACACATCTCTCGATTTATATTGATAGAGACTTTAGACCATTCTTGTTTCTTGGCATCTTCCAAAACCCATATATCATACTTGCTAATATTTCTTTTAGCAACCAAAGCTAGTTTCCCTTGGTAGTTCGCGAATAACATATCATAAACAATACTAGCCTCCACTGGAAATTCAATGAAATCATCAAACTTTTCCGTCGCCACATAGAATCTTACTAACCTCGGTCCATGCGCCGTGCCAGCACCGTAATACACAATCCCATCGATGCATACTCCTCTGGTAACGGGAGAATGAACATTCCCAACCTCGATCATCTTCCATGAACCTTGACCTCCTCCTAGAGTAAACACTTGCACTTTGTAGCGACATCTTAAACGCTTTTTCGAGAAAAACAAGATCTTATATTGACAACTGATAGGATCATATCCCATATACCATGTCCTGAACGGTTTATAGGAAGAGGATTGGGGACCTTGGGGTAAGAGTACTCCCTTTCCCAAGGCAGGATTACATATCCACAACTGATCCATGTATTCAATACATATCAAACCATGGACGCAATAAGGCGTATAAGAGGTGTTATCGACGGAGCATGGTGCATTGATTACAAAAGAAGGTTGGGATATCGAGAGAAAGTGCCAACGGAATGTTGCGAATTGATCTTGTAAAGCGAACATGACACGAGACTGACGACGAGTAGAGCATCGAGATTGGTATGCGTTGATGAAATGTCTACTGCGGATGATTGAGAGCCAAAGCTTGGACACACATAAAAAGATTGCTAGAGTTTCCACTGGCAATCTTAAGAGAATTTCGAAGAAAATTTCTTCAGGAAACATGATTTAATAGCAAAATGTTTTTGTAGTTTTTTTTTTTTTTTTTTTGTGTTTGCAAGAGATTCTTGTATTTTTCATCTATCAATAAGAGAATCTAGTATATATATAAGTAAGAAATGGGGGAAATTTTGCTTAATCATTTAATGGAAGATTGACTTGACTAATCTTTTTTGTAAAATTATTAATAAATTTGTATCCTAATGAAGTCAATACAATTAAGAATTGCGACTAGATTTTTTTTCTTTCTTTTTTGTATATTTAATTTCGTATCCAAATGGTTAAGGCAATACAATTAAGAATTGTGACTTACTTTATTTGTATATTTATTTTTTTGTATCCAAATGGTTAAGTCAATACAATAAAAAATTACGACTATTTTTTTTTATGTTTATTTTCGCGTCCAAATGGTTAAGCCAATACAATTAAGAATTGCGATTTGAAAAAAAAAAAACATTTTAACACTAAATTAATTAATAAAGTTCTAATGATATATTTCATTTTCCAGTTTGATTTATCTATATTGTTAATGATCTGATGGACAAGAATCCAATTGCTTCAGTTCACTTACAATTTATATATAACTCAATGGACACAATAAAACTTTAGTCATAACAATGCAAGTAATCCTGAAGTCACTTCAAGATATACTGCAGATTTTAAGCTAATAACACCCCCTTATAACATATTGCGGATTTTAAAATCCAAAAACAAATCACTAAACAAATAACATAAAATTTTAACTAGTATTTATAGATCATACAACCAATAACACATGATTTTGATAGTTATTTTAAAATCAATGATTTTATAACACATGATTTTTGTTTAGATTTCCAAATCCAATTTTAAAAGGCAATCTCTCTAGAAAGCTAATGGGCTATATGAACTAATGGGCCATTTTAAATTCTACCCATTAAGAGATATCGTCACTCACTGGGCAAGTCCAACGTGATTTGACTCGAATCATCATCTCTTTTCCCATGGCTCTGAATTCTTCAGCTTTCTTCGTCCCATGTCACAATTACAATCAAATTTGTGATCTTCTTCTCTCTTCAGCTCGAACAAGATCGACTGTGAAAGGGCTTCAGCTTCATGGCTACGTCGTTAAATCAGGCCTTTCTCTTATCCCTCTCGTCGCCAACAATCTCATTAATTTCTACTCCAAATCACAGCTTCCGTTTGATTCACGGCGAGCTTTTGAAGATAGCCCACAAAAGAGTGCGACGACTTGGAGTTCAATCATCTCTTGTTTTGCTCAGAACGAGCTTCCATGGATGTCTCTTGAGTTTCTTAGGAAAATGATGGCCGGAAACCTTAGGCCTGATGATCATGTTCTTCCGTCAGCTACCAAGTCTTGTGGGATTTTGAGCCGTTGTGATATTGGGAGATCGGTTCATTGTCTATCGAAGAAGACTGGGTACGATGCTGATGTGTTTGTGGGGAGCTCTTTGGTTGATATGTACGCGAAATGTGGAGATATTGTTGATGCGAGGAACATGTTCGACGAAATGCCTCTCAGAAATGTGGTTACTTGGAGTGGGATGATGTATGGGTATGCGCAAATGGGTGAAAATGAGGAAGCTTTATGGTTGTTTAAAGAAGCTCTGTTTGAGAATCTAGCTGTTAATGATTACTCGTTTTCGACTGTTATTAGTGTCTGTGCCAATTCGACTCTTCTTGAGTTAGGTAGACAGATTCAGGGATTGTCTATTAAGTCCAGCTTTGACTCGTCTAGCTTTGTGGGTAGTTCATTAGTCTCGCTGTATTCCAAGTGTGGTGTTCTCGAAGGAGCATATAAAGTTTTCCACGAGGTGCCTGTAAAGAATCTCGGGATTTGGAACGCGATGCTAAAGGCGTGTGCACAACACTCGCATACTCAAGAAGTTATCGAATTGTTCAAACGGATGAAACTATCTGGTATGAAACCAAATTTCATAACTTTTTTGAACGTGCTCAATGCTTGTAGTCATGCGGGGTTAGTCGATGAAGGAAAATACTACTTTGATCTGATGAAAGAATCCAGAATCGAGCCGACAGATAAGCATTATGCTGCCTTGGTGGATATGTTGGGACGAGCTGGTAAACTAGAAGAAGCACTCGAAATTATCAAGAATATGCCAATCAATCCCACAGAATCTGTCTGGGGAGCTTTATTAACAAGTTGTACAATCCACAAAAATACAGAGCTTGCAGCATTTGCAGCTGACAAGGTCTTCGAATTAGGACCTGTGAGTTCCGGTATGCACATTTCGTTATCGAATGCCTATGCAGCCGATGGAAGATTCGAAGACGCAGCCAAAGCTAGAAAATTGCTTAGAGACCGAGGGGAAAAGAAGGAAACAGGGCTAAGTTGGGTTGAAGAAAGAAACAAAGTTCATACATTTGCAGCAGGAGAAAGACGCCATGAGAGAAGCAAAGAAATATATGAGAAGCTGGCTGAGTTAGGAGAAGAGATGGAGAAAGCAGGTTACGTTGCAGACACGAGCTTTGTTCTGAGAGAAGTAGACGGAGACGAGAAGAATCAGACCATAAGGTATCACAGCGAGAGATTAGCTATTGCTTTTGGACTGATCACGTTCCCTGCTGATAGACCAATCCGGGTGATGAAGAATCTGCGTGTTTGCGGCGATTGCCATAACGCAATCAAGTTCATGTCCATATGTACAGGACGAGTGATCATTGTGAGAGACAACAATCGTTTTCATCGGTTCGAAAATGGCAAGTGTTCTTGTAATGACTATTGGTGAAGAAGAGACGTAAGAATTGGTTTATTTTTTTGAAACAACGGCTACTTCTTGTTATTGATCATCATTTGTTGTAGGATGAAATCACTAAATATTAAAGTTAAACAATCGATTTCTTTTTCGTTCCTGTAAAAGCTGAGCAATTCCAACAAGTAAATTTGCAAAGCTTTTTATGCATTGGATCTCCAACAATAACAATGAGATGCCAAGCTTTTAGATAAAAGAAACCATAGCTTGTCATGAAGATGACATGGCTCAAGCAGAACCATCTTGGCGTTAAACAAGCTTTGAGCATTTTACAACTTAGAAATAGGAGAGGCCGCGCGAACGCAGGCCTCCACTGCAACAAATAATGACGCAGGCTCTTCCTCTTGGGAAGACCTTAAGCTAAAGCACCCTTCCTTAAAGTGCAATGGAAGTCACTAGCTTAGGCCACACACCTTCATGATCGTGCGTTGACCCCGTCCAGGTAAGTACCTTTCACGTTAGCACCTCCACGTTGTTTTATACAACAAAACAAGAGATTCATCATCATGCCACTTCCGATGTGGGAGAAGAAGCGACAATAACCCACTAAAAAGCACGAAGGAATGGGCCTTATAAACAGTTTCATTACGGCCCAGATCATACACACTTAATTCAATTTTATTGAACCGGGCTCAGTTAAACCGGAAAGAATTGTCTCAATGACCAGAACGACATGAAGTTGAAAATAAAAGAAGTTTCTCGAATCCGTTTCAACGAAGAAGCCAAAACGGTTGATCTACATCATAACACGACGTCGTTTCATCGAACACTCCAGAATCACCTGGTTTCCTTTTAATTTCAGAAGAAGAGACTAGAACATTGTTTCCTCCTTTCTTCAATATATAAATTCACATTGTCTCCTTCATCTCCTCATATCTCAAGAAAAGTAAATCACAAATCTCTCTGAAGCTCTCGATTTCGTAATTCCAAGTTTCTCGTCTACATCATTCTCCTCTGCGTTGAATCAAAAGATCGTTTGCGATGGCGGAAGTACAAATGGCAGATGCGGAGACTTTTGCATTCCAAGCTGAGATTAACCAGCTTCTTAGCTTGATCATCAACACTTTCTACAGCAACAAGGAGATTTTTCTCCGTGAGCTCATCAGTAACTCTTCTGATGTAAGTGTTCCCCTTAAAATACTCTGCTCTGTGTTGATTCCTCCGTTTCTTGTTATCCTGCATGTTATTTGTTTCTTGGATTCTTAGGTTTTCTGTTTGGATACAGATAACAGATCGTGCATGATTTGACTTGTGCGTCAAGTTAGATTAGGGCTTCCTTTCTGTGTTCTTCGTCTCTTGATCCTGTTATGAACGGATAGTTTTGAATCCCCTGTGTTGTGGTTAAATGATCTGTTTTTAACCTGATGAGATAGGGTTTATGGAGCTAGGAATCATAGATTGTGTTGGAGCTAGGAATCATTGATTGTTCTTGTTAAAGTAGATGTCTGATTATTGTTGTAAATATGTGTAGGCTCTTGACAAGATTCGATTTGAGAGCTTAACAGACAAGAGCAAGCTTGATGGGCAGCCTGAACTTTTCATCAGATTGGTACCAGACAAGGTTAACAAGACACTCTCGATTATTGACAGTGGGATTGGGATGACCAAAGCAGGTAATGAATCTATACCCTAATTTTGTTTGCTTGCGGGTGATTTCAGTGTGTGTGTGCTGTTGTTTGACTCTTTATTTTTACATTTAGATTTGGTGAACAACTTGGGGACTATTGCGAGGTCTGGAACCAAGGAGTTTATGGAAGCACTTCAAGCTGGAGCTGATGTGAGCATGATTGGTCAATTTGGTGTTGGTTTCTACTCTGCTTATCTTGTTGCAGAGAAGGTTATTGTCACCACAAAGCACAATGACGATGAACAGTACGTTTGGGAGTCTCAAGCTGGTGGTTCGTTCACTGTCACTAGAGATGTTGATGGGGAGCCTCTTGGTAGAGGAACAAAGATCACCCTCTTCCTTAAGGATGATCAACTTGAATACTTGGAGGAGAGGAGACTTAAAGACTTGGTGAAGAAGCACTCTGAGTTCATCAGTTACCCCATCTACCTTTGGACTGAGAAAACCACCGAGAAAGAGATCAGTGATGATGAGGATGAAGATGAAGCAAAGAAAGAAACTGAAGGGGAGGTTGAAGAAGTTGATGAGGAGAAGGAGAAAGATGGTAAAAAGAAGAAGAAAATCAAAGAGGTGTCGCATGAGTGGGAACTCATTAACAAGCAGAAACCAATTTGGTTGAGGAAGCCAGAAGAGATCACTAAGGAAGAGTATGCTGCTTTCTACAAGAGCTTGACCAATGACTGGGAAGATCACTTAGCCGTGAAGCACTTCTCTGTGGAGGGTCAGCTTGAGTTCAAGGCAATTCTCTTTGTCCCGAAGAGGGCTCCGTTTGATCTGTTTGACACAAGAAAGAAGCTGAACAACATCAAGTTGTATGTGAGGAGGGTGTTCATTATGGACAACTGTGAAGAACTGATCCCAGAGTATCTCAGCTTTGTGAAAGGTGTTGTCGACTCTGATGATTTGCCACTCAACATCTCCCGTGAGACCCTTCAACAGAACAAGATCCTCAAGGTGATTAGGAAAAATCTAGTGAAGAAGTGCATAGAGATGTTCAACGAGATTGCTGAGAACAAAGAAGACTACAACAAGTTCTACGAGGCTTTCTCCAAGAACCTCAAATTGGGTATTCATGAGGACAGTCAGAACAGGGGAAAGATTGCTGATCTTCTACGATACCACTCCACAAAGAGTGGTGACGAAATGACGAGCTTGAAAGACTATGTCACAAGGATGAAGGAAGGTCAGAAGGACATTTTCTACATCACTGGTGAAAGTAAAAAGGCGGTAGAGAATTCTCCCTTCTTGGAGAAGCTGAAGAAGAGAGGTTACGAGGTACTCTACATGGTGGATGCCATTGATGAGTATGCGATTGGACAATTAAAGGAATACGACGGTAAAAAGCTTGTCTCTGCAACAAAAGAAGGACTGAAGCTTGAAGATGAGACAGAGGAAGAGAAGAAAAAGAAGGAAGAGAAGAAGAAGTCCTTTGAGAACCTCTGCAAGACTATTAAGGAAATACTTGGAGACAAAGTTGAGAAGGTTGTTGTCTCCGACAGGATTGTGGACTCTCCCTGTTGTCTTGTAACTGGTGAATACGGATGGACTGCGAACATGGAGAGGATCATGAAGGCGCAAGCGCTGAGAGACAGCAGCATGAGTGGTTACATGTCAAGCAAGAAAACGATGGAGATCAACCCAGATAATGGAATCATGGAAGAGCTGAGGAAGAGAGCCGAAGCAGACAAGAACGACAAATCTGTCAAGGATCTTGTGATGTTGCTTTTTGAGACAGCTTTGCTGACATCTGGGTTCAGTCTTGAAGAGCCGAACACGTTTGCTGCTAGGATTCACAGGATGTTGAAGTTGGGTCTGAGCATTGATGAGGATGAGAACGTTGAGGAAGATGGTGGTATGCCTGAGTTGGAGGAGGACGCTGCTGAAGAGAGCAAGATGGAGGAAGTCGACTAGGAGACGAAGAAGTATCTCTTTTATGGTTCCGAAAATTTCTAATGTGTCCTGTTACTCCTAAGTTCCCAGAATATTTTTATCTTTTTGGTCTTCTAAAGTTGAACATTTTAGAGTGTTGTAGAATGTAGAGTCGTCTGAACCTTTTAGCTGCTGGTTTGGTTTGTGTCTGGGTTAAGCACTTCTCTTTTGTATTCTGCATCTGTTTTGAAAACTGATTCCAGTTTTTGTTCCCTCTGTCAAGTGAATATTGCCTAAGGTTCAGCTAAGTAACTTTCCTTGTTTATTAACATATGTTCCTCGATTCTCTAAGGGAAATTCAACTTCTTCTTTGGTTCTCTAAAGTGAAACTCAATATACAAGTTGATCATAAGTTCAACTTTCTTACTCTATCAAATGTGAATAATTTTCAAAAGACCAGCATATAATTGACGGCGTAGATATGCTCCATGTAATTGTTTAATGGAGCAAGGTTTGATCTGCCGCGTGGGAGAAACATTTTTTGCATGCTAATATAGAAGAGAAAAAAGATGGGAGGAAAATATAATTCGAAATAGGATGTTTGCTCCAACAACAAAACTAAACTCAGATAGATTACGAAGGATTCTGAAATTTGAATTACACAAGCAAAATTAAAGCTGAAACAACTCCTCCATGGTCTTACTGTCAACTAAAAACATTTCCCTTTCAAGGAAGACCTGAACCAGATGGTGCAGCAGCGCTGTAACCACCAGCACCACGGCCAAAAGGCCTACTAGCACCGCTTCCCTGCAGAACAAAGATAGAAAACACAAGGAATGTCAGAACAATGGCAACCAATTAAAGAGAGGGAAGGTAAATCAAATCATGAGTAATACATAACTAAAGACTTTGAAACAGTTAACTGCTCAAGTAAGAGATTCATATTTCGTGTAACTAACATGAAGAAGAGATGGAAGTTTGGATGAGAGACTTATGCTAAAGACTTCAAGAGAAGCAGATAATATGATGTTTGTGAGACCAAAGTAAATATAAGGCATGGTCAGTGGTACTTACTTGGAAAGATGGATTGTAATCAGCTGGAGCTCCACCTTTTTCACCTCCAAACTCACCACCACCACCACGAGGACCTCCACGGTAGCCATCACGGTCACCATACCTGGGACGGTCTCCTCCTTCACCACGAGGTCCTCTGAAATATAAAGAAACCCAAAAATATGTCATTAGATTAAAAATAACAGTTTTACCAGAAAAGAAAAGATTTCAGCAAAGAGAAATGAGTTATAAAATGACTTTAGCAAAGAGTTAATCACCTAGGGCGATCACCAGGTGGGCCACCAAATGGACGACCAACGGGCTTAGCTGACTTCTTCAAGGTAGCAGGAACAACATCAGATGGAAGATTGAGATAAGTTCTCAAGAACTCAATTCCCTCGTTGGTCAAAAACCAATAATAGTGCATCCATGCAAATGTCTCCCTAACATACTCCTTGGATTTGAACGACTGCATGAGCTTGATCACTTGCAGGTTAGGAACATCAATCAGAGGATGCTTCGCAAGGTTGAAATCCTTCTTGGCAAAGCATACTCCCTCTGCAAAAACCCAAAGAAATTTAATTATCATCAACACAATCTCATCTAAAGGACACAACACACAAGACAAACATCACAAATGTTAGCAAGACAGCTCATGTATAATCTCATGATATAAAAGCATATCATTTGAACAAGCACTAGCCTCAGCACTGGATTTAACCAAACATTTTTTCCTTCATCTATATTGTAACGAGTGTATCCGAACCCTAAATAGGAAATGTCAGAGTTCTACCACAACAGATAAACCATTTCTAAAACCACAATGTTCATCCCTAAGCGAAGAGGTTGGGAATAACCCTAAAAATGATAAATTCGCCTTAATACTCTAATTAGCTCGCCGAAGCTAGAACATATACAAACAGAGATAAGTCAAACTTAAGGGAAGACGAACCTTTGAAGAGGTATTTGCAGATTTCTTTGCGGTTAGCCTCTGAGATAATCTGACAGCAGAACGAAGAAGCATAAGGTTAAAACTCAAAGAAACAATATTTCTGATACATCGGAAAATATGAATAGAACAGAGAAATAGATCGAAATCGTAGCTCATGCGTACCATTGTATCTTGTGGGAGATCTTGCTCGAGCAGAGACGCACGAAACTTGGACAGAGCAAAAACTAGGGTTTTCACTGAATCTAAGAAGACGATGACTTTATATGCTTTGTTTTGGGCCTATAGTGGGTTGGGCGGACATGAATATGGCCCGTTAGTTTGGGCAGCATCATAAACCCAAATGAAAACAAGAGTAAATCTGTAAATGTTGATGTTGTAAATATCATCAGCAAGTTAGTTTTAACTTTTAATTCAATTAATCACTGCCAACATTTCTCACATTTATGATTCATGTCATTGCCATTATTCTAATTCTAAGCATGAACTTATCAGAATCACATACAAATTTTTGACTAATATGGAAGAATAGTTTTTTTTTGTTTGTCTAAAAACTATCCAAAAAAATTTCATAATTCTAATTTATTTGTGATAACAAATTTTGAAATGGAAATTTAAGCTTCCAAAACATAATATTAAGCTTCGACCCAGATTTCAAAGAGATTTTTGAGAAGCACCATGAAAGCAAGATTTTAGAAGTGTCTGATTCCGCTAATTTTGGTTGAGACTCTAGTTTGTGCAGAGGTTTAAATGAATTGATTTGACCACATATGTCACCAAAGTGCATTTATTTTTTCGATCAAAGGTCCCAAAAGAACTCTATAGTTAAGGGTGTTTATGCTGGAGTAGTAAAAAAAATGGGTAACCTTCCGGGAAGTGGTTGTCGAAACTATGTGAATGAGAAAATATCAAGTGGTGATTTGTAGGATCGGTAAATAAATATTTTTAAACCTATCAGACGTAACAAACTGGCCGTCAGATATGCATGTGCTCATGGGCCTAGTGAAATGATATGAGGCTCATTAAGAGAGGTGGACCCATGAGCTGATAATGAACATAGACCCACTAGGTGAGATGACGGTCGGAGCGTTACATTTTGACACGGAGAAATAGACCTCCACTGAAGTTTATGTACTTCCTAGATTTTTACCAATGATAACCACATTATCCTTCCATGAATCGTGTATTTGATATTTATAAATATATTTATGGTTCTTTAAAAACAAAGTGATATATATATATATATTGTTTATATACTTTTTGGAAAAAAAACTGGCGTCCATCTAAATATTATTTAATAAAACACAATTTTTTCTTGTAATATTGTTATTAGATTATTTAATAACATTTACCCAAAGTTTTCTATAATCTTGTTAAAAAATTATAATAAATATAAGATTTGTTTTTCTTCTTTTCTTACATGTATTGTCTTTTTAAATATTTTCAGAAATGTATTAATTTATTTTCTCTATTGTAAAGCAATAAATTTGAGGGATAAATGTATTTTATTTTCAAAGATATGTTATAACATATGTCAAACACTTAATTATTGTATTAGCATGCTTGATATATACATATTGGACTTTTAATCTTCTTCTATTCTTACATATATTCATTGTTAAATAATTTGTAGAAATTTATTAATTTATTTTTCTATATTAAATAAAAAAAATCGAGGGATAAATGCATTTTTCCTAGATATATTATGATTTTGAGAGATGATGGAATATCTTAGAAAATTAATTGTTATATTACCATGTTTATATAATAAATACTATATTTTTTTTGCAAAAGAAAAATCTTTAACAATAGTACATAATTAAAGTAATTGTGTCTTTTTTGAAGAAATTGTATTTTTTTGGTGAGAAAAAATTAAAAGTTTACTTGCTTATATAGATGTAAGGATATACAATCATTTTTCTTGTAGGATTAATAATTGGTTGTATAATTTCCTTAATTATTGTGTTATATTAATTGATCATGTAATTTCCTTAAACCCTTTTATTACCTTTTGTTGTAAAATTCGTTACTTTTTTTTAACACAAAAATTAGTTACTTATAATTTATTTTTTCTACATATTGCAGAATCTCTAATCAATAATTTTGACAAGTGTCACGGTCACATTAGTTGAACCAAATTTTATATAATCATATATCACCTTATTAAATTATTTCAGAAATTTATTAATTTATTTTCTTTATATTAAAGCAAACAATCTTTGAGAGATAAATGTTCTTTATTGATCAAAGATATGTTATGATTTTGGAACACTATGAGTCTATGACATATGTTGGATGCTTAATTATTATATTAGCATGTGTTTCACTTTAATGGATTATTTCCAAATATAAAAGAGCCATTCTTAGTGGTATATATATAGAGGTTTATGAGCATTGTTTGTAATCATATTCTTCTCCATCATCTTCTCTTCTAAGTTTTACTTCCGAATATTCTAGTTTTTGAATAATGGTTTGTTATTTTTCTTAGTAAGCATATGAAAAAAATATATGTCCTTATGTCAAACTTCCTTATGTCATTATATATTAATTTCACACAAGCTCAAGTTTTATTTCATATTTTTGTAGTCAAAGACGACTGTATTCAAGTATGCCAAGTGTCCCGAAAAAGAATGGCGGAAAGGATTCCGATGTGCGGCTAGTTTTCCAGGTACACCTACCTAAACACCCACTCAACGATTAAACTGAAATTAATCGTTGCAGATAATTTATTAAAACTTACACATTTAGAACAATGTGAATGATTGTCATCTTTTTTTTTTGTTAGGGGTTAATACTATAAGTTGTCATGTGCCAAACATGTTTGGAATAAAAGGAGAAATTGATGAAGAAAAACTACTGATCGAATTGTCAAAAATTCTTAAATCTGTCGAAATCATTGACCATTCAAAATATCCCAAGGATCATTTTTTTCTTCCTATCTGTAAATAGTTTAGGATAATAGTATAAAATAAAGTCGTTTACAAAAAAAATATATATATATAGTATAAAATAAAGTATAATAATGGGATTTATTTAAAAGGAAAAACAAAATATTGGGGTTTATTTTTGTTTTCTTATTTTGTAAACAAGTTTGGACTTCTTCATATACTTTGCTAATATATGTGCTCATCAATATTGTTTTGCGAATTGTCCGCAGTCAAAAGAGATTGATACATGCTCAAACAAAATTGAGAGAATATGAATGGTATATAACTAATGATAGTATAGTCCACTGTACATAACTAATGATAGTATAGTCCACTGTACATACAACATCCTTAATTCAAGAGACTTATACATATAGTATATAACTTTTTATCGTT